CAGAGCACTCTGGGGAAATTTAAATGGTGATTCTAGTACAGCCTGGAGAAACTGGTCTGAAATAACCCATTCACGTGCATGTTTCCACATTAGAGTCTGTCTCTATGGTATAGTGTCAAAGCAGAATGGATTGGGTAATGTTCACATGTGACAAAGTCACCATTGTACTCAGATTACAAATGCAGCTGGCTGGTATGTTGGAAATAGAATGCTAGATAAGATTAACCTTTGGTCAGATCCAGCAAGACACTTCTTACGTACTGACGCCAACTGCACCACCTCCCATAAATAATTTATTCACCACAATCTATTCCTGAAGAAAGCACCACCATGAACTGGCTACTCAACCACACTTTCTCAATTCTTAACAGAAGCAAGGGGAAAGAATACAGTCCTATCCCGCTGGACAAGAGAAGAAAGAGATATTGTCAAATCCATCACGCATCCTTATCAGCCTATTGCATGCGTGAAAATGAGAATGAGGGCTGTGGTGGTACTCCAAAACATCTTCTCAAAGACCATCCTGGGGCATAGAAAGGATTCACTGATTCTGTTGTGGCTGTGCAACAGTCTCCAGCAGCTATACAGATTGCGAGGGAGGAGAGTCTGACATAAAGGTTTGTGATGTATTCCCACTCATTTAAGGATCTCCTAGTACACATGGTACTCCCCTCCTCAGTTTATCCTCGAAACCAGCCTGCAAGGTAGCTTAGGCAGGGAGATAGTGACTTGGCCAACCAAGGTCATTCTAACCACTGCTCTCACCAATGTAGCCGGAAGCGTATTGAACACGTGCTTGTGGTACCCGTTTAGCCTTTATTGTGCCAAACAGCGGGACATTTGTGGCGCTCCAAGACAGAAGCAAGACCGATGGCAGGGCAGGTTGTGGCCATGCAACTCTGTCTCTTTTCCAACACTCTGAATGTTGTGACCCACTGCTGCTCTCTGGACTAACTCTGAGAATCATTTCCTCTTCCAGCTGGGTGTCGAAGGAACACCTTCACCTCTATTGCCCTGTTTGCTTGTTATGTTTGGCGGACAATGCATTCTTGGTAGTCAGCAAATTTGGTGAGGGTTGAAACCTTTTCTGTGGTGGCAAGATTTTATAGAACTCCTCTCTTCAGCTCAAGCAAGTGCTATCATTGTTGACTCACTAAAACAAGGCTGGGGAACCTTTGACCCTCCAGATGTTGCCAAACTACAACTCCCACCAGCCCCAACAAACATGGCATATAACTAGGGACGATAGGAGCAATATTGGGAGCGACAAAGATTCCCCATACCTGTGCTAAAGTAGGTTCCTATGTTTGTAGACCACTCCTCATCTTTATTCCCAGCAGGCTGTTATGTTTCAACTCTGTCCTGTGTTACTAGCTTTATCATTTTTATCTGTATTGATTTAAAGGTGGGTAAAGGTAAAGGGACCCCTGACCATTAGGTCCAGTCGTGACCGACTCTGGGGTTGTAGCGCTCATCTCGCTTTATTGGCCGAGGGAGCCAGTGTACAGCTTCTGGGTCATGTGGCCAGCATGATTCGAACCGCCGACCTTCTGATCGGCAAATCCTAGGCTCTGTGGTTTAACCCACAGCGCCACCCAGTATGTTAAACAATTGGCTGTGCATTGCTTCCAGACTGATGTGCTCGGGGCGGTATAGAAATGTTTTAATAAATAAAGATGTTTCCAGGTGAGTGTGCAAAACGTTCTTTTCCGAATAGAAACAAGTAGGTAAAACACTGGGCCTTATTAGCTCAGCTCTTTGGTACTTGAGGAAATTAAAAATGGTGGTAGCGGCAAGCCCAATTCCATGGGCCTGGAGGGCGGGAATAAAGGGAGGTCCAGATCACACCCGGGCTCCATCTTCTCTATACGTTTAAAGCAGAATCGTCTTAAACAGTCTTGACTCCCCCACTTCAAGAATCCTGGGAACTGTAGTTCGTTCAGTGTGCTGAGAGTTATTAGGAGACACTTGCATATTGCCCATTCCTCTCACAGAGCGACAGCTTTCAGAGTTCCCCAAGAAGGGAACCACTTTGAAAACTGTAGCTCTGTGGGAGAATGTAGGTCTCCTAATAGCTGCCATAACATTTTTTAAAAATTAATTTTTATTATTAAAATAATTCAGCATTAATACACACGTTACAAATATACAAACATACATTTCATACAATCCTTAAAAATATTCATACATACCCACTCAATTCCACAGATACTTCTTTTTCCCATCACCATCCCTTACCCCTCACCCCACCCTTGTGTTGAACTTCCAATCTACTCAATTGCAATTTCTTTCCACTTCTATTACTTTCTTTGACACACTTTTAAACCAATTTTCTGCTTCTTTTTCTGTTACTGAAATACTAAATAAGATGGATAGCAATGTGTATTTATAACGGAGCTTGTTTATTCTAATAGTTCTGATTTTTCCAGTATAGTTTTGCAAGTATCCTTTAAACACCTTCCAGTCTTTGTCTATCTTCTCTTTTGAGATCCTTCCAATTTCTCCCATTGTTTTGGATATATTGTAATACTCCAAGCCACTCTGTTTTTGTCGGTATACTATCACTTTTCCAATTTTTCGCAATCAATAGCCTTGTGGCTACTGTTGCATATAAATATAATGCCTTGTCTTCTTCCTTTAGACTTCCTGGTACTATTCCCAATAGAAAACCTTCTGATGTTTTCCTAAATGAGTATCTGCCACAACATTAACAGATGATGCTTCCCAGGATTCTTTGAGTGTAAGCTTTGACTATTTAACATGGAAAGACACTGCTTTAATAGTAAAGGGCAGGTGGGGCTCTGGTACCTGTGGTGGCGGGCCTTGTCCTTTGGCAAAGGATGCTATGTGCTGGCACCAGCCCTGCTTGTCTACTTCTGAGATCACAGTTGTGGGTCTAGGAAGGTTTATACTGGGAGGGGTGATGCGGTAGATCATCATGCACAGTGCAACATTTTTATGGAGGTGAAAGTTTTAGGGACAACACTTTGCACTAAGGATCAGGCAGGGCAGAAATGTCAGCTGTACTGCTACATAAGCAGGACCTAACCCTTCAGTGGGGTTTGCCTTCCAGTTTCTGATCCCTGCTTGTTATCTCGCTTCATCTACGACAACTTGGTTTCTATTACAGTGCTGCAATTCCTCTGCCAGAAGGTGTAGGAGGACTGCATAGATTCCTACTTGGCAGGGTCAGATTCCAGACAATCCTCTGTATGCTGTTTAGCAGCAGCTATGGAATGGGGATGAAGGCAGCGAAGGACAATGTGAAGATTAGAGTTGCAACCCTTAACACACTTAATAGCGAGTCAGTCCCATCAAGTTCCATGGGACTTACTTTGGCCTAAACAAACTTGAGGAAATTGCACCACAGGTAGGGCAGGATAGCAAACTGATGGCACAGAGGCTCAACCAAGTCACCAACACAAATTTTCCTGGGTCCTGGCACCCTCGCCAGATTTTTAAGTATGTCATATTCATCCAGGGCAACGATATTATTGTTTATGGCGTCATAGGGTTCTTTGGGAATAACTTAACATACGTAAATTGTCCATGGACTGTCTTGGTGTTCATGTGTGCATTCTGCTCATCAAGCTTATTATATACTACATGGTAAAATAGGCCAACACATGCTTTTTAAAAAGCTTCAAAGCCAAAAAGTATTGCAGCTTTTTGCCTGCCGAATACTGATTTATATGAAAGCCCAGCTACATCAGTGCTATGTTGCTAACCAAAGGACATCATAAAGCATCCTGCTGCTCTGCAGCCAATCCATTTGTTGGGTGTTATATTGGAGTGGATGAAGTGAATATTGTTTATTGGACAGACAAAGAATGAGAAGTCCCTTACCTTCTGAATTTTATTTCTCCCTCTCTCTTTTTAAACCCTATTCTATGTCTTTCTTTCTTTCTTACTTACTTACTTACTTATTTATTTTCTCTCTCTCTCTCTCTCTCTCTCTCTCTCTCTCTCCCTCCCCCCCCTTGTTTCCATTGCATTTAGAACCAAGTCTTACTTTGGGCAAAAAACAACAATATTTGATATTAAGTTTTGTATTTTTCTCTGTAAGCTCTAATAAAATGTATTCAAAACACAGCCAATCCATTTGTCACACTCCAGAAAAATGTTCAATTTTGCCCTGCCCCTTCAATGAGAGCACATCTTTGGAAATTATAGTAAAAGCCACAAAATGTACAGTCTGTAGCTAGAGCTGTTCAGCTGCCACAACTCTATTGAAGTTGGGGAGTGGGGAGAAACCAATAGACCTAATTTGGCTATATCAATTACTTTCAATAGGTCTACTCTGAGTAACTTAGTGGAATGCCACCTTGCAGTGGAAAATGTAAAAATTGTAGAATTTTGCAAATTATGGACGTTGGTTGCACAATTTATAAAAAGGCACATAATTTGGACTGCAGAGGCGCTGAATTCTTATCCTGTAGTTCAGTGTTCCCCAACCTTGGGCCTCCAGCTGTTTTTGGACTACAATTCCCATCATCCTTGACCACTGGTCTTGCTAGTGAGGGATGATGGGAGTTGTAGTCCAAAAACAGCTGGAGGCCCAAGGTTGGGGAACACTGCTGTAGTTTACCATGAACCCTGGCTATAGAATGGGTAGGACACCTGTCACACCCACCCACCTCTCTCTATACATACATACATACATACATACATACAAGACTATACTTCCCATCATGGATGCCATGGTGACAAAGGCTGATACAGGAGATACCAGCATTTTAGGGAGCTGCTTTATACAAGATTAGACCATTATTCCATCTAACTTGTCATTAGCAATACATCTCCACAATTTTCAGATGGGTCTTTCTGAGTCCTTTAGAGAGATGAACTTGCGACCTTTTACATGCTAGATATTGTTTCAAAGGATGTCGGTGTTCCTTATTTTTTGTATAGAAAGCTTCTCCTTGCTAACAGCTATGAAAGAAAGCTAACCATCTGATTTCAGACATCTATTTTGACTCCTACCTTAAAATGACAAGCCATTTCCCAGATTTGCGTAATGTTTAATGGAAGGAGGTGGGGAATCCATTTGGATACACAGTACGTAATTCAGCCCTGGACAATAAAATTCTCATTGTTTAAATCTCAAGTAAATAACAAACAAACAACTCCAGTTACCTATGTGGGCTTTTTTTTTTAAGAGTGGGGAGGAGACACATTGCAATTGTGTTCCAGGTACCATTGTCTGAAACCTGTGCTGTGCTGCATAGCACACAAGGGATTGTTAAGGCATCTTCTAGAATGTATTTTCAGTTCATGTGGAACAACAATACCTCCTGAGAGCTTGATGTGCACTAGAACATTTTTCAGAATGCTCTGCAACATGCAGGATTTCCATGGCAGAAGTTTGAAAGCTATTGGCCTAGGGATTGAATGCACTACTATATAGTGTGTTATACAAGCAGTAAGAAATTATTTGGTCCTGCTCACATACCTGATAGCACGTGAAGGCACCAGTGAGCTTCTAGCCAGCATCATGCGGAGGCAACATTCGAACGCAACAGTGCCTCTACATGGCAGCTGTACACATGGCCGCTGCAATTTTCAAGACTGCGGTGGCTCAAAAAAACAAAACCAACAAGGGACATCACTGCAAAAAAGTAAAAAAATCTTGGTAGGCATATCGCCTGTAGCGCTCCTCCTCTCAGAGACATCGGGTTATAAAACAGTACTTTGCTTGATCCAGCATGTTCTCAAAAGGGATGCCATGTGAGGGTGGAAGGGAAAGTTTACAAGACATCTAAAATGTATGAACCAGGATTATTCCTTTCACCAGTGCTGCCAGTACAAAGGGAAGACATAAGGATACAGAATGGGAAGCAGCTGCAGGACATGGAAGAGGAGGAGAAGCAAGGGCAGGCAGGACAAAAACTCCATCTTTGGACGCACTCTGCAGGCTTTCAGAAATATTCCCACAACCACATCCCCTCAATTCTAGGAATTTACTATGAAAAGAACAAAAAGCCGACCAACACTCATTTTCAAAGTTTTACTTCTGTTAACCATATTCTATCAGATTCCATATGGAAACCTAACAGTCTCAGCTGCAATAATGCTTTGAAATACCCTCTACTGCTTCCTATTGGCAGACTGTGAAAGAACTGTCTTTAGTTCACCTGCCACTTCAGAAATCCTTATATGAAAAGACCAATTCTGACTCCATAGCCATCAGGTATGACTCCTGAATGCTGGTCTTAAGTATCTACAGTTTTTATTTATAGTTTCTTCCCCTTTTCTTCTTCTTCCCCTTTTACTCTTTTAAAAAGAGTAAAACCACTAACTTCCATTTGGCACCACTTGTCTGAGCAATCCCATCAACCACAGCCCATGTTTATCTAAATCCAAGATTTAAAAATCCAGTTCTGTGATGTGCCAAAACAACAGTGGCCAGGACACTCTTAAGAAAGGGTTGTACATTAGCAAACAGTTAAATTGGTAATGCTTGATCAGTAGCGTTTGCATATAAATACCAAAGAGTAATACTTAAACACACGTGCAAAATTTAAGTTAATAGGTGCAGCCTGCTAAACTGTTGCACAATTAGCTAATCACATTAGATAATTAAGTGCATCCCACAGGTTTGCAACCCAATGTGGACATTTCCCACCTCCCTTTCAGTTTCAGAGCTAATATGGTTAAGATTACATCTGCACTTGTATTTTCATTAACTAAATTTAGTTCAGCCAGTCTACAAACCCATTCTAACTCCAGCTGCAAAATGTGGTTTGACACTAACTATGTTTAGCAAGAACATTCTTCTTTGAAACTGAAAGGGTAGATCCCAGTGGAGTGACTGACTAGCCACAGAGCAGGCAGTAATAGGCTTGCACTAAGAAAATGTGGCATGTGTGGAAGTTTCACATAAGCCCCTTTGACAGATTGCAGTTGTTTAGCAGCACAGCTTTGTAGATGGTGCCCCTGACCTTCAGAGTGCTTTCAAAATACAGGCAGAAGGCAACAACACTCTCCCTGAATCTCTTAAACACAAGCCAGCCACATAAGGAAAAACACATCAAGAAACAAAAACTCTACAATTTCTGAACTGCACTGTTTATTTTTGCTGCTTGAAACCTAAGTGACAGTATGCCACCATAATTACGGGGTTTCTTCTAAACCTTTACTACACTGCAGGTACAGAAATATACGGACACATTTTTGGAGAATTGACATTTTGCAAAATGCAGCAAACGTTCTGATTTATACATGAGAAAAAGGAAGTGTTCAAAAGGGTATGCATTTCAAGTTATTGCAGGTTATTTTTTTGTGAGATTTCTTTTTTCTGCAGGTAAAATATGTTTAAATTTAAACCAACAGGAACGTGTCAGTGTATTTAAAATCATGACAAACAAAACCTTCGCTCTGGTCATTAGTTGCCCCTTGACAAATTATTAGGGTGTTGCATGGTGAGGGCAAGATGTCAACACAGCATAAATCCCGTGGCATTTGGTTTTCTTCTGGAGATTAAAGCTGTTTTTTCTTGGGATAAATGCAGCAGCAAAACACAAACCAGCTGATCAAAAAAGCACTTCTGCCATTAACTCCAATAATTTCAGGGCACACCAACCGACAGTAGTTTTGCCATTCCCAGTTTTTAAGGTTTACATCACTGCGCTGTTGCCTTAAGTACATTTTGTAATTGCCTGTTGTTGGTTAAGCCAGCTTGCTGACTACGGCCTGATTGAGAGAATTTAGTTGGTTGGTCCATTTATCTAACGCAGTATACCGTGCTCCACCCCTCTTCTGATGATCCAGCTCAAGGAGTTGATTGACTTGATCAATTCGGCCATGAATAGTGCTAAAGCAAGAGACAAAACAAGAAATATTAAAGTGAGTCCTACAACATAGGTAATACAGGTTGGTGCAAAGTTATGAATGTTCCAGACAACACAAGCTGATGCAAATTATGAGTGTTTCCACTCATGGCCAGGAGGTCAAGAACACAACAATGGGCTCATAGCGTCCTTCCCCTCCCTCCTGACATCTCCAGTTCCCTCAACTCCTCTTTCTGTAGCGGAATTATATTAAGGCTACAAACTAAAGTTTGCAAACTAACTATGGTTAATAGGCCCTGGCTCAGATTAACTCTGGTGAGGGTCAAAAAGGGAAGGGTGGGGTTAACAAGGCATGTACAAGTCCATGGGACACTCCTAATTTACTGAATATGAGTAGGATATTTTTATGATTTATTTCATAAAATTTATACACGGCTTGCTTATTATTATTTTTAAAAAAAACAAAAACCTCAGCTGTTTCCAAAAACATAAAAAGAAAAAATTACAACAGTACTTTAAAACATGCAAAAGTTAAACAGATTATAATTACCTCAACTTCCTAAGCATCTGAATAGGCTTGTCTAAATAAAAATGTTTTTAAAGGTAAAGGTTGCGGACGACTCTGAGGTTGTGGTGCTCATCTCACTTTATAGGCTGAGGGAGCCGGCGTTTGTCCGCAGACAGCTTCCGGGTCATGTGGCCAGCATGACTAAGCCACTTCTGGTGAACCAGAGCAGTGCATGGAAACACCGTTTACCTTCCCACCAGAGCAGTACCTATTTATCTACTTGCACTTGACATGCTTTCAAACTCCTAGCTGGGCAGCAGCTGGGACCGAACAACGGGAGCTCACCCCATCGCAGGGATTCGAATCACCGACCTTCTGATCAGCAAGCCCTAGGCTCTGTGGTTTAGACCACAGCACCACCCGCCTCCCTAAAAATGTTTTTAGCAGGCAGGGGGAGGTAAGGATCTGGCCCAATCCAGTTCCCCACCCCTGCTATAAATAAACATTTAAAAAAAACATTCAGTACTCAAAAAGGAAGGGGGAAAAATACTCACTTATCCAGTATACACTGCACAAGCAAGCTCTCCACATCAGCTACATCTATGTTTAACTCCTAAGGGAGAAAAGAGGTATTAAATATCAACGTAGCTTTGGGTAGTAAGCAATTTGTTTCTTTATCTAGGAAAGCAAGGGTGAAGTTAAACATATAACGTCAATACCAGTATGATCACTGGGAAAGGAAGGATGAGCAGATGAAAGCCTTTAGAGTCAGCACTGCGGGTTGCTGCTGGCAGTACACTTATAGCTCAATACTATAAACCAGTATTCCCAACTTTGTGACCTCAATAAGTTTGGACTATTGTAACTTTTGAATAAATGTTTTTTTAAAGAATTTTTTTTAAAAAGATGCTTGGACTATAATTCCAGCACCCTGACATCTGGCCGTGCTATCTGGGGTTTAAATCCAACAACATTTGGAGCACATCAGGTTGAGGAAAGATACAAGTGGGTATATATGACGGTCAAGGAAAGGGTAGGAAAGTTTTAACACAAACAGCAGAATCAGTTATAGTTATCTTGACTTGACTTGCAATAGTAAAACCTATGTACAGGTCAGGCTGTTGAGAGAGGGACAGGGGCCGGGTTCAGATGTAATGCAAAATCATGTTTTTTTTTTAGCTATACATTTTAAAATGTATCTAAGCCAAAGAGTTTGAAGCTGAACTGCAAACCATGGTTTTCACAAACTACTGACACCAATTATGACCAAGCGGCTGCTGCACCATGGAGACTGGAGTGAAACCAATGAAGCTGAATTCTGAGCAGAAAGAAGGAAGGAAAGCCACTCTATACAGTTACACCTTGGTTCTCGAACGCCTTGATACTCATACTTTTTGGCTCCCGAACGCTGAAAACCCAGAAGTGTTCTGGTTTTCAAACGTTTTTCAGAAGCTGAATATCCGACACGGCTTCCACTTGAATGCTGGAAGCTCCTGCAGCCAATTGGAAGCCGTGCCTTGGTTTTCGAACCGTTTCGGAAGTCAAACGGACTTCCGGAACGGATTACGTTCGAGAACGAAGGTACAACTGTACCATTGTTTTTCTTGTTGCACATCTGGAAGTTCCAATAATGGCATGGGCTTTTAACTAGCTAGCATAAACCATGGCTTTGCCTTTCACATTTTAAAATAAAGCCAATGAAAACTGAATTCTGTCATAAATTGTGCAAATAACCATATCTGCCTAATTAATTTTGATTTTGCCAGCTCAGCTGAAGAAAAAGTAGCTGTGCAGGCCTCTGTACCCACTGCAATTCCACTTCAGCCTCCTGTCTGGCTTTTGAGAAGTTAGAAGGCACCGACCACAGCTTTTCAAACTTATCTTTCACAGATGTAATTTCACAGGTTTGTGAGGAAGAGGAATGTGCATCCAACAGCAGTGTTGATCTCAAATTTGCATCTCTCCCCCTCCATTTAGGAGTAGCAAATACAGAAAATAATTTGAGTTGGCAGTAGTTGACTGTTATTCACCAGACCGTCCCACTTTGATTTCTGTTCCTTTGAAAACTCTAGTTTGCCCCTGCTGCAAGTAACAACCATAATATCGGCAGGCACCCATTTCACTCCAGAATGCCCTATTGAAACAAGTGCACATCATGATGTAGCATCATGCACCGCTGGGTGAAAGAGGGCAGTTGCTAGAGGTGGGAGCTGTTAGAAAATTTGCTGCCATTGACATTTGTAGCAGTGGCAAGCCAAGAAAGAACAAAGGGTGTGTGTGGAGGGGGGGCATCACTAATTGTAAGCCCTACCGCCACAAATTAACAGAATTTTCTTCCCACAAAAAACTGCAATCGGTTTTTGAGCCGCTCCTTTTGCTGACCCCTGCCCATAACATTTGAGCCAAAAAATCATCTCATCGCAACCCAGTATCACCCTAAACTTATGCTGTGCTCCTCTGGGATTTACAGCATCTCTCACAACCCTGGCATCTGGAAGGGAAGTAGCAAACGACAAGTTGGCCAGCTGTTAAAACCTCCAAGAGAAAAAAATATCAAGATGCAGTTTTTGTAAGCAGATTTAAGTGTAATCCTCTGGAGACAGTGTGTTCAAATACCTTAGAAATAAAAGGAATATGTATTCTTGTGTAAGGCTTAATTAATTTTATAAGCACTTGTGTTCGGATGTTTCGCAAAAGTTCTGGAAAAGAACAAAAGCAAAGTAATTACCGTATGAATACAATGAAAGCACTTTAGATAAAAGCAAATGCATAGGTCTAATTTTATATCTAGCGATCACTACACTTTTACAGATGCATTGGACTGTATATCAAACCCTAAGAATGTACTCTCAAATGACGTTTCCAGCTGGGAATTCATGTGAAATTTAAATCAAACTAACAAATTATTCAACTGTATTTAAATGCTACTAAGGCTTTCCCCCTAACTCAAATGGTAGCTCAGTTTGGAAACAAACTGGGCATCAACCAGTAGAAACTGAAAGTTTCCCAAGTAAATGTCACCAGGTTCAATTCCTGGCATCTTTAGTTAACAGCTACTCAAGACACACTGAGCTGAAAAGGATACTGATTGTTAGTATAGTTCATTAGAGGCCAGGCCTCCAATAGCAGAGGAGTATAACATCACAACTGTAACACAAAGGTTGCCCTATACCTTCGGCTGCCCCATGATATATTGGATCAGAGGCGAGGAGGTTAGTCACACTTTATTTCCTCCCTGGGCCACCCCTCCCACTCATCCTTGAAAGCAGCCTTTCTCAAGCTTGGGTCCCCAGATGCTGTTGGGACTACAACTCCCATCATTCCTGACTACTGGTGCTGCTAGCTAGGGATGATGGGAGTTGTAGTCCAACATCTGGGGACTCAAGGTTGAGAAAGGCTACTCTAAAGCTTCAGTGATGAATTATGTATGCTCCCTCTGCTCCATTCCAGCCACTGGAGCAACTGGGCAGATGTCTCCTGGATTGCCCATGTTGGTGGTTAGGATCAGCGTATGTCCTGGTTTCCCTGCCAACCAGGTCCAATACACTCCAATACACTCCAGCCCACCAGCGAACAGCTGTGTGGGACAGTGCGCTAGTCTCACAGATAATCAGGGAGACTCTTTCTGATGTACCATCATGAAGCTGCAATGTATGGTTCCTTCTCCCAACCCCAACACAGGTAAGCTACTCAGCGGCCAGTACAAATTGTTAATACTTAAAATCTATTTTTTTCTTCTTCCAGTCAAACTCCTGTCATTTTTTGTTTTGCAAAATCATTTTATTCAGCCTTATCTAGCACAAATTATTATTTCGGTTACATTTTTATCATGCTTTCGCTACAAAAGAAGGCATTTTTTTTATACATTGTGGACATGGATGAGGAGCTCGGGCTGGCTAAAATCACAAGACTTCTTCACAGCTATACCTTCAATGTGTTCCCTTATGAAGGGATCGTCCATGATGTTACTGTGATTTGTCTTCAGAATCTTCTCAAATTCAGTGATGTCGTTATTCTGATAGGCACTTCAAGTGAGAAAGAGAGCATGTGCACTATATTACAATTTAGTCAATTAGGAAAAAAAACAGATAACAGAATTTGATTGCTCTGATCCAAACAGAGGTGAAAACAATATCTATAGTGAGCTTTACCCCCCAGTTTCCGAGGATCAACAGAAACTGAAGGTGAGTATTCAAATTGCTAAGTATGACCGAAGGCTTGGGCAAAGTGAGTGTACTTCTCTTTCAGCAGACCTCCATACCACAACAACAGAAACTACTTTTGGAAGTCCCCTGTTTCAAGAATAGCTTGCCATGTGGTATTAGGGGAGGATAGGGGTTTGACAAACACACATTTTTTATTCTTTCATAGGGCCTGGGGTTAGCTGAATGGTTCTGTGGCTCCTGGCTTGTATGCAGAGAATAAGGATTTTACTATTCAGTGCAATCTCATTTACAGTAAAACGGAATGTGAGTATGTCTTCAGCACATTTTGAAAATCTGAGATTTGGTAAACTTTCTTCTGTTAAGGGTAATTTTGACACCAACTTTTGAGTTTGTTTCTACAGCTCACTAGATTATTTAGATTAAAATTTGCTTCTAGCTTTGCCCTTAAGGGAAACTAGCTCTTACCTTACTAAATTTGTCATTGCTAGAATCTCTGGATCATTTTTGTATGGTTTTGCCTGAACAGGACAGAAACAACAATAAGCATATTTAGATACCAACTAAAAGGTTTATGCTAATTGCCTTCATACAAGCAGTAAGAAACTGACAACTGTACCTCCTGAGAGTCAAATGGGTTTATTCCAGACTTCATCAGCATGTTTGCTAGGACCAAATATTTTAAGCAAGTGGTTCTTCTTGGACTCCCTGATTCATCATAATTCTTGAATGCTTCAAAGAAATCAGTATGTGCCTTTTCAAATTCACCTTCTCTTAGGTGCATTTTACCACCACATTCTGAAAGAAAAACAAGCAGAGATCAATATTGTTGTCTTACAATTACCAGACATATTCCATCTAGCATGCTATATATTTTCAATATGGATACCAGCAGGACTTCTAGAAATGATCTTTTATTTTCTAATTCTGACAAAGGGCAAACACACCAAATAACAGAACTTCATTTGTGATCTTCCAGATTGTACAACCTACTCCAAGCACGTATTCTAAAGAGAAGTAAAGAAGGACACTGCCACCCTGGGGCAAAGATTCAGCTGTTACATTAAAAAAACCCCTACTATAAATACATTTGTTCAGATGGAATTATTCCAAATAGAAAACTTCATATCACGGAAACATTATGTTGTGGAATATGCCTTGAGCAAACAATATGCTAGGATTTGCATCTACACACAAGGAAGTGATGCATTCCTACAAAAACATTATTTCCTGCATCATGTACAATCCAATAAAATCCTTTGTAATAAAAGCAGACAAAAGATGCTCAGATTTTAACTACCTGACTTTATGCAATAGGAAAATACAGGATAAATGCAGTGAACTAACTAGACAAATGCTATGTGATCTGATAACGAAATGTAAACAGCACTTGCCTCTGATGACCCCCATGATCAGTGGATGGGGGATGGCAGACTTGATGTGCAATGACTGTTCATATAGTGCTTTAAGTTTTTTATTATTTTTCTGTGCTGTATACATTTGAATTTCCAAAGCATATATTTCCAATAGCTGGGTACCCTTCTTAAGGTCGTCTTCTCCATCATCAGTCTAACAAAAAGGAAGAAAGATGTGCACTGTAAATTGGGAAAGAAATTACGACTCTCTTCGCCATAAAAATCTTAACCTGCACACTTAAATATACTGTAATCAGAACTTAAAGCATAGTATTATCTCACATTCCATATAAGCTTTCCTGGGACAGAAAACTGAAGTAGTGTCTTGCATGGGTTAAAAAATCAACACACATTTTTTAAAAAACCCTAATCTTACTAAAAGGACAGAAAAAATAGTCACCATTTGCTACTGATCACATTAGTTGAATGTAGATGCATAAAGCAAAAACTCGGCACAATATGTAGCCTGTTACTGTTTTGCCAAACCATAACAATTACAAAACTAATGTCTATTTCTGTGTAAGCTGATATAGTGACTCAGGCTATTTAGGGCTTCTTTGATCATAACTAGTACCTTTGATGGGCTCCAAAAACACACTGGCAACAAATGCAAATGAACAACTTATCAGAGTCCTGACATCGCCAGCAACAGAATTCGGAACTAGTAAATGCTTCTGGATCATCTTCAAGGGCACTGCATACAGTGCATCTGAAAAACTAACTTGGTACACATCTCTGTAGCACATTCTTCTATGCAACATTCACCAGAGACAGAAAGGGGATGATGCCTTGTATTGGGTACGGTCTTTATAGGACTTTAGATTTGTAGTGCTGAATATAGGACCTTAGTAGTGATACAATCACTGTGAAACATTTCTCCAGAGGTGCTTGCCAAACCACCTCATTATCAAGTTTTGGGTGTTTTATTCAGTATTGAAAAGCTGCGTTTTAGGGTTGTCCCAAGGCAACTCACAACATAATAAAACACATTATAAAAAATAAAATCCCCCCTGTAATAAGTACATTTTGAAAACTGTTTAGAAAATATATTGTAACATACCTGGCATGACTGATGGAGCTGGCGCAAAATCTTCTGTAGTTTCCCATACTCTTCTCGTTCTAAATATAATTTGCCAAGCTGTAAACAACAAGTTGCTTTTTAAAAACACACTGTGAGTTCTAAACACACACTTAAAAAAAAAATACTTTTAAACAAAATCCCCCTTGCCCATTATACCTTTGTGTTTGTCTTAAACCACAATCTATCATTCTTAGCATCTTTCAGAGCTTCAAGTGTTGTCTCATAAAATTCCTGAAGCAAATCCATCTGGCATAAAAAATCAGAATTCTATAATTGTAAACAGCAAATTTGTGTCTGTTAATAAAGTCAACATGAACATACGCAAAGAGCAAGATTAAACTACAGTATGTAATACATCAGATGAAGAAATCAACAACTTATACATTGTAACATCTATTTAAGGCATACATACTTTTGTTATTGAGAAAAACTTAACAAAGAATAACTTCCAATATCTTTCCCAAGGAGTTCTGCTTAATAGTTAAGATGTGCCACCATATCTTGGGCATAATTATGTACCCTCACCTGGGCTCTCAATTTCTCTGAAAGCTGTAGATTCTACTCCCCCTTTATGGGAATAAAGCTGTGGCAACGTCCCCTCTCCCCATCTTTTGGCCCTCACTAAACTGAGTCAACTGTGTTGGAACCTAATTGGCTGCTTTCTTTAGGCACCAGGGATGACAGAGCAGCCATAGTAGTGAAAGGAGGATAATGTAGAGTCCAGGCATAGGCAAACTCCAGCGCTCCAGATGTTTGGAACTACAATTCCCATCATCCCTAGCTAACGGGACCAGTGATCAGGGATGATTGGAATTGTAGTCCCAAAAATCTGGAGGGCCAGAGTTTGCCTATGCCTGGTCAGTCGTTTGGATGGGAGATTTATTAGCATTCATAACTGCTCAAGCTATTCTCTAGCTGCAAAAGTAGAAATAGTGATTTCTCAAAAGGCTCTGGGATTCTGCCAAGAGCTCTTGTGTCATGCTATTTATCACTCACAACTCTAGGCAACGGCTCTTCAAAGTGTCTTGGAAAGGCACAGGCCAGGGTAGCTCTTCCTGACCCCAGAAAACTCAGCCCATGAAAGCAAGTCACACAGAGCTCATGGCAGAATCAAAATACTTCTGCAATCCAACTTTTAGAAGCAAACCCAATCAGGCAGGGATTTGAAAACCTAGTACATGCAGATGCCAACTGTTTTAAAACTGAGATAGTGTTTTGGAACTGTCCTGTTGAAGTATAGCTGACAGAGCAACAACAATAAAGCTGGAAGGCTCAAGGATTTCATGGCCTTCTGCAGAACCCCTCCAAGAACATTCTTCAGCATTTTTTAAATAGCCTGCACATTTCTGATGGGCAGAGAGAAGAGCACTGCATTGTTACATATTAGATTAGGGTGGGGTGTTTTTTTGCTGAGTTCTGTTAAGGAATCAATGAGTGCTGACAGGGCTCTGTTGAAATCCCCATATTCTCTCTCTCATCCTGAGCATAGTCTAAAACAGATACACCAATATCAGTTCAGTACAGTTCATACGACATCATGAGAAACACTAGGTGACATTAAATTGCACACAGGGGCTCAGTCCATGAAAATTCACAACAAAAACATTCTCTATGATTGAGAAGTACAAATCTGCAGTTCTAAATTATAAATCTAACTCAGTGCTCTCCCTACCTATTTTACTGATAGCGAGAGAGAGACTAGCAAGAGGCAACAGTGCAATTATTCTCTAAGTTCATTTTTTAAAAAGGTGCAAAACCTAGAAAGTGGAAGGAAGGATAATCTAACCTGCTTGGAAGTGGAGATATAATCAAGAATAGAATTGATGGATTTTTCGGAATAATTCCTTGTAACTGCACTCCGTATGTATGTCAATAGTTGTTTATATCTGTTCATCATTTCAGGAAAGTTAGTCTGCAAGGGAGAAAAAAACAACTAAGCATTTAGGACTAGAAGCAGAGTCTAACTGGTGGCATTCCAAAATAATCACACAAGTGTATATTTTTGGTACACTGCATGTGCAACTAGAGGTGTGCAATTTTAAAACCACAGAGTGTGCATACATTTGGAATGAGCACATTACTCACAGCTGGAAAAGTGGGAGTGATATAGTTTAGATATTTTAGAAGAAAATGACGTTACGTAATACAAATACTATATAGGAGGATTACCAATGAGGCATCTGCAGGTGCAACAGTACTCTTGAACTTCCCCTGATACCTGCAAATGTGGTGAGGGTAGCTACCTTTTTCCTCGAAAAGACATGAAGTTGGAGGAGGAATCTTGTAAAAGCAATACACTTTGAATTCTATGTGCTTTCAAAACTTAGTACAGCAGCTAAACAGAAAGAGGAGTGACCAAGTGGAGAGGAAGGAAAGAGCAGCAATCTGAGAGGAGGAAAACAGAGGGACTGGGGGTAGACAGTGGGGTGCTACAAGTGTCAACAGAGAGAATAAGGCATATGCACACAGTAAAATGGATCATTTTGAAACTGCAATTTTTCATGGTCTCCCTCTCCCTGCATGAACATAATCAAATCACAGATGACATGTCACCATTGAACAGAACTATGAAAATTACAGATCTGATGCTGTCCAGCGCTACCATATTGCAAAAACCTGGATCCAAGGTAGAGATCTTTCTGCATCCTCAACATTTTTTTTTTACAAGGGATTCCCACAAAACCACCATCCAATCATAGGTCACCTGTGTGTTCTGTGATTTGTTAATGATTTTGTCGTCGTCGTCCTATGTAAAAATCTTGAAGACCTAGAAGGGTCCATGCCTTAGATCAATGTTTTTCCAGTGCTGAAAAGCACTGGGGGGGGGGGGGGACTCATATAGAACCAAGCAAATTAATTCTGCTGGACCCAACTTTTGCCAAGAACCCATGGAATGGAATTGTGTGTGTGTTTCTGTCTGTTGTGTGACCTGGTGGAGAGAAGCAACTAGAGCATGTGGTCCTTATGTCATTCTCTCAAAGTTCTAAATGTGACCACCACACTGTGAAAGTTTCAATCTAACGTTAAACTTTGGTGTAGCGTTACGTGCACAAGCCTTGGGCTCATGCAGTCCCCACCAACTCACCTTCTATAGTTGTGAGAACAGCACAGGAGTTCATTTCCATTTACCACAATATGTTACATCTGAACACTAAACTGTGATTAATCTTAACCACAGATTATTGAAACAAGATAATCAGAAACCATTATTTATGAAGTTGGCTTTTTCAGTAAAACCATTCTTTAGCATTCTGACATAAGCTAAATTGCAGTTAAAATGGGAAGCAAAAGTTTATAATCTAATTCTTGCTGCCAAGCAGGAGAGGGGGGAAGAAGGCTCAGGTCTCATTCACGTAAGGCTAAATCAAACATTAGTGTTACGAAGTCTTCAAGATTATTTCTCCCTACAGGATATTAATGGATACTTAAGGAAGATGGAAACAGGTTCTATGTACGTTTAATGCATTAAGACCCACAGGTATAAAGCTTTATTATTACTTTTACAATGATAAGGTTCGCTGTTATAGGCAGTAGTGCCAGTATATGTGAAAACTAGTTTATTGCTAGTTTGAAGAGGGCATCAACTTTTTTACTTAAAAAAAAAGAAATACAGACACTTGTACAAGAAATACATTGGTTTGGGAAATCTCTCATATGCATTTATTAATTTATTCATTATAGAGCAATCTTGTGACAACTGCAGCAATGCTGAGTTATATCAGCAATGAAGTGCCTTTTGGGTACATGTAAGCAAATGAAAGGAGGAAGACTGCCATTTGATAAAAGTGGCTTGCTGCCTACTTATATGGTTTAATTTCAAATACAGAAAAATAGCAAGGAAAAACAGTATACAGCTTACCAATTTGAAATTTATTTTTATCATCTGTTTTAATGCTTTGAATCCCCATTCTCCCTTTTCACCTTCAAGCTCCAAAACCTATAAAAAAACCACATAAATCAAAGATAATTGTTTTTCTAGATATCTGTAAATTTCATTAAGTTATGCTGAAGCCTATTTAACAATATACCAAGGCAGTCCGGAAATGCTTTTGCAATGTTGTCATTCTACTAACTCCCACTGCTGTCTAACTTGATAGCTTGGTGATGGTCAAAGACATAGATAAATCTTCATCAAGAACTCACTCCTTCCCCACTATTTTGCTGATTCTGTGATGTTTCATATTTACCATGTCATGTAAAAATCCCATCCAATGCAACTTTTCAAGCATTATTGGAATTGTCACCGATTCAAGAATTCTGGACCTATTACTGAGTATTCCAAGTTAGGCTGCACTGGAACTTATATATACTGCAGAACATGAATGGGCCACCTAGAGATCTGCTAGAAGATCCTGATCAACCTTCTGCTATAGAACAAAAATAATTTTAAAAAGACCTTGAGATTTCACAAAAAAAGCATATGTATTAGTTTCTCCCCTGCGTTATGTTCTGAGACTAATGTGTCTTTAACAACTTAAAAAGTCATATCACAAGCAAATATAATCAAGAAACCACCAGAGTAGTGCATAAGTGGATGAAACCAGCAGGAGTCTGGCTTGTGGTATTGTCCAAGCAATGAAGAAAACAAACCACAAGCCTGGGTCTGGACAGCATGGTAAGTTAGGCTTATTCTGTCTGTGGCACTGCAGCAGCAGGAGAGGAGTCCTGGAAACTTTTGAGCTGCATGCATGTGTATGCTCCTTGTCTGCATTAAGCCAAACTATGGCTTAACATGACATATGAACCATGCCTATGTCCGCACTGACATTGACACTAGGAGTGCTTAGCCCAGACCACATTATACAAACCTGCTTCATACTATGGTTTGATAACATCTAGAGTTAGAAAGCAAAGCATTAGCCATAATTGGCTAATGAAATGAGGACGAATGTCCCAAGACTAATGGGCAGAGTTACAGCTGCATCAGGCCACCATAGATCAGAAAGCTCTTACAAACTTGGAGGAAAACATTTAGTTGGAAAATAATAATAATAATAATAATAATAATAATAATGTTTTTTTATTTGTACCCCACCCTCCCCAGCTGGAGCTGGGCTCAGGGCTGCTAACATCATAAAACTAACACAGTAACATGTGTAGCAATATAAAGAAACAAAAAACTATAAACCTTCTGAAAACTGCTGAGTGCTGCTTTGGGGTCATCTTCCTTCAGGGCTTTAGAGTTATAGTACTGATTCTCCAAATCCACATTTGGTTCAGAGTTGCTGTCTTCAGAATATTCCTACGTTCAAAGGGTGGAAAGAAATAATGCAGGTTAAAGCATTAAAAATACTAAGTGATTTGTAAATAAGATAAGAACAGGGGGTTGGGGAGTGGGGGACAGACATCAACCTATGTTGCTACAGTTTGACTTAAGAAGAGTTATTTTTACATTTTTTTAAAAAAATATTTCAAACAAAATACAAGTACACATAATGCTGAGATGCAAGGGCAGCAGTCTTTACTAGTACACTTTTGATCTACTCAAAAGAAATTCCAGCCAAAAATAGTAACAGCTTTAGCTTAATAAAAGGAAAAAGCCCTACACGTGATCCTATAGTTGATGCTGAATCATAATGCATAGCTACCTTCCACAGATAACTGTTTGAATTGTGGGCAAAATGGTGAAGCAATAAAGACCAGAATGAGTTCTCAGGCATGTTTTCCAGTTCATTTAGACCAGGCATAGGCAAACTCCAGCCCTCCAGATATTTGGGACTACAATTCCCATCATCCCTAGCTAACAGGACCAGTGGTCAGGGATGATGGGAATTGTAGTCCCAAACATCTGGAGGGCCAGAGTTTGCCTATGCTTGTTTTAGACCCATGGTTGTTAACTGGAAGATGTTAATGCAAATCACTAATAGTATCTGGTCTTTGAGAGACTACTGGGGGTTATCTTTTGTTACTACCTCAAAACGGGAGTGTGCATCAGCTGTGTACCCTGAATTACGAGGCAAACTGGACTGGTTCAGGGAAGATTCTCACATTTCTGAGTCAGATCTCACCATTAACAAGGCATCTTCAGTCACACCTGGGGCTTCTTGAACTTCCAAGACACTTTGCAGCCTTGGCTGTCTAAAAAATGCATCACAGTTGTTCCACCACATTGTGGAGAAATGAAATCAAGCTGTTTAAGGAAATATCCCTTTAGAAGGGCTGAATATCTTTTATTTTGATGGGCAGGTCTACCTTTTTAATCATGATTAATTCCCCAGCGTGCTCTTTTATCACAGAGGTTTGGGAAAGCGATTACAAATTTGTTTTTTCCCCCCACTTGCAAGTCAATGAAGAAAGCTCCAATGTATCCCCTAAAATCCATGGGAGTGGGGCACAGAAGCCCCATCACCATCATTCAAGCTTAGGATAACACAGTCCTTGCTATGTGTGTGGCAAGAAGCTGTTTTTCCACCACACCATTTTCCCACGCGAGTCCATGGAGAAATCACTTTCTCCCAGAATTGAAGATATATCCTCAAAAAACTATTTGGGGGGGCAAAAGCCCACTGCCCACCAACAATTTCTGAGGTAACAAAGTCCTTACTAGGGGTGAATTCCCCCACCCCAGATGTTCCTGGTGATCCATGCTCTTTTTCCCGCTACCACTCCCTTTCCCGCTACAATTTCTATTGTACCCAACCGGAAAACTACTGCAGCTGTCATTCTGAAACTTAGCTGGCTCCAATCCCTCAAAATAGGTAACCATGCCTGCAAATTGCTTCCAATTCCGGCTGAAAGTGTAAAAAGAAGAACCCAAACTTTAAAGGTGACCTGTGTGGAAACCCCTGGATGTATCAGTCTACAAACTGGCAGGCTTAACTCACTTCGAAGGGGCTGCTATACCCACAAATTTCATTTGTGAAGAGAGGTGGGAAAGCTATAAGCATTTTTAGATTCTGAATTATAGTGAACGAGGGCTGAGTGCAAGGTAGGGAGAAGCACAGCTTCATTTTTACCAGATCTAATTCAGTTGTACTGTACACATAGCACCTCTGAAACAGATCAGGTTGAACCTTGAGGCAAGTCCACACACCCCACCTCAAATTTGTGCTTGTGTTCACAAGAGTACAGTATTTCTCTCTAGAAGTATAAACCTGAGAAGGCAACCTTAAGTTTTATTTCCATGAACATGAAGACATAGGCACACAAAGACAGTTTGGTGGATTGAGAAGTTTAAAAAGAACAGTAAGTGAAGTTATGGCTTGAAAGAGGCAGACATTCTCAGCATGCAGCGTAGCTCCAAGTCATCAACACACGCACATGGCATTAACCTCACTTGTTGCTGTGTTGCCAGGGAGATAAACCTGGGCATTTTTAAAATGTCAGCATGCCCCTTGTCCAATCACAACATAAAAGGAATTGCATAAAATATTCAGAGAGCAAAAACATATTACATTTCACTGGTAGCAGTTTACTCTGCACATTACGGCATTCTATTCTTGCACTAGTCAAGTTCATTGGAGACAGGGATACCTGGTTCACATACAATATCCTAAATATTGGGAGTGAACACCCTCACTCTCTTTTCCTTGTTCTCTGGTATAAATTCCCTAATCTATCTTCTCTTGTCAGCTTTCACGTAACTTAGCCATGCATATGCAGAACGTATGGTTATCTTTAACCATTAACCTGCTGTAACCGCCCTGTTGGATCATACCAAAAGCCTTTTAAATCTACCATTTTGCTCTCACAGTGGAAAACCAGACAGAAAGAGGATGAATTCTTAATGGCTACAGTTGTCGGGGGTGGGGAACAGGTTCAGTTCTCACCCTGGTGATGTCTCTGAATGCATCCTTTTACCTTCTGCTATAGTGGCATGATTGACATTCATTTCCTTGGGAAAAGAAAGTGTGTCATCTACACAAATGATTACAGAAAGTTAAAATCTTGTCCCTCCATCCTTAGCTGTCTAGATATTGGTGACAAGGATTCTGCAGGAAGATGTGGTGCACTTCTTTAAATATATAATCCCTCTCTTGAAACTGACACCCCCCCACCCACACCTGTAGCAACAAACATTTCACTAGTTATTAATGTGGAACTATAAGTGTATGTGAACTTTCCAAAGAAACAGAAGCAAAACAAAGATCCCTGTGAAAAGGAGATTTCAAATTTAGATTTCAGCAGTGTGGAAGTTCGGACAACAAACAGAAAGAAGCATCAAGGTGAGTTTCACACGCTATGGCTGCAATCCTACACCCACATTGGACTCAGTGGGACTTTCTTATGAGTAGACACATCTAGGTATTGTGCTAGGTTTTGGTTGGGGATGAAGACTGAAGCTGAATGCATGCAGATGGCAAAGTGTAGGTGTTCTGGGAGAGTTACAGGAACAAGGGTTTGAAGTTAGGCATAAATTTAGCCAATGAACATTGGCACTATCTATCACATTTCAGAGGAACAAAAGCCATCAACTTATCCCTTTTCTGAAGATAACATTATGCAAAACTGTGCAAGTCATGATTGATACAGACATTAACATTAGAATTTATTCTCCTGTTAAATGCTTCTACTAGCTTCTTTATCATTTGTTTAAAGTTTTGTCTTATCCAAAGAATGTCAGTTTGTTTTGGGAAGTACGGTATATTGCTTTTTAAAGTCATATATGTAAGATGACTCTAGGTTTGTACAGCTTTGTTTAAAAGCCTCTGCAATGTAGTTTTCCTTAAAGAATGCTCACTGATCTGTGGAAAGCAAAGCTGTTACTATGCAAATTCCACCTTTTAAGGGTAAATACACACACTTGATGTTCAATACTTATTTCAGAATCCAACTGCTGGGATTGAGAAACAGTGTCCTCCTCCTCCATTTCGAAAGGGCAGCATCAAATATCCCTTTGGTACATCACAGCATCACCATTAAACAGAAATGGATTCTTAACCTGTTGAAGTCCTGTCTTACAAATAATTTTATCTACTATAATGACCCTACAGCAAACATCTACACACCCAAACTATGTCCTCCTGTATTGTAACATGGCAAGAAAAGTCAATTGCATGGAAGAAAAATAAATGCCATCCAGGAACATGCTTAGTTCTCCCTATCCAATATACTTTCAGTTCATGCTGTATTAGGGGGAAAGTTAGGAGGGCTTTTCCACTGCTACTACACCTACCTAACAAGTGACTGGTGCTCTCTTGCTGATAACTTTTATCTCCAATGCAAGGAGAGAGGGAGGCGGCTTTGCAGAACAAGCATAGCTACCTGTGAACACATTTTCCTGAACTAGGCAAAGTTATGAAGAAATGGACAATAGATGAATGTATTTTTTGGGGGGGGGGATGCTACTGGTGTGAAAGAGTGTATCAGGAAGCAGTGGTCTGAAGCTTATTTAAAAGCATGGTGTGCTTCTAAATATTATTGCCTTGCTGGATCAGAAGGTCTAGCACTGTTTCCAGCAAGGCCCAGGCAGATGTTTCTGAAAGCTTATAAATAGGACATTAAAGAGACAGTCGTCTCCTGCTTGCCCCAGCACCTGGTTTTCAAGGACAAACTGCTTCTGCACATGAAGGTTCTATTTAGCAATCACGGCAAGTGGCTGTTAACCCTGCAGGAACATGAATAAAAACAAACTGTACCCCCTCCACAAAGCATGTTGTACATAGTTAAATAATGAAACTTGCTCCCATAAGAGACAGTGATGCCACCAACTTGGATGGCTTTAAAAAAGGATTAGCCAAATGCAGGGAGGACAAGGCTATTGATGGCTACTAGCCATAATGGCTATGTTCTACCTCCACGCTCTGAGGCATTATGTCTCTGAATACCAGTTGCTGGAAATCACAGGTAGGCAGAGTGCTGTTGTGCTCATGTTGTGCTTGCAGACTTCCCACAGGCATCTGGCTGGCCATAGTGAGAACAGGATGCTGGATAAAATGGGCAACAGGACTGATCTAGCATGCTCATCTTACATTCTTATGTGAGTTGTGTTCCAGCAACATCTGAAGAGGCACAGGTTTCCTACACTGATTTATAAAGGGACCTGTATAGTAGACATCTATTTCTTTCTTTGCTTGATTCACAATGTAATCATCCATTCAGCACTCTACAAGTTAGTTTGAATGATTGTTCATTGATCCAACTAAAATTCTCTGCCCAAAACTCTCCTCAACCTGCAAATCTGGGCAGTGATTATGATACTTGTATCAGCAAAGTATGGACACATGTTTAGATCAAAGATGGGGAACCTGTGGTCAGCAGTCAGGGATGATGGGAGTTGTAGTCTAGCAATATCTCACAGGTTGTTCAGCTCTCTGAAAAAAAGCACTTGTAAAATTTTGTGTAAGTGGAAAAGTTCAACTACTGTACACTGAAACTGTGCTAATTTACAGTAGCTCCAGATCTGTGCTGATGCACTACATGGTTGTTGGGTATCTTAATTAATTCCTTAATTCTGTAAGTAAAGGTTATGTTGCATTCTACAGGAGGAAAGGTGATCTGTTCACATCCCATAATCAAGTCAATATGCATAGAAAAGTTGTGGAGCGGGAAAATATAGCAATTTTAAACACTGGACTGTCTACATATCTGTCAAAAAGTTATAAACTGACAGAAACCTTATTTATAATAATGCTAAACCTGTGACTATCATACATCAAGATGTACGTAATCTACTGTGGTCTATGCTGACTGACAGCAGTCTTCCAAGGTCACAGACAAGCACCTTTCCTAGCTGTGCTGCCTGAGATCTTTTTAACTTGACATGCCAGGAGCTGGACCTTGTGAACTATGGGTCTTCATTAAGATAACTGTCACCCTATCCCCCTTGGCAGAGCTTGTACAGGATACTATAATATACCCATAACATATCTGTCAGTGTTCTGAAGGGTTTATAGATGTGAGAAAAAATATACACATTGACAGTCAAGAGTTTGAGATTAAGACTATGCTTGTAATTTCTTCTCTGTTTGAATTGTTCTTTGGAAAGGCCATAATAAAACAATAAGTTCATAATGAAATGATATATGGACATGAGGAAGTTGTAGAAACTGACATTACACATAAGCTGTTGCTAAAAGGAAGAAGCATGACTTTTCATTCAATCCTACGCATGGCTTCTTGGAAATTGATTCCCACCAAGCATGCATAGAATGGCAATCTAATAGTATTCCATATTTTATATTAAAACAGGAGAACTTCATTGCACAGGCGGCAAATAACTACACAGTTCTATGAAAATTTCAAAACTGTTTTCCTCTGTGTAATCACAAGTACACAAATGATAAGGAACACACAACAGACAATATATCCTGACCCAAAAGAGATGCATGACACATTTCAAAACAATTTTTTAAAAAAACAAAACCCAGCAATATCACATCTATTAAACTTAGCCACTGCCTTAAATTTTAAGAGTTCCCTTTCAGCAACACAGACCGATTCATACTGCAAACACACGTGTGTACACACACACACTCAGGGGAAAAAAAAGAAAAAACACCACATGAAGCAGTAACCAGTATTATACAGAAAAGGCCCGTTTCCCACTGCAGTGTATCCCAGTTGGAGTGCATCTGTGTGCTAACCCGTTTCTCACCTCCTTGTCTCTGAGCTGACCCTGGCAGAGACAGCGATCACCCCTAAGCACCCGAAAGGGGCCGATTCTGGCTCCCTCCTCTTCGATGTTAAGGCATTTAAGGGTGGGGAGGGGAACAATACTAGGGCCCTCCTAAGCCCTTTCGTCCCTGCCTCTCCAAATCCAAAGAAACGGTTCTTTAACTCACAGGGGGCCCAGACTTCTGGCTGGGCCCGAGAAGGGGCCTACTCCTGCAGCCTCAGGTTTTGACTGGGCTGGGGGTGCCGGTGGCAGGATGAGACACGGAGAAGGTAGGTGTCCCCCCCCCCCCTTCGAACTATCCCCACTCACGAGCTTCCTCTGCCTGCCCCACTTTCCCACCTCTGAGGCGGGGGGAACAGGCTGGCCTTGTCACTGCACTTGAAAGGAAGGCGAGGGAAGCATCCCTGAGGGAGTCGAGGGGAGGCTCCGGAGGACCCCCTCCCGGCCTGGAAGCTCGGCCTCCCCCCGCCGCCGGGGGCCGGCCTCCCTTTCCCCCGCCGCAGCCTGCCTCCACCCCCTCAGCCTTACCAGGTCGTAGTCCTCCTCATCATCGCACATGAAATCATCCTCCATGTCAGACATCTTGGCCGGAGGACGCGCGCGCGGGGGGGGGGGAGGGGGAGGGGGAGGGGAGGGGAAGAAAGGGGCGGAGGGGAGGGAGGAGAAACAGGCTGCGGCCGGCCCCTCTCCTCTCCCACAATCCCCCGCGGCTCCTCCTCAATGTGACTCTGTTCTCGGGCTGAGCGAGGGAACGGGGGTGGGGGGGGGATGGGGATTTCGGCGCGCGCGCCCCCGTCGGCTCCCTTCGGGTGGGGGTGAAGGGGAGGGGTTTTGTTTTTTTTTAATCGCGCGCGGCGAGCACGGAGCCTAATCGAGGGTGCACCAGCAGGCCTGTGGTTGGCAACCGGGCCCTTAGCAACCGGCTGGGCCTGACTAGGCCTCAGAGGCGCGAGAGGAGGGAGGCGCTTCGGCCAGCGCCGCTGCGTGGTTGAATCAGCGCACCTAATGCATTTCGCCCTTGCCTTTCTTTCCCTCTCTTGTCTTTTCAAGGGCGAACGCTGTTGTGGCCCCCTGCAGTTGGCACTACCGGAATAAAAAATAATAATAAAATGAAATAAAAATTGAAAATAATAATGAAATGAAATACAATACAATACAGTGGTACCTCAGGTTAAGTACTTCATTCATTCTGGAGGTCCATTCTTAACCTGAAACTGTTCTTAACCTGAAGCACCACTTTAGCTAATGGGGCCTCCTGGTGCCGACGCGCCTCCGGAGCACGATTTCTGTTCTCATCCTGAAGCAAAGTTCTTAACCCGAGGTATTATTTCTGGGTTAGCGGAGTCTGTAACCTGAAGCGTATGTAACCCGAGGTACCACTGTACTGTTTTTTAAAGGACAGGGTTTCCGGTGCCTCGCCATGAAAGCAGGGCGAGCGTGAACCAAGCAGCTGCGATTGCAGATGCTGAAAAGTGCCTGCTGAATTTCTGTATGGCATATGTAGTCAGTGTTTGTTACATGTATACAGTATACAGTATCCCGCTATTCCTCCAAGGAGCTCAAGATGGCTTCCAAGGTTCTACCCATTTTATCCTCGCAAGAGCCCTGTGAGGTGGGTTACGTTGAGAGACAGTCTTCTTTGCCAACCACTCGTAGCAGAGTAAGATTGTATTCCATGAACCTGGTCTTAAAAGTGAGTCCGAGTTCTAGATCCACACATCCTTCCACAGTGGGGACATAAGTTTCCGGGCAGGAGTTGATCATGGTGAGGGTTTGCCAAGCATGCCTTGCTCTTAGGATGTTTCGTCCTGAGTTCGAGTGTCTTTAAAGCCCATGACACCTTTGGAAAAGGCTGTTCTCCAATTGGAGCGCTCACAGACCAGTGTTTCCCAGTTGTTGGTGTTTATACTACATTTTAAAATATTTGCCTTGAAAGAGTCTTTAAACCTTTTTTTAAAAAAAAATTATTGGAATTTTATTTACAACATAAAATAAACCCCCCACCCCCAATACACAAATCCACCCTCATTAAATGTGAACAGTGAGCATAACATACAACAATACAAACAACCAAACCTCTTTTGTTGACCACCTGCATTACGTTTTCCATTTTTAAGATTGGAATAGAGTAGTTGCTTTGGAAGACGATGATCAGGCATCCACACAGCATGACCAGCCCAACAAAGCTGATGTTGCAGAGTCATTGCTTTGACACTGGTGATCTTTGCTTCTTCCAGTACACTGGCATTAGTTCGCCTGTCTTCCCAAGTGATGTGCAAAAATGTTCGGAGACACCATTGATGGAATCTTTCCAGGAGTTGGAAATGGCGTTTATAAGTGGTCCACGTTTCAAAAGCATACAGTAAGGTTGGTAGTACTATAGCTTTGTAAACAAGCATTTTGGTTTGCCTGTGAATGTCCTCAAACACTCTGCATTTCAGTCGAGAGAAAGCTGCACTCACAGAGCTAAGGCGATGCTGGATTTCGGCATCAGTGTCAGCCCTTGTGGAAAGGATAACTGCCCAAGTAGGAGAAGTGATCGACACTTTCCAACGCTACACCACTGAGTTGGATTTGTGGCGCTGCAGAGGGGTTATTTTGTGCTTGTTGGTGCAGCACTTTTGTTTTTTGGATGTTGAGTGATAGGCCAAGCTTTTTGTAAGCTTCTGCGAATATGTTTAGGATGGTTTGGAGGTCATCCTCTGAGTGTGCACACACTACATTGTCGTCAGCATACTGAAGCTCTATGATGGAAGTTACAGTAACCTTACTCTTTGCTTTCAGTCTACTCAAATTAAAGAGCTTTCCATCAGTTTGATATATGATTTCTACTCCGGTGGCTACTCCCTTCAACCAAGTGTAGGATCATAGCAATGAAAATAATAAATAGAGTTGGGGCGATAACACAACTCTGTTTAACACCTGATCCCACTGTGAATGATTCACTTTGAGAGGTATTGTTACTTGCGATTGTTGCTATCATATTATCATGGAGGAGCCGAAGGATGTTCACAAATTTATATGGGCAGCCAATTTTCAGAAGGACAGCCCACAGGGCATTACGATTTACAGTGTTGAAGGCCTTAGTCAGGTCAATAAACGCCATATACAGGGATTGATTTTGCTCTCTGCATTTTTCCTTAAGCTGTCGAGTGGTGAAAATCATGTTCACTGTCCCTGAAGGTCGAGAACCATTTTGGGATTTAGGAAAGGTAGCCTCGGATATTGTTAGGAGAGTGTTTGCTAAGATCCTTGCAAAAATTTTGCTGGCTGCAAATTATCGAGATGCCTTGATAAGTTCCGCAATCTGTTCTATCACCTTTTTAAAAGAGATTGATGATTTTTGCATCCCTAAAGTCTGCTGGGATCTCCCCTCTTTTCCATTTGCCTGTCGCCATGGGACTTTTTTGGGTTTGGAATGGGTTTTTGGAAGATGCCTGTGCTTGAATTTGTTTTATGTGTGTAGATCAATGATGGTCTTCACTGGATCTGAAGAGAGCGTTTGGACAGTTTGTTGTTGTTGTTTAGTCGTTTAGTCGTGTCCGACTCTTCGTGACCCCATGGACCAGAGCACGCCAGGCACTCCTGTCTGGACAGTTACTGCTTCATATAAACACAAGAGGGAGGGTCCTTTCAGGTTATTCCTGCTCTTCTACAAGCACATAACACAGGGTTTTCCCCGCAAAGATTATTGATCCATACCATCCTGCTTTTTCTATGCTTCACCAGCAGGGCCACATATTCTTACTGGTTATTTACTCCCAGTCTATGTGAGGACAATGGCACATATCTTTAAGGATTACACATCTTGAACATGAAATTTTTTTCATTATCCTTACAAAAGGTTTGGAATCGATGCACTGCATCAAAATATGTCTTAAGGACAGTGTTGCTTTTGAATAGATGCTTTTAGATACTGAAGTTCCTTGCAACCATTTTGCTTCACGTTTTTTTACAAATCATCTTTGGTATGTGTTTGGTCAAAGCATGACAAATGAAGATCTGAACAGGTACCCTATGCTTATACTGTTTCAGCCTGGTCCTCGTTGGAATTATTTCTACTGATTTTAAAATGTCAACATCTTTTGATGTTAGAGTACATCAGGCCACCTCAAGCAGTTTTAAGATGTGATTCTAAAATGCTTAATTGGAAGTAAGTTCTACTAAGAGCCTTGCTGGATCAGTCAAAAGATCCACTTAGTTCACTTCCCAGGTGGCCTGGCAGATTCCTCTGGAAAACTCATCAGCAAACCTTGAAGTTTATATCACTTTTCTGCTGTAACTCCCCAGCAACTGATCTAAAGTGGCAGACTGTTTCTGATGCTGGCAGTTCCGTTCAGCTATCATGACTAGGACCATAGGAAGCTGTCTTATACTGAATCAAGCAATTGGTCCATCTAGCTCAGTATTGTCTATACTGACTGGCAGCAGCTCTCCATAGTTTCAGGCCGGAGACATTAAGTGTCCTTCCTACCTGGAAATGCCGGGGACCGAACCTGGGACATTCTGAATGTATAGCAGATGGCTCTACCACTGAGCGATGGCCCTTGCCATAGACTTGTTGTCCGTTAATTTACTAATCCCTTTTTAATGCCACCTAAATTAGTGGCTAAGGGACGCGGGTGGCGCTGTGGGTTAAACCACAGAGCCTAGGGCTTGCCGATCAGAAGGCCGGCAGTTCAAATCCCTGCGACGGGGTGAGCTCCCGTTGTTCGGTCCCAGCTCTTGCCAACCTAGCAGTTCGAAAGCACATCAAAGTGCAAGTAGATAAATAGGTACCGCTCCGGCGGGAAGGTAAACGGCGTTTCCGTGCGCTGCTCTGGTTCGCCAGAAGCGGCTTAGTCATGCTGGCCACATGACCCGGAAGCTGTATGCCAGCTCCCTCAGCCAATAAAGCGAGATGAGCACCGCAACCCGAGAGTCGGTCACGACTGGACTTAATGGTCAGGGGTCCCTTTACCTTTACCTAAATTAGTGGCTATCATAAATGTTGAGATATCATTAGTAGTCTAAAATTAACATATCAGATTTAGAGACGGCAGATTAGAAACAGTTGATAATTTTCCGCTGTATATGGACTACAAACATAGAACAAGCTATGATTTTAGATTTCTTTCTTTATTAAATTTATACCCTGCCCACCCTCTAAAGGATTCCAGAGCAACAAACACATCAATAATAAAACAATACAATTAAAACTTCTAAGTTTTAAAACTTCTTTAAAAAATGAAAGTATGACCACGCAGACACGAATACAAATTATGAAGCAATATATATACGTATCTAGAAATTATCTCGGTAAACTATACCATACAAATTCACTGCGATTTTAAATATTTTAAGTATGAATACATTTGTTGAAAGCTATTGCCACATCTTGTGACAGTGAATTCCACACATCATGTGAAATATACTCAGAGTCGAGAGTGGATTTCATGCTCTTTATTCAGCTCATAGTGGTGAGGAGGGAATGAAAGTTTCCCCAAAGTATCTGCTTTATATACTTTATTTACACAATGGGCTACACGTGATTGGCTAATTCTGGAATTCTCCTGTAGGCCAATCAGGTTGTGGATTCCCCTCTGGAACTGGATTGGGTGGTTCCTGCAGACCAATCATACTGCTGCATTGTTCTAGGACCAATCAGACTGCTGCATTCTGGACCCTATTGTTCTAGGACCAATCAGACTGCTGCATTTTGGATCCTATTGTTCTAGGACCAATCAGACTGCCTCATTTTGGATCCTATTCTACTCAGTACATAACATCATCCGTTGAGACAGTGACATTTACTTAAAAGTAAGCTTATAGGTACAGGATTGGACTGCTGATTGCCTCCCCGCCATCCCCCGTGTGAATAAACCCTATTTCAAGTTAAAGGAAGTCCTTATTTCCATAAGTGGCGCACGTGGGTGCTTATAGACTAGTCTTCCCGATGGGGGAGGCGCCGGAGATCCAGCAACTAGATTCCTCCTCCTCCCCCGCCCGGTTGAGCTAGGATAATGTACTAAATCTGGCTGCAAGAGGATCATAACTTGCTGAGTTGCTATTTGCTCAGGCGAGTTGTTTGCACAAGCGCTGCCTATACGGTGGACCTGGGCGGGGAATACAAAGAGGAAATGCAGCAGCGGCTGGACGTTTGCAGCTGATTTCTCTCTCCCCTCCTCCGCCCCCGTAATGCCGGAAGGAAGCAGCTTCCGTACTCCAGGATCTGAGCCTCAGGGCTTTGCAAGCTAGCTAGAAGAGAGAAAACCTCCAGCCGCTTAACTTTGCTCTGGTGCGCGCCAACTCGCAAGGAGCAAACCATGGCCGCGGATCTCCCTCCCACCCTCTCGATCCAGCTGATAGAGGAGCCCAGGTGCGTGATTGTCTTTCCTACAGCCGATCTCCAGATCCTCCATCGTTTTTTTTGTTTACCCTGTCCAACAATAAGCATACCATACAGCTTCTATACAGCAAGGAACATAACGATGGAACTTAAAAAAAATACAAAACCCAGATGTTTATGCTTTAGACACAAAGGATGTGTAAGAAATTGTGTTCCCAAACGCCCATCCTGTTGAATGCCTCACCTCCAACCTCCAGCACTGTTGAAGATTATGTTCCAGATCGATGTTTTCAGACCTGGGACTCACGTTTAACATGAACCTGGGGGATTAATTCTTTCTTGTCATTCTCATTCATACACACCCCCACACACTTCTTTAATATACTATACAGTGCTGTGGAGTGCTTTTTTGCTGGGGGGGACGGACACAGGGGTACGCGTACCCCTAAACATTTTGTGAATCTAATCTAATCGAAGTTTGGCCTCATTGAGGGGCAGTATTTCAATATGAGTAGGAAAATGAGAGTACCCCTAAACATTTTTTTTAGAAAAAAAAATCACTGGTGCTGTGTATGTTTACTTGGAAATAAGTCCCATTTGTTTGATGGTGTTTATTCCAAGGTAAGTGTGCATAGGTAAAAGGTAAAGGGACCCCTGACCATTAGGTCCAGTCGTGGCCGACTCTGGGGTTGCTGCGCTCATCTCGCTTTATTGGCCGAGGGAGCCAGCTTCAGGGTCATGTGGCCAGCATGACCAAGCCACTTCTGGTGAACTAGAGCAGCGCACAGAAATGCCGTTTACCTTCCCGCCGGGCGGTACCTATTTGTCTACTTGCACTTTTGACGTGCTTTCGAACTGCTAGGTTGGCAGGAAGTGTGCATAGGATTGGAGCCCATAACACTCCCCCCCCCTCAACCAATACAGCATGTCCCTGTATTATTTTTATTTATTGTGTTTGCATGCTGCCTTTCTTCCATGGAGCAAAAGGTGGCTTACCTGAGTCTTCCCCTTCCTGTTCCTCACAACAAGTACGTTGGACTGAAAAAATAGCAAAAAGGTCATTTCTCAGTGCATGGACGTAGACAGGCATTTGTTAGGGGGGAAGAACCTCAGATTTGTATTGATTTTGATTGATTTAGGGAGTCAGCTGCTCCCCGTTCCCCCTTGGCTACACCCATGGCTCAGTGGAAGAACACATGCTGGCCTCGGCTTCAGTCCCTGACATTTCTATGTAGGGCTGGAGAACACTGCTGTCTGAATTTCTTAAGAGCTACTGCCAGTCTGTGCAGACAGTGCTAAACTAGATAGACCAGTGATATAAGGCAGGGGTAGACAATCTGAACATGGAAGCCTAAGAAGCTGCCATATCACACATCAAACTAATCATCCAACTAGGTGACTATTGTCTGTTCTGATTGGTAATGGTTCTTGACAGCCTCAGGAGGCTATCTTTTCACCTCACTTCGTTACCTGAGATGCCTTCTCCATCGTACCAGTGGTTGAACCCTAAACCTTCAACATGCAAGGTATATGCTCTCTACTATAGCCTCCTGGGATACAGGTGGCGCTGTGGGTTAAAACACAGAGCCTAGGACTTGCCGATCAGAAGGTCAGCGGTTTGAATCCCCGCTACGGGGTGAGCTCCCGTTGCTCGGTCCCTGCTCCTGCCAACCTAGCAGTTCAAAAGCACCCCAAAAAGTGCAAGTAGATAAATAGGTACCGCTCCGGCGGGAAGGTAAACGGCATTTCCGTGTGCTGCTCTGGTTCACCAGAAGCGGTTTAGTCATGCTGGGTACATGACCCAGAAGCTGTACGCCAGCTCCCTCGGCCAATAAAGAGAGATGAGCGCCGCAACTCCAGAGTCAGTCACAACTGGACCTAATGGTCAGGGGTCCCTTTACCTTTACCTATAGCCTCCTACGATGTGGTGCCTCCCAGGTGTTGTGGGATATAATTCCCAATGGCTCCAGCCAGGGATGATGAGAAATTTTCTGAAACATCTGGAGGGCACCAGGTTGGGGGGAGGCTGCTCCCCTCCCGATATAAACATTCCCTCTTGATAATTAACAGAAATGAAAACCCTGTTATGCATAAATGGCTAAAACTTCATCAGTATACAGAAACTGCTGAACCTTCATGTTAAGCTAGCCTTGGATGTTATACCTGTTGGATGTTATTCCTTGAATTTATGTTGGTTCTCTAAAAGTGCTACATCTTTGTTATTCATTCAATTGATATACTGCATTGTAATACATACCTGTGCGGTACACAAGATCGCAGTTAAAATAAAAAAAAACACAACAAATAAAACCGAAACAAAATTAATCTTCCTGATTTTCCAGATTGCTGAAGCTGAAGAAGATGTTCATCTCTAAATTTCAATCAACTCCCAAGTTTTATGCTCGGGCACCAGGGCGAGTCAACTTAATAGGTAAAATAATACATACTGGGGTTAATATGAATTCAGTGGCTAATATGCATAAACACATGTGTACATACATGGAAGCACATGCATAGAAGCACGCTTTCAGGTTCCACATCTTATTTCCTCTGCTTTTGCAATTTCCACACAGTTACATCAAAAGATGGAACTCGCCAGAGGTGCAGGATGCTCAGCAACTTTGTGCCTTCGTTTTTGAAACTAATCCGTACAGGATTACCTATTTCCTCAACTAGCCCAGTGTTGTCTGCTCTTGACTTGCAGCAGCTGTCAAGCCCATCAGATTGGGACCTTTCCCAGCCCTCCTAATCCAAGTCCTTTTGGAGCCAGAGGCAGAATCTGGGACCTTCTGCACTGCAAAGCATGTGCTATGTCACTGGATTACAGTTTCTTGCTGTAATATATGAAAACATGAAACTTCCTCATATTGACTACTTCAGTACTGGCCTCAGTTCTCAAAGATTACAGGCCGAGGTCTTTCCCAGTCCTGCTACTTATTATGCATTATTATATCGGGCTGAGGAACCTGTGGCACTCCCATTCCCATCATCTCTGACCATTTTCCATGCTCACTAGAGTCCAATAATATCTTAAGGGCCACAAAGTCACCTGTCCCGCTTTAAATGGAGATAAACTAACATATTTTTCGCTCTATAGGATGCACTTTTTCCCCTCCAAAAATTAAGGGGAAATGTGTGTGCATCCTATGGAGCGAATTCAGGCTCCTTGGCTTCAGCGATAGCAATGCAAAGCCTCCGAAGCGCAGAGGGAGCGCTCTCTCCACACTCCGGAGGCTTCGTGTTGCTTTCGCTGAAGCCTGGAGAGCGAGAGGGGTCGGTGCGCTGTGCTCCGAAGGCTTCAGGCGGCTATCCCTGAAGCCTGGAGAGCGAGAGGGGTCGGTGCGCACCGACCCCTCTCGCTCTCCAGGCTTCAGGGATAGCCGCCTGAAGCCTTCGGAGCACAGCGCGAGTTCCCGCTGCGCTCCACAGGCTTCAGGTTCCTTTCACTGAAGTCAGGAGAGCAAGACTCTCCTGGCTTCAGCAGAGAGGGAGAGCTGCGCAGCGCCCCTTCAGCCAAGCGGGAGGAGAAATGGAAGGGGCTCCGTTTCTCCTGCTGCTTCGCTGAAGGGGCACTGACCAGAGAGGGGGAGATTTTTTTCCCCTTGTTCTCCCCCTCTAAAACAAGGTGCGTCCTATGGAGCGAAAAATATGGTATGTGCTCTGCCACTGAGATGCATTGAGAATGTTTCTTTTTTCATCTGATTTTGGCTTGTTCTCACTAATTGTAGTTTAAACAACCACTGTTTCCTCAGTTAGGATGTCATGGTGAACTACTGTTTTTTGAACATCAGAAACATACATTTCTGATTTCTTTGTGTGCATGAGGAGTGGGGAGGGGGAGTGTGTGAGGAGACAATGTGTGCAGTTTATTAGTGTCATGATAGGAAATAATTGTTTCCCATTACATCTGAACTGGACCAGTATATAAATTATATACCCCAGTATATTTGATAGAATTTCTCTGGCTTGTGTAAAAACTATCCTTCTTTTAAAAGGGATTTTTCTGCTGTTGCTGATGCGTCCCAGACCATTTCAAAATGTTGTTAATATTCTTTTTTGTTTGGTAGGTGAACATATAGATTATTGTGGATATGCTGTGCTCCCAATGGCCATAGAGCAAGATATACTTATAGCTGCTGAACCTCTAAACACTCCAGCTATCCATCTGGCCAATACAAACCCTTTGTACTCGTAAGTGTTCTCGTTATTTCAATTATTGTTGCTGTTACGATTATACCTAAAGTTTCCTAGGCATTGTACAATGATTAAAAAGCAATAAAAGGTACTATGATGCATATATGGTGGAATTGTTTAAACATCAAACAATTTTGGGAAACGATATATAATGAAATGAAAAAAATGTTCAGATATTCATTTAGGAAAACACCAGAAGGTTTTCTATTTGGAATAGTACCAGGAAGTCTAAAGGAAGAAGACAAGATATTATATTTATACGCAACAGTAGCCGCAAGGCTATTGATTGCGAAAAATTGGAAAAGTGATATTATACTGACAAAAACAGAGTGGCTTGCCAAATTATTGGAGTATTACAATATATCCAAAACAATGGGAGAAATTGAAAGGATCTCAAAATAGAAGATAGACAGGGACTGGAAGGTGTTTAAAGGATACTTGCAAAACCATACTGAAAAATCAGAACTCCTATTAGAATAAACAAGTTCCGTTTTAAATACTGAAATAATAAATAAGATGGATAACAATGTGTAACAGAAAAAGAAGCGTGAAATTAGGTTAAAGGTGTGTGAAAGAAAGTAATAGAAGTGGAAAGAAATTGCAATTGAGTAGATTGGAAGTCTAACACAAAGGTGGGGTGAGGGGTGGTGGATGGTGATGGGAAAAGGAATTGTCTGTGGGATTGAGTGTAGGTATGTTTGAACATTTTTAAGGATTGTATAAAATGTATGCTTGTATGCTTGTATATTCGCAATATGAGTGTATTAATGCTGAATTGTTTTAATAATAAAAACTTTTCAAAAAAAAAAAGAAAAAAGCAAGATACCCAATGCTTTCAAGCTTGCATTCTGATAGACACAATATAAAGAAAAATGGGATGGGAAAGGAACAGAAAAAGAAGCAAATTTGGACATGCAAATATTTCATGGCAAGGTAGAAGGGCCATTCTGGGAGCAAGTGTCCAAGTTACAGGAGACTGGACATCAGCAAAGTGCTCACCAATGAGGACAGGATTATAGATGCAGCACAGTCTGAACAAACCAAGGTCAAGAACAGAGGATCAGTCTAGCCCTGTGAATAGCTCAGTCGGTAGAGCATGGGACTCTTAATCTCAGGGTTGTGGGTTTGAGCCCCATGTTGGGCAAATGATTGCAGGGGAATGATCTTCATGCTCCCTTCCAACTCTATAACTCTATGATTCTATGACACAGGGACATATGTACTGTACATTTAAAACAGTATCGTACTACTCTAAATGACCATGTCTCCAACAACTTTAGGCACCCTTAACAAAGTACACTCTCTTTAGGGGAAGCCATGACTGTTTAAAGTAGTATAATATTGCTTTAAATGTATAATACAGACAAAGACCAATCTACCAGGCCAAGATCAATATCACAGGGAATGATATAGGTATAATTCTGCAAGTCTATAAAACTTGACCCAGGAACTGGGAGCCAGAGAACCCTGGTGTTTCTAGCAACTGGAAGATTCAAGAGGGATGTCTTGTATGCCTCCTAAACACCACAGCTGCTGGCAGTAAAAGACTAAGATTATACAATAATTACATAATTATACAATAATAATAATACTGTAATTAGGGATGCATTGTAATGATCAGAGCAGATATCCATGTGGTGCCATTCAGCTAGATCTGCTATATTCTGTGTGTGTACAGTACATGAGCAAATTATTTGGAGTGCTCTAATATTTCTTTCAGAGTGACTTGTGTTTTCCTTGTATGTAACAGAACTTGCACACCTTTCTCTTGTTCCTAAATGCTTGGCGGGGTATGTAGTTTGAGGAAAACTGCCTCGTGGGCCAAATTTGGCTCATGGGCTGGAGGTCCCCAACCCTTGTCTTACAGCATAATACAGTACAGAGGACCAAACTACACCTAAGTGAGATCTCCTCTTGGGCTATTTTGGTTGTCTGTACAGGTCAAATTATTATTCCAAAAATAAGAATGGAGTCTTGATTCATAACACTGGATTTTAAAATTCTCTGCACCCGAATTGCAGAAAAGTTGCCTCAGACAACTCCATAATAAGATTATTGTGTTGATAATTTCCAGGATAGAATGAAAGTGTCAATTTCTGTTCTTTGCAAAGAGTTTCCCCATTTACTCATTTCTCACAGTTATATTGCATCGTGCCTGGGCGTCTTGTGAGGATGGATGTCTGAATATCATGTGCCAGTTTAGATGCCAACATTTCTTTCAGTCTTTTGGTTTGAAAAGGCTGCAAATAATTTCAGTGGTCTGCACACTCAACTTGTAACATTTAATTCCGCTGGGCAGCCAGCGATACCATATAATTATCCCTGTTTTGTTTATTGTTTGGTTTTTGAGCTTTTAAAAGAAAGGCATGCACAGAGGAAACAGGATCCTTGTTTATTTGGAGGGAGGAGAGAAAAGGGGAAGCAGCAGACTGCGTATTTATTTTCTAGGGCTAACAATAAGAACTTGTAGCACAACGAGTGATTTCTGTCAACAGTAACTTCTCCTTTTTGTGGTATTATTCATCTGAATTGCCTGATGAATTTTAAGAAAACATGGAAACAAGTCTGGTTTGTAAAATAGACCTTAGGGTCTGCCTGGATGCTCTTTTTTCCTACCTAGAATAGTTATTTTAAAGTCCTTTAAAGCCCTAAGATAGAGTGCGAGACTGGTTGCATTATTACCAAATAAGAGAGGTTTATAATTTGGATAGAAAAATTGGCTTCCAGGTGGAAAAATCAAAGTTGGAAACAGAACTGTTAGATTCCAAAACTAAAACACTTTCAAGAATGTATAACTTGCTGCTAAAATGGAATACTCAGGATGAAATGGTAAAATCTGCTATGATTAAATGGGCACAGGATGTTGGACATAACATTATGTTTGCTGACTGGGAACGGTTATGGACCACAGGTATGAAGTTTACGGCATGTAATGCCTTAAGAGAGAATATTATGAAAATGATATACAGGTGGTACATGACCCCAGTCAAGCTTGCAAAAATCTATCATTTGCCCGATAAGAAATGTTGGAAATGTAAAGAAACTGAAGGTACATTCTTTCACCTTTGGTGGACGTGCCCAAAGATTAAGGCTTTCTGGGAAAGGATATATAATGAGTTGAAAAGGTATTTAAGTATACCTTCTTAAAGAAACCAGAGGCCTTTCTCCTGGGCATTGTTGGCCAATTGGTGCCAAAGAAGGATAGAACTTTCTTTATGTATGCAACAGCAGCAGCAAGGATACTTATCGCAAAGTATTGGAAGACACAAGACTTACCCACTCTGGAAGAATGGCAGATGAAGGTAATCGATTATATGGAATTGGCGGAAATCCGGGACCAGGGAGAAGAGTCGGTGGAAGAAGATTGGAAGAAATTTAAAGACTATCTACAGAAATACTATAAAATTAATGAATGTTAAATTGAGGTCTGATTGAAAATAACTGGTATTGGCAAAAGCCTTGCGTTTAAGAGTATGGAATATTTGGTTGATAAGGTTGTAAAAATACCTATATATAAATAGATTAAGCTTCTTGAGTTAAGATAAAGGAAGGAGGGTAAGGATTTGCTGAAAGGAGTTTCTAAAAAGAAATACAAGTGGGGAGGTGCGGGGAAGTCAAAGAACCAAGGAAAGATTAGAAGGTTAAATGAAATTACAAATTTTTAAATTTTTCTGTTTTATTGTTATTTTTTGTTTTCCTTTTGTCACTGTTATTGTTGTTTTTTGTCTTTGAAAATCTGTATCTTTGTATGTTTTGGAACTTTTGTAAAACCAATAAATATTATATTAAAAAAAAAAAAAAAGTCCTTTAAAGCCCTTCACGGCCTAGGACCCTTGTACCTACGGGACCGCCTCTCCTGGTACGGAGGACCTTAAGGTCCATATATAGCAACACCCTAGAGGTCCCCGGCCCTAAGGAAGTTAGATTAGCCTCAACCAGAGCCGGGGCCTTCTCAACACTGGCTCCGGCCTGGTGGAATGCTCTGTCTCATGAGACCAGGGCCCTGCAGGATCTGATTTCTTTCTGCAGGGCCTGTAAGACAGAGTTGTTCCACCTGGCCTTTGGCTTGGAATCAGTTTGATTCCCTCCCCCTCTTTCTTTTTCCTTTCTCCTCCTGTGAAGAGATTGCACCCTAATGTTTTAATGTTGTACAGTGGTGCCTTGCAAGACGAAATTAATCCGTTCCGCGAGTGTCTTCGTCTAGCGTTTTTTTCGTCTTGTGAAGCAACCCTATTAGCGGCTTAGCGGATTAGCGCTATTAGTGGTTTAGCGGCTATTAAAGGCTTATCGGCTTAGCGGATTAGCTGCTAAAAGGCTATTAAAGGCTTAGCGGCTTAGAAAAAGGGGGGAGCGACAAAAAATCTCAAGACTCGCAAGACATTTTCGTCTTGTGAAGCAAGCCCATAGGGAAATTCGTCCTGCGAAGCAACTCAAAAATGGAAAACCCTTTCGTCTAGCAGGTTTTCCGTCTTGCGAGGCATTCGTCTTGCGGGGCACCACTGTATCTTAATCTTTTAAATTGTATTTTAATCAACTTGTTTTTACTATTGGTTGTTAGCCGCCCTGAGCCCGGTCTTGGCTGGGGAGGGTGGGGTATAAATAAATAATAATAATAATAATAATAATAATAATAATAATAATAATAATAATTATTATTATTATACCATGTCCAGTCCTACAGAACATTTGTTTGCGGGAAGGTTATACAACAGTAAGCATTCATCCTGATTTGATTGTGCACTTTTATGCATCTTCTCATTAATCATTCCTTTGTCCCATGTTTTTCAGCGCAATTCATCTACACTTTCCAAACCACAAAGTCCAATCCTTTTTAAAAAGTGGATTGGTTTTTCAGCCCAAGGGCCACATTCTTTTTTGGAGAACCTTCCAGGGGCCACATGCCCCTTGGTGGCATACCCCTCAACCCTCAATTCAGGCAACCAAGAAGCATTATCAGAGTTCTAGGACAGGCATGGGCAAACTCGACCCTCCAGATGTTTTGGGACTACAACTCCCATCATCCCTAGCTAACAGGACCAGTGGTCAGGGATGATGGGAACTTGTTCATGTACGCCACAACGGCTGCAAGAATCCTCCTGGCCCAAAGATGGAAGCAGCAAGAACTCCCCACTCTGGATGACTGGTAGATAAAGATGGTAGAATACGCGGAGTTGGCAAAGTTAACAGGGAAGATTAGGAATCGACCCGATGAACGGTTCCAAAAGGACTGGAGCAAATTTATTAATTATCTGAAAGAAAATTGTAAACATCTGAAAACGTTTGCAGCTTTAACGTGAAATGTTTGGTAATGTGGAATTAAGGAGCTAATTTACATGTGAGAGGGTGATTGTTAAAAGTTGATATAAGTGACTATGGAAATGCGACAGATAAAGATATGGGGAAGTCAGAAAGAGGGAGGGAAGGAGGTTGATGCTCTTTTTGAGTAATATTGTAAGCTGTGGATTTGTGTAATGAAATGTAACATGGAAAACTCAATAAAAATCATGTTTTAAAAAAAAATCTGGAGGGCCGAGTTTGCCTATGCCTGTTCTAGGACACACTGCAGCCAGGTGAGAACAGGCAGATGCAAATCAGGGGGGCTGGTATATTCTGTTACTGGGGCATTGCCCCTCTCTCAGTCACCCCTCCCCCAGTCTGTCTACCTTAATCTTAGCTAAAACCAGTCCAAGGGTTGGAACAGCCTGCCAGCATTCTCTTCATTAGCCCTTGTATAGGCATAGGCAAACCGGTCCGCCAGATGTCTGGGACTACAATTCCCATCATCCCTAGCTAACAGGACCAGTGGTCAGGGATGATGGAAATTGTAGTCCCAAACATCTGGAGGGCCATAGTTTGCCTATGCCTGCCCTTGTATAACTCAGTAGGAAAGAGGATGAGGGTCAAAGCCAGAATTAGCTGGCTCTTCCTTTCATTGGCTCTGACACCCCCGATGGCCAGGCTCTCTGCTCTCTGCCCTACCAGCCCTAGTGGGCACTAGTCACCACTGGGTGTTGCTTAGGAAAGTGTGTTGGCCAAGGAGACTCCAGAGCGACCGACCGACCTAGAGAGCTGCATTTGGCCTCTGGGCCTGTGGGTCTCCATCCCCACACTAGGGCAGTTCAGTTGAGCAAAACTATATGGTTTCAACAAAATAATATTCCACAAAACAGAGACAATCTGGAGGTGCCCTCTGTCCCTCTGTCTCTCAGAGTACATGGTGTAAGGTAAAGGTAAAGGGACGCCTGACCATTAGGTCCAGTCGTGACCGACTCGGGTTGCGGCACTCATCTCGCTTTATTGGCCGGGGGAGCCAGCGTACAGCTTCTGGGTCATGTGGCCAGCATGACTAAGCCGCTTCTGGTGAAACCAGAGCAGCCAACAGAAATGCCGTTTACCTTCCCGCTGGAGCGGTACCTATTTATCTACTTGCCCTTTGATGTGCTTTCGAACTCCTAGGTTGGCAGGAGCAGGGACCGAGCAACGGGAGCTCACCCCGTTGCGGGGATTCGAACCGCCGACCTTCTGATCGGCAAGTCCTAGGCTCTGTGGTTTAACCCACATTGCTACCCGCATCCCTTATACATGGTGTGGGGCACCCCAAATTGGGAGTCCATGTGATGAACATGAATGCAGATTAGGCATGCTTACCACTCCACCTGGTACCGAGAGCAGGGAGGGTGTTAGAAAGTGAGCTGGCACAAACCTGTGGCCTGCTCCCCATCTCTCTCTGGCCAGCATCTTGAGAGACAGAGTAGGGCGAGATGAAGAAATAATGTTTGACAGACCCTTGGCAAAAACCTTTGGCAAAAAGAAAAGAAAAGAATGTGTTGCTCCTTAGCCAGCAGATGGCAGCAGCAGGTCATTTATATTTTTAAAAGCACTAACCCTACATTGATAGTTTCATGGACTTTTAATGTTTTTCCTGTATGTTTATATTTTCCAGGGATTTTACTACAAATGCCAACAACATTCAAATTAATCAAACGGAACCTTTGTGGCACAACTACTTTCTATGTGGAGTCAAAGGAATTAAGGTAAAACAAATTCTGTATGCATCATTGCAGTAAGTTAATTTTTTTTATTAAAAATGTATTGGGTATGTGCATCATTTAAAGTGGTTTTTTTTAAAAAAAAATAACACACTATAACAAAGTATTAATTTAATCATTTAAGATGCATTATAGTTAGATTTATTTACTCAGATAAAGCACCATGGCTACAAAACGCTTTCAAAATTTATGGTCTGTTTCACGTTTTCAGGCATTAAAATGTTTCTCCTTGCTATGAATTTTTGAAAGATTTTTTCAGAGCTCCAAGAATAGAGTAGATTAATAAAAGTGTGACATAGGAATTTGATAAACATTTCAATAATAATAATAATAATAATAATAATAATAATAATTTATTATTTATACCCCGCCCATCTGGCTGGGTTTCCCCAGCCACTCTGGGTGGCTCCCATTCAAATGTTAAAAACAGCACAGCATTAAATATTAAAAACTTCCCTAAACAGGGCTGCCTTCAGATGTCTTTTAAAGATAGGATAGTTGCTTATTTCCTTCACATCTGAAGGGAGGGTGTTCCACAAATTTTAACTCAACATTATAAACTGGAAATCCTGGGTTAACCCACTGAAATTAGTGAAATTACAGGTGGGCAGAGTTGGGGAGTGGGGGCTAATAACCATATTACTTGCAGTAATGCCTTGTACCAGGGACAGGAACTCTTTTTCGGCCTGAGGGTTATATTTCCTCATAGACAAGTATCATTAAGGGACATTCAGCCTGATCCCCAGTTGGATATAAGTGCCTGCTTATAGCTCACCACTTGGTTCTGGCCTTGAAAAATCAAGCTTCCTCCTCTACCTTTCCTCTCTACTCGCTGTTCCTTGTGTGCCTTGTCGTTTTGGTTGTGAGCCCAATGTTAGGGTCCCTCTCTCTCTCTTTTATTGGTGTGAGCTGCTTTGGGAGACAATAATTGTCTAGAAAGTAAGATAAAAATACAGTAGGAAAATGGCATATACTGTACTTGAGTTAAACAGCGTTTAGTTAAATGAAGCAGCATGCAACTGTATTCAAGGGCTTGCAAATCAGCCAGTGATTTATTGCAAAACCACATTCTATCAGGTAACCTGTATTGGGGCCCAGAGAGACAGTAAACTCCAGATTGTTTCCTGGCTCCAAGGGGGAAATAAAATTTGGGGGAGATTTGTGCATGCCGAAAAGAGTTCCCTATAAAGAAGGTGATGCATATAAAACGTTAAAAAGAAAGTAAGTGCAAACACAACAAAACCCCTTAAGCAAAACATTATTCAGCTGGAAGTTGCAAGAGAATCCAAGGACATAAACGTGTTTATATTAAAGTGAACATACTATCCTTTTGGAAGAGGAGTGCTGCAAAGCTTGGTAAAATCCACGTTCAGTTCTGAAACTGCAGTCAGGCCCCCTCCTCTTCTCCCCCACCCTCCCAATGTTAAACATTGCGTGATAGGTTTGCAAGTGTGATCCCCTTTCAAGGCAATTCTGCCGATGAGTTCCTGGTTAAATATATGACTTAGATTTCTCCCCTGCCTCTCAGTCTTGTCTTCTGATGTTCTGTGTGGAAGTGGTTGGCAGCGATAGTGCTTGAGCTAATAGTTTGTTTGTGTGTCTAAGAAAGGGAATTTTTATGTGGGTCATTTGTGGTGGTGATTAGGACGTGTTGAACTAGAGCTATTTTCTGTGGGTGCTGCAAGAATTCCGCAAGAACTGTCTAATACTGGAATGATGTCAGGGTGTGGGGGAGGATAACGTTTTAAAATAAATCAGACTTTCTCTTGGAAATCCTCACCTTTAGTTACAAGTTTATAGGAGCATGTGAATCTTACTTTGCTGGACCAGACCACCATTCTATTTCATTCAGGTCTGCGTTTGTTTGTTTTTTCGAAGGGGACAAACAGGCTACCCTTGGTGGGTAGGCCTGGGCGATATATCGATATATCGCCCAGGACCGGTATGAGGAGCAGACCGTGATGTCGGCTTCACTCAGCGGTATATCCCTGGTGAAACCACCACAACTCTGAGTCCCTCTGCTAGCAGTGTCTGCTAGAGTTCATTCCTCCAGCGAGCTTTGCTAGCAGGGGGACTCAGGAGCAGCGGCAGTTTCACCAGTGATATATGGAGAAACAAGATATACCGTTGAGGCACCGTGAGCCGGTGGCAGGGTGGGGGCTCTGTGAAACTGTGAGGAAACTGGCACTCCCTGCAGTTAAAGGAGCCCCGATGCTCTGCCCCCTCACCTGTGAGCATAGCTGTCAACTGTTCCCTTTTTTTAAAGGGAAATTCCCTTATTCCAAATAGGATTCCTCACAAGAAAAGGGAAAAGTTGACAGCTATTGCCTGTGAGCGGCAGGAGCACTGTCTCAGCTGGGGAGGGAAAACAGGCAAGCCCCACTCGCAATATACTGCTGGGTGAAGGCGCCATTGCGCTCTGGCCCTCAAACCGGTCCTGGACAATGTATTGATACATCGCCCAGGCCGCCGCCGCTGCCTCTTCCACTTAGCTATCATGGTAATAACCACTGCTAGACCTGCCTTCCATTCTTTTCCCCTGTTCCTTTTAGACTGAAACCCTAAACATACTTACTATGGAATGTTGTTGTTGTTTAGTCGTGTCCGACTCTTTGTGACTCCATGGACCAGAGCACGGCAGGCACTCCTGTCTTCCACTGCCTCCCGCAGTTTGGTCAAACTCATGCTGGTAGCTTCGAGAACACTGTCCAACCATCTCATCCTCTGTCGTCCCCTTCTCCTTGTGCCCTCCATCTTTCCCAACATCAGGGTCTTTTCCAGGGAGTCTTCTCTTCTCATGAGGTGGCCAAAGTATTGGAGTCTCAGCTTCAGGATCTGTCCTTCCAGAGAGCACTCCGGGCTGATTTCCTTAATAATGGATAGGTTTGATCTTCTTGCAGTCCATGGGACTCTCAAGAGTCTCCTCCAGCACCATAATTCAAAAGCATCAATTCTTCGGCGATCAGACTTCTTGATGGTCCAGCTCTCACTTCCATACATCACTACTGGGAAACCATAGCTTTAACTATACGGACCTTTGTTGGCAAGGTGATGTCTCTATGGAATAAACCCCTTTAAATGCAACGAGGCTGCAATCCAATGCATTTACTTGGGAGGTAGGCTGTGTGTGTGTGTGTGTGCGTGCGTGCACATGTGCTGTGGCCCTGCCCACTGCCATTGTGTGCCTCCTCCCTTACCCTTGAGAAAATGCACCTGCCCAAGGAAAACTAGTTCTTCACCTCTGCTGAATAGGCTTGGCCACTGTTAGCCAAATGTTCTTGAACAAAGTTTAGGAATGTAGAAAGCTGCCTTAGACTGCGTCAGACCCATGCTCCATCTAGTTCAGTATTGTCGTAAAAACTGAAAGCAGCAAAACATCTCTCTGCATATATATGTAGATGCTAGTGGTTGAACTTGGGACCTTCCGCAAAGCAGATGCTCTACCAGTGAGCTATGGTCCATCTGAATGTCATATAATTTACAGTACATTTCCAAGCACAATTCAAAGTGTTGGTGCTGATCTTTAAAGCCCTCAACAGCCTCGGCCCAGTATACCTGAAGGAGCATCTCCACGCCCATCATCCATCCCAGACACTAAGGTCCAGCTCCAAGGGCCTTCTGGCAGCTCCCTCACTGCGAGAAGTGAAGCTACAGGGAACCAGGCAGAGGGCCTTCTTGGTCGTGACACCCACCCTGTGGAACGCCCTCCCATCAGATGTCAAGGAAATAAACAACTATCTGACTTTTAGAAGACATCTGAAGGCAGCCCTGTTTAGGGAAGTTTTTAATGCTTGATTTTTATCCAATTTTTTTATATTCTGTTGGGGGCCACCCAGAGTGGCTGGGTGGAGGCCTGGCCAGATGGGCGGGGTATAAATAAAATTATTATTGTTATTATTATTATTACAAAACAGTAAATAATGGCCAAAGTCTTCCATTCCTCTCAGTACAGCCAATTTTCATAGCTAATTTTTTCCTGTCTTCCTTAAAGCACCACAATGGACTGCAGTCTCAAGGATGCTAAGGAGTATCACAGCCTGTGATCCAGGAGAGATACTAAAATAGTCAGGCCAATTCATCCACTCACTGAAATTTGTAAAGCCTTGGGCAAAAGTTAAGTTGTTTAGTGCCATATCATTTATCCTTTTCACCTTTCCAATATGTTTTTCTTAATTTAATATTTCATGTCAGGATAAGCCAGACCACCTACCAAACACAAAGCAAATAGACACATGGAAAAGGAACTCGCAGTGTGCTTTAGTAGAACTTTCCCCCCCCAGTCAAGGGCCACATTCCCTCTGGACTAATTTTTTGAGGGCCACATTCTGGTGAAGAACCCGAAGTGGCCAGAGCCCCATATTTTACTCTCTCCTTTTCCAACACCCCTTTCTCTCTTCCTGTCTTCCCTGATCCATGGACTGCAAAAAGAGGAGCAGATTTCTGTTGCCAAAAGTCTGAACCGATTGCTCCCAAAACCTCAGGCAACCCAAGCTCCTGGAAATTTGTCTTAAATTGTCAGTAAGGCACCATGCCTGTGTCATATGTGATTGGCCAAAATAATTTCTGTTCCATCTGCAGTGGAAATGTGAAAAAATCTGATGCTCTTTCCTAGGAATCGGAAATATTTCAGCCTTCTGCAGAGCAAGTGTTTACGGCTCCCAAAAATGAGAGGCCAGGAATTTAAAAGATTTCTTCGCCAGGTCTTCTTTCATCTCCCAGAAGGAGAGATTCCTAGGAAGCAAGGGGTGGGGGGGAGAGAAAATAATAATAATAATTGGAAAAAATGGAGAAAGGATTGCTTCATTCGCCAGTAGGATTGCAAAACATGGAAAGAAAAAGACACACAACTGCTAACTGGGATGTTGCAAGTGGTGATGGATGTGTGTTATTTTGCTATTTGCTTTCTGACTGAAGAGCGACATGTACAAAAACGGAATTTGCATGCTCCTGCAATCTCCCATTTACTGTAGCCTGGGAAGCAGCTCATTTGATGCAGCTGTAATTGATCGCATTACTCCTTTGTAGGGCCACTTAAACTGCTACTTCTCACTGGACCTGATAGTCTCAGCAGGGCTAAATTAACCAAAGAATTTAACTTGGTCAACAGCCCAACTCCATCTACTGTTTGCCATTAACAGCCTCTGAGAGACTGTGCATTCATTGCATCACTGTGCAAATGTATAATTGGCTGCATCATACAGAATGTAGCATCCACAAGTCTGTTTCCATTTCCAAAAAACCCATCCCGTTTTTTTAGTTTTTATTGCCCTGCAGAAGTGCCAGCCACCTCACTTTGGAAGCCCATGTCAGCAGAACCTTCTTCAAAATAAAAATGGATAAAACTGCCCTCAGATCTTCAGATGAAGAGCAGTATACAAACTTAATAAATAATAATTATAAAAATAAAGCCAAGCTGTTAGAAATTCAATGGAAAACATGGAGGTTTGTGCCTACCACTGTATGTGTATATATAGCATAACATTCACATAGCATGACATGTAAAAATTTCGGTGGAGCAATTCTATGCATAGGTCTGTTTCTTGGTGTAAGATGTTTTGTAGACATCTTATTTTTAAACAACTTGAAAGAGACTTAACAGTGGAAGAAATATTCAAAACATACCAGTTTGTACTAAAAACACTGATTTGCTAGTTGTCATCAAAAGCAAAGCAACTTCAAATAAATTCTGCCAATAATTTTTTGCTGGGGAAAATCAGATGTACCATTAAAAGTGTTTTTTATGCGCTGTGTTCTGTCCAGTTAGTAGTGAGAATTCTAAATGCTGGCCACAATTCCCTACCTCTGTGATAATATCTGATATTTATTAATACTTTCTCCATCTGTACCAACAAGAATAATATATTTGATATCTATTTGACTTGAAGGCATTGGCATCCCATTTGGCATCTGGTCTAACTCATAAAACTTCCACTTGGCTAAAACAGGTCTTTGATTGACAATATGTGGACTTTGGGGGAAATTGTTAACATATTTTAGCTTATGAGGTTGCTGGCCCAGTAGTTTGTCTGCTGATCTTGTACTAGGAGTCTGGGAGTTTAGAATAATTACTTTCTACGGTAAGCCACAGACCACTTAAGATGGCTTTGTCCCCTATAGAAAAATGGAACTGTCTATGTACTACAGTTTCAGTAAAAACTGGCCATCTTTTCAAAGCCCAATATTGAAATTTCTTACTGAAGTAAAAGTGGTTTGTAGAGCATTCTGCACAAGTCTTCATATAAGCAGCACTTTTTATAGACTTACCCTGGCTGAATAACAGTGATACTTTGGGCCTCTAAATAGCTGCTCTATAACTGAAAAAAAATGGAGCAAGGAACAGGTGGATGTGGGTTTTCTTTGGATTTTTCCTTAGCTACTGGTAAGTTGTACTGGCAAACACCTGTTAAGTTCCTATTTCTAGTAAGGTATTTGAGGTAGCAGGAAAGAGGGGTAGTTGAGCAACATAGAGGAATATCCTGATGTTCTCGCTTAGCAGTGATTTGCCAATATCAAGCGAGCACTCAGAGATTACATTGGCGCCCTCTCTCAGCAATGGCTTGCCTATATTGGGAGTAGGAGATCCGAGAGCTTTATGGCAGGCAGTAGGCATGGGAGTGGCTCTGTGGGAGGCACTCAGTTTCCAGGACAAGGAAGATTATAGGTAGTGGTGCAGGTATCCTGGCTCAACTGCCTGCAGCAAAGTTAGGGAATCAATGTGTGTATTCAGTGAGAGCCACAGCTATAAAACAAGGCGTCCAGAAGGAGTGAACTGGGCTGCTTTTGCATCTCAAGGCATAAATGGAGCACTAAAGTGTTTGGAAGAAGAGCGGACACAAGAAACCATGGTTAGCATGGTGTTTGGGAAATAACCTGTGTTTTCAGGAAATATTGAGAGTAACTGGTTTATGGATGGTATACTTTAACATAACAAGAAATGCTGCTATAGCAATAGTACCCTTTTAAATGATAAGTTATAAAGGACTGGCAGTGTCAGCCTTAGCTGCCAACCTAATAAGTGGTTGAGAGTGCGGTGGGGTGGGCAAGGGCAAGGCAAAAGCAGACTATTGTAGTCTCAGTTTTTTGCAGGGATGCTACCTGACCCTCTCAGGCCTGCTGCTGGTCCAGCATGTTATCTCTAGTTCCCTAGAACTAGGTGGTAACTAAAGGGCCGCGTATCATTAAGCCCCTGGTTCTGGATCCATGGTAAGGTTGGTTCTGGAAATTGCCTCCAAATGTTACGTTGTGACTGCGAGAAACTATGCCAGTCCTGCCCCGGTGTTAATGTAAGAGCCATTCTTTGCTTATTCTATACTGAAAATGTGTGCCTGAGCTTATTGATTAATTTTAGTAATTCCCCCCTTGCTGTTTAGGATCATTTCAGTCTTGACAGTCCAAGTGGCATGAATTGCCTTGTAGAAGGAACCATCCCTCCAAGTTCTGGCCTCTCCAGTTCCAGTGCCTTGGTCTGCTGTGCAGGACTCGTGACCCTTATGGCAAATGGAAAGACTCTTCCAAAGGTACCAGACGGAAGGCGGGTTGGGGGAGGGGAGTACAATTTGTGAGAGACCATGTTAAAATTCAACATTGCTAAATTTCAGGTGTTGTTGGACTACGACTTCTGTCATCTCTGACCTTTAGCCGTTGTGTTTTAATTTGTTGGAAGCTGCCCGCAGTGGCTGGGGTGGCCAGTCAGATGGGGAGAATATTAAGAATAAGAATAAGAATGCAGTGCTGGCTGGGGCTAGTGGGAGGTGTAGTCCGAAAACATCAGGAAGACATCAGGCTGGGGAAGGCTGATTTGTATGAACATTTAAAAAAGAAGCTCAGGATTGTTTTCACAATGACTTGTTGGATAGCTCATTGCAAAATGGAGCAAGTATTGTTGGCCATCTTCTGTCTAGCATGGAAACGCATGTTAAAGGTGCTGTAAAAAGGTAAAGGGACCCCTGACCCATTAGGTCCAGTCGTGACCGACTCTGGGGTTGCAGCGCTCATCTTGCTTTATTGGCCGAGGGAGCCGGCATACAGCTTCTGGGTCATGTGGCCAGCATGACAAAGCCGCTTCTGGCGAACCAGAGCAGCACACGGAAACGATGTTTACTTTCCCGTCAGAGCAATACTTATTTATCTACTTGCACTTTGACATGCTTTCGAACTGCTAGGTTGGCAGGAGCAGGGACCGAGCAACAGGAGCTCACCCCGTTGCGGGGATTCAAACCGCCGACGTTCTGATCGGCAAGTCCTAGGCTCTGTGGTTTAACCCACAGCGCCACCCGCATCCCTCCGAAAAGGTGCTGTAGGGGATATATTTTAGCCTAGTCTAAGCCTCCTTACATAGCCTTGACTTTTGGTCTACTCTTTATAATTCTGGTAGTTTGATAACAACCAGACAATATCTGGGGCTGCCTCACAACATGCAGGAAAAGTAAGAAGTCAAGTTCAGCATAGGAAGCTGAATTGCATGCATTGTTCCTAGCAATTTATAGACTCCTAACTGAAGCCTGTTGCTGCAGACCACACCAAACACCAACTGCAGATGTTTGAATCTGCACTAAGAGCATTTCCTTGCACGTGCAATAACTTGCAAGGAGCCCTTTACTCAGGTGTTGTGCAGCAACATTGGGCTCTCAGGCATGTATTTTGTCAATGACCTGCTGTTTGGGCTTGGACCTTCTGATGTAGATCCTCTTTAGGGCTGGGGATGACTTGACATTCCCCTCTGACTTAGTTGGTAGTTCCACTGCTAGAGATTTGTCAGAAGCCGACCTTGATGTACCTCCAGAGTGACCCCTGGAGGCAAGCCCAGGGAGGCCGCTCCAGGTTCACTGGTGCCAGATTTGGGGTAGGTGGGTTGTCTGCTCACCTGGGATCATCATTCATCAGGAAACCTGGGTCAGAGCAAGTCAGAGCCCAGCGTGACAGTTTGACATCAGGATTCCAGCAGTAAGGTCACTCGGGTCACTCCCATTCATTGTTCCTGAATGTTTTCCCCTGTTTTCTTTTAAATTAACTATTGGCACCCTTAGGAGCTGTTCTTTGGCAATCCCTAGGAGCTGTTGATGGGTTTCCAAGAGGAGGAAAATATATCTGATATATAACCTGCCCCCCATACTTAAACATAATGAGATTGTGGACAGGGCTTCAGGGATCAAACCTTGAAAGTGCTGCATATTTAGCTTGGAAGAAGAACCCACACCTTCTCAAAATATCCTGATCAGAAAAGTATTTTAACCCAAGCTTAGGGTAAGCATACTTAAGTCCTATGTCAGTATGTTAATGATGCCGATTCAATATGGTTCTCCCTTTTCTGTACACTAAAGAGAATGAAGGAAGACTAATAACAAAAAGCATTGTGTAGTTAAAACTCACATGAAACATTGACTCTGTTTTATTTTTAAAACAACATACTTTTGTCTTTTGGAAGTAAATTCAGAAAACAGTTTATGCTGTGTCTGATTAATGTGTTTAGAAATCTGCATTGTCTCCACTTGCCCAGATTTTTTCTTTTTAAAGGTCATGCATGCACAGTGGTTTAGAGAAATCTTGGATACTGTCCAACCAGATACACAGTGCTAACCATTTTCAGCATTGAGGCAATATCTAGCTAACGTCGCATAGTGTTTAAGACAAGCGTGGGGAACTCTCTTCAGACAGAGGTCCGCATACCCACCTGAGCAGCCTTCTGGGGAGGCCATGCCAGTGGTGGGCAGTGGCAGAGGCAACTGTGGGCAAAGCAAATAATGTAAATTGTACCTTTGTGCAAAAGGCTGGTTTCTACACACATTCACACAACCCTCTCTATACTCCATCCAGGCAGCCAAGAGGTGTTGTCAGAGCCAGGCAGAAAAACTCAAGCACGGAATGAAGTAGGGATGGTGAGGGGTGTGGCTTGGGCAGAGTGGGTGTGGCTGTGACCTGGCAAGAGTCCCATGGACCGTATAGAGCAGGCATAGGCAAACACTGGCCCTCCAGATGTTTGGGACAACAATTCCCATCATCCCTGGCCATTGGTCCTGTTAGCTAGGGATGATGGGAATTGTAGTCCCAAACATCTGGAGGGCCGAGTTTGCCTATGCCTGATTTAGAGAATCCTGACTGGCTGCTTTTGCCTCCCAGCCGGAGGTCTCTCACCCTAAGTAAAGATAGTTAGCTGTGAGGTGGGGAAGTTCAACTTTCATCTCTGCTACAAATTTACTGGGTATCCAAGCCAGTAGACCACTTTGGATGTAACCCTAAAATACGATTTAGTGTTCCACGAGTGAGCCTCAGTCTTTTGCACGCTCCTTCATTACCTGTGGGGAGGAATTTGCAAGTATCTGCTTCTGCTTTTCAACTAACCAGAGTTCCCTGTTGGGTTCAACGTTGTTAGTTTAAATCAAAGCATGGCCTTCCAGATGTTGAACTACAGCTCCCATTATCCCTGATTACTGGCCATGTTCTCTGGAACTGGTGGGAACTGGGGTCGAACAACATCTGAAGGGCTTCAGTTCCCCCATGCATGGTTTAAACTCTGGTTAGTGAGCAAGCAAAGATAACGGGGGACAAATTCATTTGGTTCATCTTTTAAGGCGAACTTCCCAAATTTACATTTTGCACGCCAATATGCAAACTAAAACACAGCTGTCATTTGAAATTAGCACTTCTCCAAATTTTGCTGTTCAAATTTCCAACCAAATAATGCGTACAAAAATGTATATATTAGTAAAAGTAATGTACAAAAATGGATTCTGTTAGGGTATTTTGCATTGCAAAAATCACACACAAAAATGCAACGCAAAATACATATCACATTTGTCAAAACTGTATAAATAGTGCATATATTAGGAGATATATACACAAAAATGCATATGAAGTTCTATGTGGATGCTCTTTAAAATACAGAGAGGGAAGAGAATGGAAAGATTCCTCCGATACTCAATATCTCTCAACCAGAACTTTGTTCTGTACTATGGAAATGACAATATTTGCCTACTTTTCAAAGCTGCTGAAAGAAATATTATCTGCAATATGCATTTAAAGCAGTGTTGTTCCATTTTAAAGAACCACAACAAACCACACTGCCCAGGATTCTCTGCAGGAAACCATGATTGTTTAAATAGTGGTATCATAGTGCTTAAAGATATATAGATATATAGATATATAAATATATAGTGCAGACAGAGCTTGGGTTGGCTTGCTGGAATAAGAACCCTTAAGGTTGATTCTTGTTAGCTTCTATCAATAGGACAAAGTAAATAGTTTGTAGTAGGGCACACGGTAGAGAAGGGGAACCATTGCTCTTCATCTCAGACACTGGGGATTCCACTGGTGAGTCCCTTTACTTTCCTCCAGGTAAGTCTACAGTTGTCAATCACAACAATGCAGGGACACTGTGACGAGAAATCTGCCTTCCACTCCTGACCCCAAATGGCCTAGCCTTAACTGACATGGGTCCTGAAGCGGAGGGTCAGTGCCCTGAGTGGCTCCACAACGGAGAGGACCCTCAGCAAAGTGCCCCACACCAGCGCCACAGGCATATTTGTTAGTGGCGATAGCAGCATTCTCACTGAACCACCCTGACCTGGCCACAGTGATCCATGCGATGGGCACCTCCAGGCTTGACTACTGTAATTCGCTCTACGCGGGGCTGCCCTTGAAGCTGACCCAGAAACTCCAGCGGGTGCAGAATGGTGCAGCGAGGCTCCTCACAGGGTCTCTGCCATGGGAGCATATTCATCCAGTGCTTTTCAAGCTGCACTGGCTCCCGGTGGAGTACAGGGTCAGATTTAAGGTTCTGGTTTTGACCTTTAAAGCCCTTCACGGCTTAGGACCCTCGTACCTACAGGACCGCCTCTCCCGGTATGCCCCACGGAGAGCCTCAAGGTCCATAAATAGCAACACCCTAGTGGTCCCGGGCCCTAAGGAAGTTAGATTAGCTTCAACCAGAGCCAGGGCCTTTTCAACTCTGGCTCCGGCCTGGTGGAACGCTCTGCCTCATGAGACCAGGGCCCTGCAGGATCTGATTTCTTTCCACAGGGTCTGAAAGATAGAGTTGTTCTGCCTGGCCTTTGGCCTGGAGCCCATTTGATTCCCTCCCCCTCCTTTTTCCTTTTTTCCTTTCTCCTCCTGTGATGAGGCTGCATTTTAATATTTTAATGTTTCAATATTTTAATGTATTTTAATCTTGTTTTTAAGTTGTATTCATTCAACTTGTTTTTATTATTGCTTGTTAGCCGCTCTGAGCCCAGCCTTGGCTGGGGAGGGCGGGGTATAAATAAAAATTTTTATTATTATTATTATTATTATTATTATTTAAAGTTCCCACAATGCTCTAGAGCAGAGATGGCCAACACCATGCCCTCCAGCTGTTGTTAGACTGCATCATCCCTGACCATGCTGGTTGAGGCTGATGGGCATTGTAGCCGAACAACATCTGGAGAGCACAACATTGACTACCCTTGCCCCACAGCATTGAAGAAAGTTTAAATGGTAGCTTCCAGATCTAACCATTTGGGGTGAGGTCAGGGTGCTGGGGTCTTGGGAGCTGCTCAGGAACGCTGTGTGCTGACACTGGGCCTGTGCTTCTGCGAGCAAAGTCCTTGCAATATACAGGTCCTCCTTATTTCCCCCATCAGTTGTTCTAAGGATTGGCATTTTGCTAGCATTTAATAATGCACCCCTAAAGTGCAAGTAGATAAATAGGAGACTTCCGGGTCAGCGCCATTGGTGAATGGCGGAGTTCCTCCGACCGGAGGAACGGGCTCCGTGAAAACTGGGTCTTCCTGCTGCGGTGAAGGTGGGGACCTGCTAGAAATACCAGGCGGAGGAAGCCTGGGAACGTGGGGTTCGGCAGGGCACCAGAAGCGCCCCCCTACTTGCGGGGAATCGCATCTGGGGGCTTCGGAGCGAAGTGGGGTGAGAAGCGCGGTGCTACGAACTGACTGCTACTTTCACAGAGTGAAGCCGCACAGCCATTGCCAGAGAGCGCTGACTTTTTCCTGTGGACAATTGGACTTAAAACAAGTACCCGTGAGTAGAAACGGAAAATTGGATCAAGAAATTGTTTTAATTTGGTAACGAAGCGGGAAGGTGTAAACAGGAAGTCCGCCTTCCGTTTCCTTGTATATAGACTAAAGCAAAAATTTTGCAAGCTAAAGCCGGGAAGCTGTCAAAAAAGGACTAAATTTCCTTCATTTAGAACCACTGAAACCCCCCCTTGGAAGCAGGAGAAAAGGGGGGGGGACTCTGTTTAATTCTAGCAGGAGAGGGAGTGAAGAAGTATAAGTTTCCATCGTCTCTAACCTGGGAACGGGGTGTCAGAGACAGAAACTGTTGCTGAGGTTCATTGATGGTGAACGTAACACTTTGACAGATAGCCAATGAAGAGAAACAAGTTGATTCTAATGTTGCCTTTTGCATCTTAAAGAAACAAAATATCTGAAAAACGTCTGAAATATCTGAAAAGTGAAAGTAACTTTCCTTTGTCTTAAAAAAAAAATGGCTACAAGTAAATTGTCTCCTCTAGAGGGAGCTTGCTAAATTGTTGCTGCAGCATATTTGAGACCCAACATCTGTGAGATTAAGACTGTGGGAACAGACTTTTTCGACCTTGAACAAAGATGAGCTGGGAGAAAGACTGGCTGCTTGCTCTTTGCAAGACAAATGCTCTGTTGGAACAGATGCATGAAAAGATGGATTTGATGAATGAGAAATTGGACTTGACTGTTGTGGTTAATAACATTGATACAGAAATCATCCAAGAACCAACCTATCAACCTGTACTGACTGGGCAAGTGCAGTTGACAATAGAGGAGGATGTGGCTGCACCTCAAATAGTACAAATGGAGAGACCCGAGGTCCTACAGGAGCATGAGCCACTGTTATTGAAGATTGAAGCTGGAGTGGGCCAAGGGGAGTCTGGAGATGAGGAGACTTCTAGCTTTGGAGAGACTCTGAAATTTGATTTTAAATTTATTTTGGACTACATTGCGGACTGTGGGGAGTGGGACTGTGGGGAATGGGTGAGCTGGATCAAGGGTGATGGAGACAATTCTTGGTTGGAATCCCCCAGAGACCTACCCCCCAATGAGAAAGGAAAGAAACTAAGACAGAGACCAACAAGAGACAAGGAAAAGTGCAAGTACAAACAAGATGAAGAAGAATTGCAGAAGGGACATGGAAGAGATTTAAGGGCCTCGGACATAAGGCTTCCAGGTTGATGGACTAGATGGAATGGACAATAAGGACAACAAGGACTGACATGACCTGAGACCAGGAAGAAGAGACGCTGGATGATGATTGGAAGAGAATTTATAATGGAAACTTTTTTATTTTAGAATTAGCTAATGAATATTAGGGAAAATGTGGGAATGAAACTATACGACTCTAGCAGAAATGATTTTAGGAGTTATGAATATTTGAAATTTAAGATCTAAGTTTTAAGGCATTTAGGGGTAAGATAAGGTTAAATAAATTAAGGTAATCTGAATAATAGAACATGGGGAAAGATGGTAAGGATTTGTTGAGTTATTTATTAGGTTAAATTGTTAAGATAAATTTTATAACAAAAATTGAGAAAGATGGAAAGAATTTGCTGAAATAATTACTAAACTAGAATACAAAAACAGAGGTGTGAGGAGGTCAATGAAACAAGCAAATGGAAATTATGGATATGCAATTTGGGATTTGTGTTTTCCCCCCCTCTTTTTTCTCTTTTTTATATTTTGTGCTTTTCTCCTTTTTTATTGTCTCCTTTTTTCCCCTTTTTTTGTATTGTAGTGTTGTTTACTATTTTTATTTTTCTTGTAATCTTGAAATTATCAATAAATATTATTTCTTTTTAAAAAAAAAGATAAATAGGTACCGCTTTCTAGCGGGAAGGTAAACGGCGTTTCCGTGTGCTGCGCTGGTGCAGGCTCGCCAGAGCAGCTTAGTCACGCTGGCCACGTGACCCGGAAGTGTCTGCGGACGGCGCCGGCTCCCGGCCTCTTAAGTGAGATGGGCGCACAACCCTAGAGTCGGACACGACTGGCCCGTACGGGCAGGGGTACCTTTACCTTTTTAAATAATGGATTGGACAAAAGGTTAGTGAGCAGACATGGAGCAACATTAATTTGAGTGATTGACTTAATGCAGTCAACTGCTTTCTGCTCTGCCTGGCACACACAGTTGGTTTGGTGGTGGTTGCTTTTAATTCACCAGTTGCTACATGATGAAAGACTTACAGGGAAGGTGGCAGGCAAGATTTTTATGTACTATTCTAAGCCTGCTAAATATAGGAGTTCCCATCATTCAGAAATGGTTACTTTTTAAACAGAAAGGAAACCGGAATCCTTAAAAGAAATGTTTTGATTGTTGTACAGGACTGTTGTGAACATTTTCAAACATTTTTATCCCTCAAAAATTTTAAACCATGTTCTCATTTTTCAGTTTTGATTAAAATTATAATTATTTGGCATACTCAGAATAAGGGGGGGGTTTACTTTATAATTAAAATCATGTGTATGGTTCAGTTTAAGTCACACCAAGTGCTTGATAAATCCATTCTAGAAAATCCAATTGTTCAATATAAAACTCCACCACATTAGGCATCTGTGGGTCTAATTTCTACTAGTCTAGAAAATTCTGCTTTGTACTTAACAGTGTATATGCTACTCAGTTCTCATTGACAATGTGTGCACATTTCCCAGCATTAGTTGCAAAAGGTGCATGTTGACTGGGCAACATACAAAAAACCCTGTCCATGTTTTCATTGTGCAAACTTTCCATGCATTCCTGAGCATGTGCCCAATCCATCCATATATATGCACATTCTCCACTCAGCTCATGCTAACCACAAACATATATCAGGTTTTTGTGTGCGATAAAGTGCTTGCTGTTTTGAGAATATACCAAGCAATTGCCTGTCTCCCATTCACTCAAATTGTTGTGCTGTTTTTAATAGGTTTTAAGACTTTCATGAGTGTAAAGATTTCTACAAGATTAGAATGCTGGATCTTTCATATGCAATATAGTCTAAATGATATTGTAAACCAGACTGAATTATTGAAGTCTGAAGGCAAATTGTGTAATTCAGAGCTGCTGGTTTTTAGCTTGCAAATGCAGTTTAGCCTTTCACTAATTTTCTAAAGGCCTTTTTGTATGTGAAACCAAAGATAAGCATACCCCCCCCCAATGTAACGTTAGCTGGGCTTTAATTGGGTTAAATCCGTCTTCAGAACATGTTTGTGGATAGTTAGACACATTAAGAAGCCAGGCTTGAGTGCAGTTTCCTGTTCTGGGTACACCCAGTTCCAAACCAAGGTTTGCTTTGCATAATGTGTGGAATGGCCCTCTGTACTTTAGATGGCATGTCACAATAAAAACGTGTGAATTTTTGATACCTAAATGCAAACTTGTGTGTGTGTTTGCACTGTCAATTAAATCTATTCTAAAATGTTAACATATCAAAATAGTTCTGGTGGGACATCTTGTCATACTCCAAGTTACTGGCACATAGCTTGTTTTCTAGGACACCACGATCCTTTTGTTCATCTAATGTAAAATCACATTCCTCTTGTTCTCTGTCAAATGTTAAATATACAGGGCTTTACCCAGTAGTCTAGTGGCTTCTCCTAAGTCTCCTTCCTTCATGGACCCTTTTGGACACTAGCTTGTAAGGAATACTAAGTCATGTGCAGTCTCTCTTTCCGGGCAGGTTTTTTATATGATAATTTGGCAAAAGGTGCTATGATTGGCTTGGAAGGCGGGAGCTTGGAGGAAAGTAGGCCAGTCTGTGGGAAACAAGCCATAAGTATTTTAAGGAGAAACAAGAGTCCTTTACAGGAGGGTTGGGTAGAGAATAGATTAGGATCTACTGGTAGATCTTGTAGCTTGATTTGCATTAGATCAGAAAGGTTTCTGAAGTTTAATTGTTCAACAGTAGCGACTGAAGAAAGGCAACGTCCTCCCTTCTAAATAAGGGCTGCTAAATCTTCATTTTGAATTATGGTGCTGGAGGAGACTCTTGAGAGTCCCATGGACTGCAAGAAGATCAAACCTATCCATTCTTAAGGAAATCAGCCCAGAGTGCTCTCTGGAAGGACAGATCCTGAAGCTGAGACTCCAATACTTTGGCCACCTCATGAGAAGAGAAGACTCCCTGGAAAAGACCCTGATGTTGGGAAAGATTGAGGGCACAAGGAGAAGGGGACGACAGAGGACGAGATGGTTGGACGGTGTTCTCGAAGCTACCAGCATCAGTTTGACCAAACTGCGGGAGGCAGTGGAAGACAGGAGTGCCTGGCGTGCTTTGGTCCATGGGGTCACGCAGAGTCGGACACGACTAAAAGACTAAACAACAACAAAAATCTTCATTTGAGTTAGTAGATTCTGTCATATATTAAAAGTTTCTCAGCAGGTATGAGCAGTCGGTCTCAGCCTTCTGACCTTCCATTTTGCACGTCCCTCTGGTTCGTGGAATTGAGAGTTTTAGTGAAACAAAAAATAATAATCCCATAAGCCCAAGGTCTGCCCATTGCCTGCTGTGTGGGATTGTACCACATCATAATGCACAAGGAGGATGATAAATAAGAATGCACATGGCAGCAGGGTGAGGGGAGGAACACTGCATGTTAGAATGTACCTACTTACATAGTTGTCAACTTTTCCCTTTTCTTGCGAGGAATCCTATTCGGAATAAGGGAATTTCCCTTTAAAAAAGGGAAAAGTTGACAGCTATGCCTACTTGTCCAAAGCTGTTTTTCACTCTGAAACTGAAAATATTCAAGGAAGAGCAGGTTATAAATACTTCAAATAAATAATACTAAAGAATTAGAGAAATACTGAGTTGCCAGAGGCAGGTAGATTTTGGTGTGGAGCATTTGTCCAATTTTTGCACCAAGCCTACAGTTAAAGTCAAGAGGCATAGAATCACCAGAAGGTTGTGTGCATGCTTCAGCTTATTCGAAACACCACTATCCTCAATATAGTGTGTGCCTTGTGAGCGGGTTAATGCATTCTTGCAGAATGTGGTGCTGTTCTTGATGATGTTGTTTTTCTCTGTTCTAATTAGATATTTTCTGATTAAATGTTATTTCACTGCATAAACATAAAAAGGCTAAACATGATATGTTGTATAACCCACCACTGATAAACATCCCCTGCTCATATTCTGCCAATCTGGAATTAATAGTTGCCAACTGATATGAACATCCGGATTGCATTTTCAAGGAGGGGGTAAGAGTTTGGAGAACCAGCAATTCTGTGTAGTGCTTGAAGTACTCTGGGAGCATCTGGGAGTCTACAAGCCCCATGCCACGATTTCTCCACCCATAGCCTTCTAAAACAGGAGCTAAGGGGATGTCACAAAAAGTAACGAGGTTGGGTCCTCTCTAGCCCCATTGTAGTTTGAGCATTACTTCTGCACCCCGGCAGGGCACTCAGTTATATTTTGTTATTGGTTGTTTTAAGTGGTACTTGGTACCAATTTGGACTGGTAGGGTGGAGGGCAGATAGCCTAGCAGCAGGTGGAGCGAAAACCGAGGCTAGACAAAGCCAACAGTTTTCCAGCTTTGCCCCCATCCTCCTCCCTGTGGAGTTCTGCAAGGGAAGCATTGAGAGTAAGGAGGAAGAGGAAAAATGTATAAGACAGGTACAAACATCTGCTGGAAATGTAAAGAAAAAGAAGTCACCTTTTATCATATGTGGTGGCCCTGTAAGGTAATAAAAGCATTCTGAGAAATGATATATAAAGAATTGAAAAAAATGTTTGAAATAGTTTTTAATTTAAAATGCCAGAGGCTTTTCTATTAGGAATTGTAGGTGCTGAAATTCCAAGGGAGCAGAAAAGACTTTTTCTGTATGCGACGACAGCTGCATGGATGTTGTTAGCCCACAGATGAAAAGAAGATAAAGTCCCTACCAGAGAAGAATGGCAAATTAAACTGTTGGACTATGCCAAAATGGCGAAGCTAACTGGAAAGCTCAGGAACCAGGAAGACCAAAACTTTAATCAGAAATGGGAAAAATTATAGTTAATCTTGGAGACCACTGTAAGCAGCTGAAAATACTAGGATTGCAATAACACTTGTAATGTAACGAGAGCTGTAGACTTTTACAATGGAGTTGTAAAAAACATGGAATATTGAAAAAAGATGCAGTAGAAAAGGTTTAACAACAGAACCCATGGAGGGGAAGGTGGGAAGTCTAGAGATTCGGAGGAATCTTTTAATTGTGAATGTGTAGTGGTATTATTATAATTTTATATTTGTAAAACCAAATAATTTTTTTTTGTGGGGGGGAGAGTGAGAGGAGGAAGCTGAGAGGCAGCAGCACCTCTGGACTGGCTGTAAGTAAGAAGGGAGGGTGGTGGGGCTGGCTAAGGTTGATGGGGCAGTGCCCCACTTGCTGCAATGGACTAACCTCCACTGGTTGTTTGGTTTAACACACTTATACCTCACTGCTCAGAACAGGCGACACCACTTTCCCAAGTGGTTTTCCACTCATGCGGTTTATAGGACTAGACCTGCTTAGCTGCAACATGTGCCTTCAGACCATGATCTGGATTTCGCGGGAAGCAGCCTTTAATTAGCAGGGCACTTGCGTTTTTAGACAACGGGAGGTTAAAGATAGACGCTGCATTGTTGGGGGTAATGGCTGAACTTGTCTGTTTGTACAGTAGTCTATTATCAGGATGCATGTTCAAAGTGAGCTATATAAGGGGTGTTTGAGCCGTTTCTGTTTGCATAATTAAAGAAAAGCAAGTTTGTTTATACTCGTCTCCAAGGCAGCTAATCTCTGATGTAGCTAACAGACATGATCAGTGCTATTTTTCTAAAAACAGAGGCGCCAGAACTCAACATGAACACCTCCCTTGTTCTCTTATAATGGCAATTGCGCCCACCTGAGAGGTGCTGGAACTGAGTTCCGGCAAGGTCTGGCTGGAAAAAAAGCCCTGGACATGATTGAGAAGAAATGTCGAGAAGGCCCAGGGTATTAGAGCCAACAAGCAGACTGGTTGTTACAAAAGAAGTTAGGAGTAAAGAACTGACAGAAGCCACTAATGTGAGGGCCTTATATCTTTAGTTTAGAATATACTATCACATCTACTGTCTGCCAAAACAGGAGCAGACTGTGGCCGACGGGCATAATACACTCTTCTCATGTGGTATTTTTTTTTTTTTTAAAAGGTCAATTATATGGTGATTTGCTTCTGATAACAGGCCGGGATAGCGGGAATGAGTAGTGTGATAAAAGGATGGTTTTTTTAAAAAAAACCAAACATGTGCAGGCAGTTACTACATGGTAAAGGAAGTATGTCAAATCCCACAGATATTGTCTGAATAGAATACTCTGAGGTAAAGTCATGGTTTAAGAGTGATAATACTGCACAGATGTTATGTTTATCCTTTTGTGGTTGTTAGCGCCACATGGCGAAACAGCATTTAGAAGGCTCCAGAGAGGCCACTTATGAGAAGACATGGTCCATCTCTTTTAACAGTTTGATTTTTTTCCCAAGGGGTTTCCACATGATGTGATTTTTTTCCCCACAGGGACCATGGCAGTGGTTGCTACCGTTCTGAGAACATTCCAGATGGGGTTACCCCAGCGAGTGTTTGCATGTGGGGTGGCGTTGTGGTTTCTCAGCATCCTGACTGTTAAATCGAGCTTCTGGGAAATGGTGATACTTTTCCCCACCTGCCCCCACCTCAGCAAGCACATCCACCATGACGGTTGTGTTGTGTTGTGTTGTGTGGAGTGTAGCTAAATCCCGACAAGGCAAATTTAGCAAGGAAACCCACAAAGCCCTTTCATGACACCCCTCCCCCAACACAGATAATGGAAAAAAAATATTTTCGTATTGTGTAGTAATCCAGTGTTGTAGTGCACTTCCCATGTGATTTTTTAAAAATTATAAACATAAAATATACAGTCATGGTTATACATTCTAAAACATCACTTCTTACAGCTAAGACTAAGTGTAATTTGGCTAAATTGGGATGGTTGTTTAAGGCTTTCTTGTCCCCCACGGCCATTACGCACTGGATTTAGAACTAAAAAAATCCTGACTTGCTTCAAGCCAGAGTTCATAGTTACATCTGAACCAGGGAACTGTGGCTTAATGTCAATTAACAACCAGAAAAATAATTCAGGATGTCTAGCTTGGCTATGAAGACCTCATCTTAGTCTTCTGAAGCCAGACATTTTACAGCCAGTAGTAACACAGGTTTCAAAATCTGCAGTCTGTGTTTATCTCAGGTGTACACTTTTGTCATTTTTTTTTCTCATGGAGGTGGAAGGTAAATTGATAAAAACAACTTTTCCCTGCAAATCTGTGCTTTAATTTTCTGTCACCTCTTTAAAGCCATAGTGAATTTTCCCTTTGCCAATGCATAGATTTTCTTCAGAAGTAAGTATCAGTGAATCCCTGTTGTTGCACCGTATTCCTGTAAGTATTGCTGTGCTGAGAAAGAGAATCAGCATCAGCTTTTGCAACAAGAATTTTGCTCACTGAGTACATTCACTTATTGGGATATCTCAGTGGGTATGTCTGAGATATGAACCTAATTGCCTCCTGTGTGTATGTCCAATTCCTTCCACGATAGTCTTCCACTTACTTGAGTGAAAGTTTTGTATTTTTGCACAAGCTGTTTCTTTCTTACTGCATCCATCATTGTTCTGCTGCTATCAGTAGAAAGACTCTGAAGCCATAGGCACAGGTCTGTTCAATTTCAGAGTCTAACAGTCCATTATATCAAGGGAGACCTTGGGCTATCTTGTGGCAAAGTTCTCCTGGATCTGCTAGTTCATCCTTGGTGGTCCTGCCAATCTTCCCATTTGTGCAAAAATAATAATAATGAACAAATGCTTGCAGCTCTAGTAGAGAATGCACACCCATCACTTGCAAATGGGACTTTTGGCAGACTGGGACCAGCAAGGACCAAAAGCTCATCACAAGAGCAGAGAAGAAGATGGGGAGAATTGCACTGCTAAATGCTAACATGCTAGTTCTTGGGCTGATTCCACTGAATGGGTTCCGTGATGCAAGTTTCGTTTTCTCAAGTGATAGCTGAGTTCAAGTAGCAGTTCCTCATAGGATGAGAAGTTACATAAGATAGGAAATGCCTGTATTTTGAGTTCTGTTAAGCAGTTTCTAGAAATCAGCAACCAATCTCCAGCTGTTGCTTGAAGCTACTGTGGCAAAGGCTGCAATACACATGAAAGGTTTCCTGCATTGCTTATGCATTGAATGCACAGTATTCAACCTGGTATGGGTACTATGGAAAAGTCATCAAAATTTCAGGGGGAATGTACGCATAGAGAGAATTCACATGGGATAATCTTGTGGGACTGTACCACTTAAGATTGCCCATAGGCCTGTAGGGAGGGCCTCATATTTCAATATACAGGTACCGTATTTTTCGCTCTATAGGACGCACCCGACCATAGGACATACCTTGTTTTAGAGGGGGAGAACAAGAAAAAAATTCTCCCCCTCTCTGCTCAGCACCCCTTTAGCAAAGCGGCAGGAGAAACAGAGCCCCTTCCATTTCTCCTCCCGCTTCGCTGAAGGGGTGCTGTGCAGCTCTCCCTCTTTGCTGAAGCCGGGAGAGTCTTGCTCTCCCGGCTTCAGCAAAAGGAACCCAAAGCCTTTGGAGCGCAGCACGAGGTCCCGCTGCGCTCCAAAGGCTTCAGGGATAGCCACTGCGCTCCAAAGGCTTTAGGCGGCTATCCCTGAAGCCTGGAGAGCGAGAGGAGTCGGTGCGCACCAACCCCTCTCGCTCTCCAGGCTTCAGCGAAAGCAACGCGTAGCCTCCGGAGCGTGGAGGGAGTGCTCCCTCTGCACTTTGGAGGCTTCACATTGCTATCGCTGAAGCCAAGGAGCCTGCATTCGCTCCATAGGACGCACACACATTTCCCCTTAATTTTTGTAGGGGAAAAAGTGCGTCCTATAGAGCGAAAAATACAGTACCTTTGTTTGCTATGGAAAAGGAGATGTTGGAAATAAGGTAGAACCCTGTTTTGTGTGTCATGCTTTTTTTCTATATGCAGAGATTTAGGGGTGGGGGAGTTAGTTCATTTTACCCGGGGCAATGTTCATGCATATGGACCTTACCAACTGCTGTTTGAAGTGGTGCAGTCCCATGAAGGATTTTATTTTATTTTATTCTGTTTTCAGCCTTCAGCTTTCATTTTGTTTTTTAAAAACGGCTTCAGAAACTTCAGCTGAATGCTACAGCCAGATTATTGATCAGAACTTGGGTTTAGGAAGCATATGACTCCCATTTTACAACTTCATTATCTACTGGTTCTGTTCCGAACCCAAATAAAAGTGGTGGTTATGTCTTGTAAAGCAGTAAATGGTTGGGGGCTGCCTGCCTTCTTGAATATAAACCTGCCCATGTTTTCAACTCTTTCCAAGAGACCTTTCTCTCTACCCAACCAACATCAGAAATGTGTTTGGTGGAAACTTGAGAAGTTTTCTCAGTTACTTCATCAAGCTGTGCAGTTCCCTCCCTGTGGAGGCCTAACTAGCCTCCTCTCTGATGTCTTTCCACTGGGAGGTAAAGGCCATTTTTTATAGACAGAATTTTGCCCTGGCAAGCTGCTCTGATTTTTCCGTTGCTGATTTTAGTTAGCTTTAACTGCCCACTGCTTAACGTTTTCCTGTTTATTGATCCTAAAAATAAATGAATCATTCCCATAGCTTTCATGTTCATGTCACACAGAAGACCACAAAATTCTGCTCCCCCATCAAGCATTTTCAGAGCAGTCGTTAGCCATTTTACCATATACTCTGCTCACTGTTAACTGTGTCACCCTCAGAACAGAAACTGATATTTTGCTAAGGCCAAAGTTAGCACAAATACTTAACAGCTGATTAGCATGGCAATCTTTGCCCCTTGGATATTTAACATGCAAATAGGTTTGAGACGAGAACTAGGATTGCCATCATGTAGCCCCCCATGCAGCAAGTTTACTTGGGGGAAATGTCCAAATAAATTTGCATATTTAATGGGTTTATGCAACATATTTCACTGGGTCTATGCAACAATGGAGAGGGGAGGGGGGGAAATCCATTTTTAAAGCATTTAAGTAAGTAAAATGTTGCAACCTTTTATTATTACCTTTAAATATATGTAGAGGTGGATATAGAGCAGAAATCTTGATGCTGAAAATAGTAAAATAATGTGCCACGTCTCTCCAGTTACTAAAAAGGGATTAGAACTATGTAATTCACCATTAGTATTTTGAGTTTACCCCCAAAGAGCATTCAAGTAAGAACAGTCACCTTTTGTCTTTTTATTAAAAACATCTGTTTAATCTGGACCACCAATAACGGGCCTCCAGCTCCGCTTGGAAGTCTCCTGGAAGGTTTATTCACATCAAACTCTGTGCATATTTTCAAGTTTGTTAATCCCTTTTTGACAGCTCTGTCCTCTCAACTTGGAGTTTATGAGGGAATTTACATGGCTTAAGGAGCACTGTGAGTAGAGTCTTATCAGTTTTCACTGCATTTGCAAGCTATTCGCCCTGATTAGGGTGCTCTAAGCTCACATTTTACAGCTTCGTCTGTTTCCAGTGCCGTTATGGAAACTGAACAAGTGGGCAGGCGTGCCCACATTCTTCATTTCCAAATGCAATGAGTTACGGGCTTTATCTCACAGCCATGCCCTGGTTAATGTCATTTCTTTGGTAATTATCTAGCTTAAGGCCCCATGAAGCTGTGTAACCCTGCTGGAAGGAATACACACACACACATTCTTCCCTCTCCTTCCCCCCCCCCATGCTTGTGCTCCCGTTACCCTATACTTAGAACAGGGATAGCCAATATGGTCCCCTCCAGATGTTGTGGGGCTACAACTTCCCAAACGTGGGTCTCCAGCCATTTTGGACTACAGATTCTATCATCCCTTGCCAGCAGGACCAGTGCTCAGGAATGATGGGAATTGTAGTCCAAGAACAGCTGGAAGCCCAAGTTTGGCAAACACTGGGCTACACTTCCCATCATTGCTGATCATGTGTCAGGGACTAATGAGGAGTGGTGGGAGACACCAGCCAAGGAGGCTCCAAGGGAACCCCAGAGGAGGAAGGCTCAGAGCCAGGGGATTGGTGATGGGAAACTGAGGAGAGGTCAGAGGGAGAGGTTTGGGAGGAGGGACTGGATGATGAATGGGCAACAGGGTTTAGTGAGCAGGGAGAGCCGGTGACAGGGAGCAGTTCAGACTCTGAGGCTGAAGCAGAGGAGCGGGGTCAAGAAGCTGCAGAAGAACCCGTGGAATCTCCCTTTCCTGCTGCAAACTCCCCTCCCCCTGATCTCCAAGAATGCACATAATAATGAGGAGGGCAGAACAGAGGTCAGAGGTGCGCAGAAGTAGTTTCAGACTGCTTAGGAAACATCCAGGAGAGGAGACCGAGAAAGGGTAGAAGAAGGCAGGGACTTTCAATCCTGGCAACTGCTCGATAGGGGCAATACAGTGGTACCTCGGGTTACATACGCTTCAGGTTACAGATGCTTCAGGTTACAGACTCTGCTAACCCAGAAATAGTACCTCGGGTTGAGAACTTTGCTTCAGGATGAGAACAGAAATGATGTTCTGGCATTGCGGCAGCAGGAGGCCCCATTAGCTAAAGTGGTGCTTCAGGTTAAGAACAGTTTCAGGTTAAGAACAGACCTCTGGAACGAATTAAGTTCTTAACCCGAGGTACCACTGTACCTGCTGGGATGGCATTTCCTTGAATAAAGAGTTAACCTCACTGACAATGGAGCCCTGCTTCTTTCATGCTGACCTGCAGCGGTGTAGGTAGCGCTCAGGTGCCTGGTGCAGCACGCGTGTCCCTCAGCCGGGGGCGGGGTGAGCTGCATGAAGCCTCTCCACCGCCTCCCCCTCAGTTGTGGGGCAGCTGAGGGAGAGGCGGTGGGCAGACGCAAGCCCCACGCTGCTGTTTCAGGCAGCTCAGAGCCTGCAGGTGCCCAAGCCAAAACGTCACTCCCAGGAGAGACGCGTGGCTCAGGCACGGTGCAGACCCTGTGGTAAGTACCGGCCTCCGCAGTGTGACGCCCAGTGCCAGCCGCATTTCGTAACATTTCTTGACCGAACTAAAAAGTTTCGTGAGCCCATTCAAAAAAACAAACAAAAAAACCTCCTATTTTTGTCACCCCCCTCAGTGATGATACCCGGGGTGGTCCACACCCACCGCACTCCCCTTCCCCTGCCACTGCTGACCTGCACCTGTCTCCAGCCCTGACACCATGTTTCTGAGGCTAATACAAGTTTAGCTACGTATATCTGAGTGGCACTAGCATTTCAATGGTCTTGTTGTCTCCCTGGAGATCTGATGTAAGATCAGTAGACTTTGGATATCTGTTGGAGTGTTTAAGCTGGGGGTAGGCAACGTGGTGCCCTCCAGATGTTGTTGGACCACCACTCCAATCATCCCTGACTATGACTAACTATGAAACAATTTCAGGGTCCTATATAGGTCCTACATAAGGCACCAAAGAGATAACCTGTTGGATGCCAGCTTATCTCCTCTTGATAGCAGTATCCTTCTGTGTGCTTCCAATGCACTCTCCAAATGTTGTTGGAATCCCATTTTGCATCAGCCCCAGCCATCATGGCCAGTGGTCAGGGATGATGGAAGTTATACTCCAGAAACATCTATAAGGTCACTGGTCTTGCATTTATGCTCTAAGGACACCTAATGAAATAATGACACTCTGGGAATTTACTGGGCTGCATCTGCATCCCATAATCTCCATCCTGCTCTAGCAATATTTGAGGTGGACCTAAAGGTATGCCTGTATGGATGTCTCATGTACCTAAGGGAAGTGTCTAAAGGAAGTACAGAAATTAGGAGGTGTACCTGGAGATGTGAGGATTGGTGGGATCAGGAACCTAACCTGGGAATCTTAGGGTGTAAAGCTGGGATCCAGTTTTGTGAACTATTGTGGCCTTCAGGTGCAGACACTTTCAAGGTTGGCAATATTGGGCCTGCATTTGGCAAGCAGTAATGTGCTCTTGGATTGGCCAAGGTTGACATAAATTGACTACTTCTTTTAAAAATAAAAAATATTTGGTTTTTCAGATTAAAGTTTTACAGTCAATTATCCAAAATACAACATAAAATCAAGAATACAAAGAATCTCCTGGACTTCCCTGCTCCCCTTTGTGGGTCCTATTGTTAATCATTTCTTCCTGCATCTTTTATAATAATCCAAATCTTTTACATCTCCATTATGCCCAAAATTCAACATTAAACTACAAGTGTTATTCCAATCCTGCTAACGATTTTAGCTGTTTACAATGGTTTTTAAGATAAATTATAAATTTCCCCCACTCTTTATTAACATTTTGGTCTTCCTGATTTCTGATTCTTCCGGTCATTTTTGCCATTTGACCAAATTGACCACTTTTCTTTGTCTGGTCAATGAAGCAGACTCTTCTGCTTGCTGCTATCTTCAGGCTCAAATTCCCATGCTACGTCATTGATATCAGCTACCCAGAGTTGGGGAATATATTATCCAAGTTGAAAATTGGGTACAGTTACCCATAGATAGCTCCAGCCTGGGGTAAGTGAAGAGAAGCAAAAAAGCAGCACTTTCTAAATGCAGACAGCTTTGAAAAGCATACTGTCTTTGTGAGCATGCCAGAGGCAGAGCAATCCTGGTGCATATCAGAGGAGAAGTTTACAATTAGCAGTAAAAAATATAGAATGCTTCATCTGAGGGAAAGCAGGGAGAAGAAGACCTAAGTATAGACTGACTGATACCAATGTAGAGATGGAGTGGCTTGGTATCAAATGTTTAGTCAACTGGTATGGAATGTGTGGGAAACTATAAAGACCTCAAAGGCATATCAACACCCCCTGCCATTAGTTCAATTGTAAAGAATGTATGAGGGAACATCCTTGGTTTGTGTGCTGAGTTCTGTGTTTCCTCAGGTGGAGCTGGCTGAACTCTGCAGCAAGAGTGAACGCTACATTGGCACAGAAGGTGGAGGCATGGACCAATCCATCTGCTTTCTTGCGGAAAAGGGAACTGTACGTACTGTCTGAGCACGAACTCAGTAGCCATTGTGTTACAACACAAGAAAGGGCTTTTATTAACTGTGCTGATGAATGACGCACAAATGGAGTTTATTATTTATACCCCACCCCAGCAAAATATAAAAACATTAAAAAAACCAAACATAAAAACTTAACTTAACTTGGTTTTCTTTTTGCTGCTGGTTTATGCTCACTGCTCCAAATGGTAGGGTGGGGGGAGAGAGAGAGTCTGCAGGTAAATGATGTGTGATTTATTCATCTTAACTGTTGTGCTGCCTACTAGTCAAAATAATTCTCTACTATTTATTTTTTTCTTTCCATAGGCCAAGCTGATACAGTTCAATCCCCTTAGGGCTACTGATGTGAGGCTTCCAGAGGGAGTAGCTTTCCTTATTGCCAACAGTTGCGTTGAAATGAACAAGGCAGCGACTTCTCATTTTAATATTAGGGTGATGGAGTGTCGTCTGGCTGCAAAGGTACTGCATGGCTTTCATCAAACCCTAATGAAACCATCATCCAAATATGTGCTGGCTGCAACTCTTTCCACTCTACCAGTTGTTGCTTTATTTTAACACCAGGTCAGGTGCTGCCTCAAAGGGCATGTTTATCTCTTCAGGGTCTGGATTCAGGCCATATATACATGACGGATGGAAGAGAGGGATGGAATTTAGCCCTTAATGTGTGTGTTTCCATTTGGGTAGCATAGCACTAAAAAGGAGTCTGCCCAGGAAGGGCAAAATAAATTATCTTTGTCAAAGCTGATCTCACTTAATGAGAGAGCGCAATCTAATTAATCCCAGGAATATAAAACAAAATGCTTTAATAGCAATGTATTCATTCTTAAAACAAGGAAAGGAAATGGAAATCCATACATTTAAATTCATGAAATAGCATTCCATTTATTTGTATCTTATTGAAGATTGGATTTTATGCACCTGATAAGCTGTAGAAAGTAGCACTCTCCTCAAGCTTGGGTTCAAATTATTCCATGTGTTTCATCCAAAGCAACCACTTTACCACATACACAAGTTACAGCAAGCCTTACTCAGAGAATTGGTTACCAACACACACCCACACACCCCACAAACACATTTTCCTGTGATGAAAGGTGGTATACAAATTTAAAAAAATAAAATAAATCTTATACACTCAGTTGATTGTTGAGTGAGTCAGCAAGTTATAAACTTACTTAATGACAAGGTGACCTTCAGAGACTTTGCTCCTTGAGAATCATCTTACATGTCTGTGGTCCAGTTCAGGCATAACACTAAGCCATTGTTTAGAGCAAATCCCACTTTGCTCAGTTCAGGTGTCATGGGAAAATGTGGTTTAATTCTAAAGTTAAAGCTTTCAAACTCCTTGTGCTCTCCAAGAAGAATGAGAACAAGCCTTGTTCCCATAACATTATGATTGGTTAAAACAAACTGGGATCGAATCTTGGTTTGATATCCTAGTTTGTTAACTGGTCACCTTTACAGCAGATAAGAGTAGTTCAATCTGGGGAGAAGGGCAGGATGTCTAACAGTTGATTTATAGCAACCTCACCAAACTACAATCCCCATGATTCTTTTAGAGAAGCCAGAATAGTTTAGCTACGAAACTGATGTAGCCTAGGCCTTTGATTCCCTCTTCCCTCTCTCTTAATCGGCCTGCAGCGTGATTGTGCTAACCAAAGAGAAGAGCCAGAAAAGAAGAGCATATCTTGGCAGCTGAGAATTCGTTGGAAGAGATTGTAGATCCTTAACTGCCAGGAAATGCCTTGTGTTAGATTCACTGTTCTTGACAGCAGTGCAATAGAGAGATTTTTTCCCCCATTTCTTTTTAAAATCCACGTTATATTTTGCCATTTCATATGGGTGCATATTTTCCCACTCAAGCTTACTTTAAGGTTATTGATGAGAGCTAGTAGAAGCCCTTTGTGATGCACCCATTGCTGGGCTGTACCATTTGAGACAGGGGAGGAATTCAAATATCTGAATGCCTCCTCCACACGACGTACATCTCACACATTCTAAATAGCACGTTAGAGAGAAAGTTATAGGCTTGCTAAGCTTTTTTTTTTTTTATGTGTGAGGCACATTTCTTGTGGAGCATTCAAACATTCAGCATATACAGCCTAAAATGATGCAGCCCAACAACAGATAACATCACATGTGGCTTTCGCTGATCTATTTTAGCTTTTAGTGGAATGCATTACAATTGGAAATAGCCCACAGTTTATGGGGAGCAAACTGGTGACTTCCAAAGCTGAAGTCAAGAGTCATTAGACCAGATGTTCCGCTGGTTGGATCTGTCTAGTTTTCCTAGGAAACCTGTCCGTTTACAGCCTTCTACGGGAGATGACTGGCACAACATTTGTGTTGGCTTCTGTGGTTCCTTTAAGTTACAAAGTTTAGGATTCTGCATTGTGAGGACATTGCTGTAACTATAATTTATTATTATATATAGTGGGTTTTCTCCCCCTTAAAAGGAGCTCAGGATAGCATATATGGTTCTTGCCCTGGCACATGAAAGTACCTGGAACCTGTGTTCATCATGTGTAGTCATTCTTCATATGTTGAGGATGGCAACACCACATCAGGTCTTCTCAGTGGTGGCTCCCCAGCTGTGGAAGACTCCCTAGAGTGTTGTGCCTGGTGCCATCACTGTCCACCTTTGGTTGCCAGGTGAAGATGCACAGGCAGTTAGCTCTTAGTTGGCGTTCATCTTTTAGTTTATTTTGTGATGTATTTTAAATTTGGCATTGCGTGCTTTTTTAAACAAGTTGTAAATTGCTTTGAGACTTTTTTTAGTACATGAAATAGACTAAATAAATAAATAAATAAATATTATAATCATAATTTTCTCTTTCAAGCAATTCTGTGAGGTTAAGAGACTGTGACTACCCCAAGTCACGTAATGAGCTCCAGCACTGGGGATATGAGCCCAGATTTTCATTCAGGATTCTAACCCCCTTTTACCACATTGGCTGTCAACTTAGCTGCTCTTCAGTTTGACATTAAGATCACTAGAGATATTCAGAAACATTGACGCTACATTAAAAAAACCGAAACACATCACTTTAAAAACAACCCTTCATTGCCTCTGCATATGCTTGAGAGGGACAATTTTAATAGAATGCTAAACTCTTTAAAATGTTTGGCAAGGAAGTGCTGTCTTGGGTCCCTAGAAAAACCAACAGATGTTAGAGAAATATAATCGCTGTAACTGGGATGCACGAAAGAATTGTTTTTAGTCTCACTGACAAGATGAGTAAAAACAAGGTCCCTTTAATGCTTTGGCATGAATTAATGCCTAAATATGTGTTCACTATAATGTCTGAAAATGACTCTGATTTTAATAGTAGCAGACCCATGTGATAAGAACTATAAACCTTACAAAGTACACTAGATGGCACCAAAAGTAGTTCATAAAAAACAACAACACCTGCATGAAGGGAATTAAAACAGGAAAAAAGGCAAGCTAAAATTGAAAAAAGCAATAGGAGGAAAGCAACACCTTTAACAGAAGTTTCCTTCTCAGTAATTTTCTCTCTCAAATGTATAGTTTTATTAAGAGATTTCCAGTACAAGGACTCATTCTCCTAGTGAAATGAAAGCTAGGTGCAACCACAACATGGCCTCTCCCAAAAACTTCATTCACCTAAGTGTGGTTGTTGTTCCTTCCACTGTTTATTTTATTGGCTGTGGAGTGTAGAGCCCAAAACTGCAAATAGGGTTACGTGTGTGTAGGTAGATCCAGGTAGGGAGAAGTCCTTGAAATACTGGGGTCCTCTTGAGGTACATAAGTCTTTATAGGCTAAAAACCAGCCCTAGGAATTGAGCCAGTAAACTAATTGGTACCCACTGCAGTGGTGGCAGAATTGGTGTTACATGCTTAGATCGCAGATCCTGAGGAGAGTGGAAAGTAGAGCAGAAGCAGGCACAGGGTAGTCGCCTTCACTACCCCCCCCCCCAAATAAAATCCTTCCTACACGGTCTTGTGCATTGAAGAGGATTCTCGAGAGCTTTTTAGGGCACATATTCAGTTCATGCAGGGCATTGACTAGGTCTTTGGAGCATCACTGTCAGCCCAGAAGCACCAGGAGGATGCTAGAATGAGATATGATTAGTAGCTGTGGGCAAAGATGCTCTCCCTTGAAGTCTGTCCACTAATACTCATCATTAAGGACATTGATGGGAGAGTGCTTTTAACCTCCTGTTCTATTTGTCACCTGTTGTCTTGTTTCTCACCACTGTGATAAAGGAATGAACCCTTTTTAGAAACCTCCAACCTTTTTTGTTGAAATTATAGGGGTGATTTCTCTTTTCACTCCCCATGTTAAGGAAGGACATCTGAAACTTTTATATTCATTTCTTCATGGCTTTCTTGTTCTCAACTAGGCTGCACTGGCAGCTTGCAAATGTCATAATGCCATACGATTGAATATATGAAGTGTGACAGCCCAATTGGGCTACTTTAGAGTGGATCTGAATGCACTTTTATCAATGTAATCTAGGACTGGGAGCAGACCGCATTCTTCGCTTGAAAAAGACTCGAACCTCCTATTAAAATTTGCCCTGACAAAAAAAGCTCCTTCATTTAGACACAGTTGTGGTTGAGAATATGTTTCTTCTTAAGATAAAGTCATAATTAAAAAACCTGAAACAAACAAATAAAGGACCCCTCAGGACATTTGCAATGAAAGGTTTCATCACTGACAATATTTTTGCACCCTTGTCTTCAGGGAAAGTAACCACAATCACTGCTCCAGTCTAGCAAGCGCTGGATCACAGCCAGAATTTAATATGACCCAGGGCTCACCAAGACTTCACTCCACATCTTGCTTTCAGTGCCAGTAAATGCCTTTGACCATCTACAGTCTTTCATTGCCACTGAATAACCACAATTAACCCCCATACATCTGAAATCTAGGCCAGATGGTCTTCAAGGCAGGCTTGAGGCCTAGTTTTTTTCTTTCCTTCCCCAGATTAGTAACTAAGCCCTGATAATGACCCCTTCACCATATGTATGTTTATGTCATTTCTCATTATTGGAATCCTTATATCATTTATATTTTTATCTCCTCAGTGGTGTGGGGTGCTGGCAAAATGCCCTCTGCTTTTGCACAGGTGTAGAGAGAGTGCTGTAAGATGAGCAAGGAGAGTGGGTCTGGAAATCTGTGGGGATTCATTTTTCGGGGAGGGGGGTAAAGTTTTTTTTATTATTCAATTTTATAATGTATATGAAAAATAACAACAAAAATTTAAAAATGAAGAAAAAAACCTATAAAATAGGCACACAGAATGAGTAGCTGCAGATAAAATAACAAAGTCCAAGTGAAGACTATTAATTTTATCGGAATATCAAGTATAGTTCCAGATTTGCCAGACTTGTGATGAGGGTTGTCTTGAAAATGATGGTTCCGTTTTTATGTTATGAAGGAATGTCAGATCATATAAAAAGTGTCTGGAGGTTCTAGTCCTTGTCAAAATCCCAAATTATGTGTGATTTTCTCCATTATAGCTGTATTCCAAAGAATGGTACCAAGCATCAAGTGTAAGATTTTGGACTGTTTTCCACTGAGTTGCAATTACTATTTGCGCTGCCAAGATCACATATAAGACGAATACTTTTGATAGTATATTTACATTGCTGTTATCAAAAATATTCACTAACATTAATTTTGGACAACAAACAATAGTTTATTTAGTAATATTTATCATTTCTGTTGTGGGGCTTCATTTAAGCCAGGACTCTGTAGGGGTTAGCTCAATAATATGTTTTCAGTGCTAGGGACTGGTCAGGGAATATGAGAATACTGAAAACGGTGCCTCTGAACATGCCCAGAGTGCATTATAATTTCCTCATTGTTGAATATTCACCCCTAGGCTAAGATGATATTTCCTCCCTCCACAAATACTTCTTTCTGTCTCTGTTATGTCAATATTTGCCTTTGTACGCCTGCTGCCTAAAAATGTTCTAAAGATTTGACCCCCCCTTTATTTTAGTTGCTATACCCAAAATTGTGCAAAAAAGGGGGAAATTAACAAGCACAAGACCTATTCATTTGCTTCATCTGCATAAATTTACATTTTAAGGAAATTGAAGTGATTGATTTAAGTGCTGTGCATTTTCTACAAAAGGAGGGTGTTATGGCTAAAAATCTGTCTGGGAATGATGCTTCCCTCTGTACATGGAATTCTTCTGAATCTTAGATGAACATATGAAACATCTTTATTCTGCATCAGACCACCAGTCTATCTAGCCTGATGTCATCTGATCTCCAGGGCTGCTCTCCAAGGTTTCAGGTGGCAGGAGGCAGGGTGCCTTTCCCATCACCTGATCACTTGGGCTGGATGATCCTGCAACCTTATACGTGCAAAGAATGTGATCTGTCACTGAGCTGTGATTCCCTCCCCCTTGGTGCATGAGGTCTTGTTATGATTTTCCACAGTGGTGCACATGCTCAGAGCCGCACACATTAGTTCACATATTCTGGGCTGTAGAATTTTCACTGAAAATACATCCCAGTGATGTGGTCATCAGACCTTGCATCTCTCTTTTCAGAGTGCTTTCCTGTTTTTATGTTGGAAGAGTAATGAAAAAATTGAAGGAATTCAGCTGCACTTTTCTCAAAAGCAGAGCAGAAATTTACACCCCACACATCTTTGGGCGACCAGAACTACCCATGATTCCGCAAAAAAATTTTTCAGTCTTGTCAGATTGCTTTCGTGCAACAAAGTTGAACACTTGGGAAAGATGAGGCTCAGCTGTCAGAACGAGATCAAAGTTAACTAATGCAGAAATACTCTTTCCAGGAATAGCCAGCCGTGTTCAGTTCAGTATATATGAGCAGCTGTTTGAATACCAGTTTATGTGTCTTTGAGGGAGTGGTCTGTGCTGAACATCAGGGCTCTTTATGGTGACTGGTCCACTATAATGGCAATTAAATGTCGAAGATTAACCACAGATCACCACAAGATTGCCCCAAGACATTTTGGTGCATGAGGCAGAAAATCACAAGCAACACCTCCCTCCCACTACTTAACACGGGGCTCAATCCAATGGGAAGATCTCCTGCTCTGCGGTTCTTCTCAATGTCCCAATTAATTCTAGTGCCTTTTGAAGAGGAGTTGTTCTTGGTGGACTGTGCCCTAGAGAGTCTAGTCTGGGTGTTTCTGTTGCCCCTAAAACCCATCATTCTGGAAGTGGCTGTTTCACTTATCTTGTGGTAAGTTCACACCATACCACTTCCTGGATTAGTTTCCATCTGGACAGCCTAAGAATCAAACCAAGTTTGTTTTAAGCAGAACTTCTGGCTGTTTTTAGGCTTTATGTGCCAGAAAATCTCCAGGACATGGTGATTATGTGGCTTTATAAAAGTCATTTTTTGTGTATGTGCACAGCTTCGGATCTCAGTATGTAAAGGGGAAACATTTCCTGTATATGCCTCCCTTAGGATAAGCAGAGTCCTTTTATGAGTGTCCTCTCCCTCTGAAGTATGCAGGTTGGCAATGAGAGTTGAGGTATTGTCAGTGCTGGTTCCTGTGATGTAAAACACTCTCCCTAGAGAGGCCCATCTGACACCAACAGTAACTCCTTTTCAGCGCCGTGCAAAGAGCTTCTTTGCCTTTTAGCCTGGTTCCCTGTAACATCACTTCACCTGAGAGAGCCGCCAGAAGACCCTTGGAACTGGACCTCAGTGTCTGGGCTGAACAATGGGGCTTTCTTCACATTTAATCTTTTTCCTTGATATATAAAGTGACTTTATTACATTTTGCAAGGTGCTATGGTTTAACGTACTTATCCCCTTAAGTGGGAAGAGTCTGCTATATTTTCCAATTCTTTAAATTAATCTTGCTGCCAATATCATGTTAAAAATTATGCTGTTCTTTGTGCTTTTCAAAGAGTTTTCTCTTAAAGAAAAAATAGCTTGTAAGGGTTTTTGAGGAAATGTTTTGTATTAACTTCAAACTGCTAAGATGTCTATGCATTGTTTGTTGTTGCAGCTTCTAGCAAAATCCAGAGGCCTAGATTGGAAAGCAATGGCAAAGCTCCAGGAAGTGCAGGTCAAGCTGAAACTAAGCTTAGAGGAAATGCTGGCTGTGGTTGAGGAGGTGTTTCACCCTGAGCCTTACAGCATAGAGGAAATTGGGAAAAACCTGGGAATTAGCTCCAAAGAGCTACGCACTCAGATCCTCAGCCAGAACACACAAGACGGTGAGTGCATGCCAAATTGGAGGTGGTGGTGATGGTCAGCGAATGTTTCCATTTATGTAAAGGATAATAGGCAATAGACGTGGAAATATTTTACATTTTGTATAACCTCAAGTGGACCTTCTTTTGGAATCTTTGTAGAGTAAAAGGGTTGATTGTGTTGTGACCTTTTAAAAATGAAGTGGAGAAAATGGAACTGAAATGTTATCTGATTAGTCAAGGCAATATACTGATAAATGGCTTGGTTATTAAAAATACAGGATTGAATTAATTGCATGCAGCCTTCTAGGTCAGCAGTGGACAACTGGTAGTTTTCAAATGAACTTTGGCTCCTGAGAAATCATCATTCGGCTTACCACTTACTTGTGTGTCAGATAGCCTCTTCCTTCCATGATAGCTCCGTGGTACATAATAATCTGGACCTTTTAGCTGGAGGAAGATGTGTGTGTGCTTGTTCTAGATTGGCTCTCTGGCCTGTGTAGTTGCTGACCACTGCTCCGAGTCACTTGGCCCTAAAACATTTCCCACCAAAAGAATATCAGAGGCAAATGAATAGCCTGTTGGGTTTGGACAAAGGATACCCAGTTTGAAACCCCTCCTCATCCATGACACTGAGTAGGTTGGCTTTGGGCAAAGTCCAAATCTGTTTCATAGTTGCTTCACGTGTTACAACATGCCTACATGCAGATCTATCCACATGCATGTTTTCCTTGCACACACATTGGGAAGTCACATTGGCTGTAACTTAGCAGCACAATAAAACAAACAAACAAACATACATACATGTGGACAGTTGTCGTATGTTTCAAGCTACCCACACATTTCTTACAGATTTTGTCACTGATAGGATTAAGGAAGATAACTGTGCAACATAACACCGGTCTTGAAAGACCTACATTGGCTCCCAGTATGTTTCCGAGCACAATTCAAAGTGTTGGTGCTGACCTTGAAAGCCCTTAACGGTCTCGGTCCAGTATATCTGAAGGAGTGTCTCCACCCCAATCATTCTGCCCGGACACTGAGGTCCAGCACTGAGGGCCTTCTGGAGGTTCCCTCACTGTGAGAAGCCAAGTTACAGGGAACCAGGCAGAGGGCCTTCTCGGTAGTGGTGCCCTCCCTGTGGAACGCCCTCCCACCAGCTGTCAAAGAGAACAACAGAGAACAACAACTACCAGACTTTAAGAAGACATCTGAAGGCAGCCCTGTTTAGGGAAGCTTTTAATGTTTGATGTATTAAGGTATTTTAATATTTTTTTGGAAGCCACCCAGAGTGGCAGGGGAAGCCCAGCCAGATGGGCGGGGTATAAATAATAAATTAAATAAATTAAATTAAATAAAAACAGGTGAAGCAACACTGAGATATGTTCCCATCCCAATCTTTTAGGATGCAGCAGGGACAAACTAAATCAATGCATGCAACTTATGTTCTTCAACTACTTTAAAGGACAGTGCCAATGGGGCAAAAAATTCTGGTTCTGACATGGGAGATATGTGATCAAAGCAACTTGCATGCCTCAGAAAACCAAAGGAGGTCGGGGAACGAGACCGGCTTGCTCTGTAAGATATTTAACATGTGTTCTAAATTCTCTCCTTTGAAATAAATAGAGGCTATTTTGATTTTGATCATTTGGCGGGGGAGGTAACTTTTGATTTAGGAAGTGAATTTAATCTACTCTTATTTGCTTGGCATATCGTCTTAGTATTTCTGCCTATTATTAAATGAGCCAACCACATTTTGCTGTGCACATGGAACATTTTTAGAATGTTGGCTGCGTCTATATTTAAAGCCTAGATCTCCCCCCCCTTTCATGTTAATATCTACAGTTTAATGTGAATAACCAGTGCACTAGTGCACCATGCCCCAAAGTTCACACTCCGGCTGCACCATGCACCGGGGTTTGGCTTATCACGTTGTCTGAACCTGGGCTTGTGGTTTGTTTTCCCTCCAACCATGAGTGGCAAACAAGGTTTGTACTTAGCTTACTGCTTGTGGTTTGTGTGGAGGAAACAAATCACAACATGAAGTTCAGACAGCATGGCAAGCCAGACTCTAGTTTGCTTAGTGCATGGCAGCAGCAGGAGCAAGAGAGGAATTTCCCAGGAACCTTTGAGCAACGCTCACTCCATATTTATTATTTCACCAATATTACTATGCATGGTGCTCTTGGAGTAACATAAGCAAAGAACAAACAAACCCAGGCCCCTGTTCCCAGAGAGTTTACCATTTTAAATGTCAGCAGAGAGGGAAGGAATATAAGGGAAGAGCAACAGGTGGCGGCAGATGCACTTACTGTAGGTACTTGGTTTTGTTTCAGGGTGAGGACTACAGGCTTAGGTGATTAACTAGGGTGAGATTTTCCTAGGGATTTGAAAATTGTACCACAGGTGTCTTCTGGGGACATCAAGGAAGACGGGGCAGAGCTGCTTGTAAAGGAACAGGAAAATTTCCAGGCTGATTATCATGGATTGAAGTGGGTGCTAGATTGGGGTGTGTAGCTGTATTTATTAATATCTCCTCCAACAGAATACAGTTTAGATTCAGTTATTTTCGGCCCCTCTCCCCCCTACTTCCGCTTCTTTGGGCACCTTATTCTTGTAGGAAAGACTTTTCAGTGTGAAAAGTCCAAGGGAAATGTTATCCCATATAGCGTTTGCAGATGTTAGTCGAACAGAATTGGTCTTAGGATGTGGCGTGACTCTGATTCTGTGTGATAAAGCCAACAAAAATGGGTCATAGAGTAAGCCTGTTGTTTTCATTGGTACAAGACAAAACTTGGTTACAGATTCTTGTTTAGTTGCAAGGGAGAAATAGGAAAATAAAAATTAGAATTTATTGTTTGTATAACCCTCAGCTTGGTTTTGGAATGCTGAAGTACACAAAACAAAGAGATTTCTGTCTTTTCCCAGTGTATTTAAATTATACATTACTGCATATTGTTATGGGAACTGAAATAACTGGTCGAAAGGGAACCTTTGTAAAGATTTCAAAAAATATTTTAGTTCAGTTCCTTTTCTGTTTAACGAACTTGTTAAGCAAACTATATATTATCTTATTTTCCTTTGTAGAAACAGAATTAATATTTTGTTAAAAAATTTTCTTTAACGTAGTTAAATTATTTGCTGGACTTGCTAACTGGAGGCAACGGTACCTTGTAGTAACAAAAGATAGTTGAGATGCCTTGCTCATGTTTCTGTGTAATATTAAAATTTGCAGTTAGTAATTTTTATTATTGCACCCATCCTGTATCCATGGAACTCATTATGGATATTAGGGAAGGGCTGGTACCTCTGGTGGAGGGCATATTATGCTCCTTCCAGAATAATTTATCCACCTTTGGTCCTCACCCTACACTCAGCTCCCACCTGTGGCTGCTAGAAGCTGTGAGCATGCGACAGCGGCCACACCCCAGAAATGGCTTTGATTGGCAGGCTAAACCAGGTAAGGCTAGCCAATGGGTCTCAAACCCTTGGTGAGTTAGGGACTTCCCCTGCATGCAAAGACAGGCTCCAGCAGATTGAAGAGACAAGTGGGTCCAACGGTCAAGAAGGCGGCTTCTGCCCATGCTCTAGAGGGAAGGGAAGGGCAGAAAGAACTTGTCAACCTGGGAAGGTAGCCCATCTAGGAGAAAGAAAACTCTGGTCCTAAACCCTTGCAGCTTGAGGGATATATCTGGGAGAAGAAAAAGGCTACGGAGCAAACCCTACACAAATCCAGAGTAGAGTCCCTATGACAGTTGGATGGAGCCTTGTATGCCTCCTTCCGGCAACTCCTGCAGCCAAGATAGTACCAAACATATTGCTCTGCTTTCCTTTGGACCACATCAGTGAGGCTGAGAGGGGGGTCTTGTTGTCTGGGCAGCCCAGGACCTTCACACATTGCCCAGGCTTGCACCCTGGGAAGATCACTTCAGTGCTGCCAACACAGCAGTTCGACTTCACTCCTTGCTGCCAACACAGCAGTTTGACTTGCACATCCCATTGTCTTCTGAGACCGACAGATGCCAACAACAACAACATTATACTGTATCTTGCTCCTACTGCTCCTTTCAGATTCAAGTTGAAAGCCTAGATCAGGGGTCGGCAACGTGCGGCCCATGGGTCGGATGCGGCCCATGAAGACTGTTTTCCCGGCCCACAAGCCACCCCTGAACTGAGCCGCCCGCTCGGCGAGTCCCCCGCGCGCTGCACTAAACCGGCGCAGCGCAGTGCAGGGACTCGCCAAGCGGTGCCGGAAATTGCGCCTGCGCACGTGCAGATACTGGAAATCGCGTCTGTGCATGTCCAGACCCTGAAAATCACTTCTGTGCAGGTGCGATTTTTGGCTTCTGGGCTGGCACAGAAGCAATTTCTGGCACCGCGGACATGCGCAGATGCGATTTCTGGCATCGCGCTGCGCCAGTCCAGCCCACAGATGATCTCCGTGGGAGTGATCCAGCCCATGGCCGGTAAACCTTGCTGACCCCTGGCTTAGATCCTAATTTAGAACAAGAATGGGAATACTTAGTTCCATTTGAAGGATCTTACTTCTTGGTTATTTGCTTACATGGCTAAGGTACACTTTACCACCACCATTTGTTCTGTTTTGCTTTGCTCTACTTGTTATGGGGTGCTTGTTGCTGTTTTGAAAAATAAAATACACATTGTATGAGTATGCCCCATCACAGCAAGGCATTCTACAGTAAAACAGTGCCTTCGTTTCCCCTATAAAATGTGGGATTTGTTTCCCTCTAAGTAAAGTATTTTAAAACAGTTTGTTCCCTTTCATAAGAACAACAAACAAAAAAAACCTTGCAGTCTAATTTTGATGTGTAAACCTGGGGGCAGAATTATCTTAAGAGTTAAAAGCATCCAACCAGCTTGTTGTGGTTTTGGCAAAATCTTTTTCTACATACAGCTTTACATCCTGGAAGTATCGGCCGGCAAAGTAAATCTCAAAGTACTTTGTACAACTATGGCAAGTCAAGTTGCTCAGATTGCAATCCTTACCTATTTTCAGCGGTGGTTACTTCTGTGTAGATATATGTATAGGATTGCACTGTCAAAGGCCTGTGATCCAAGAATAACTTTATCAGTATCTCTGCCCATAAAAGTATCTCTGGCGATGGACTTGAAAGGGTTTAGTTTACTTCATTATTCATTTGCTGCTTTGTGCTGAGGCAAAATGGCTTGCATTTAAAAAAGGTAAAAAATTAAAAGAGAAGAAATGTAAAAGCAATAGATGGATTTCATACAGTGATAAACAGCAGTACAGTCTCGGGTTGAATATGCTTCATGTTGAGTGCGTTCGAGTTGCGCTCCGCGGCAACCCGGAAGTAACAGAGTGCGTTACTCCTGGGTTTCGCCGCTCGCGCATGCGCAGACGCTCAAAATGACGTCACGTGCATGCGCAGAAGCGGTGAAAAGCGACGCACGTGCGTGCAGATGTGCCGTCGCTAGTTACGTTTGCTTCTGGATGCGAACAGGGCTCCAGAACGGATCCCGTTCGTATCCAGAGGTACCACTGTATGTACAACATTTAAAAGTCAGCAATAACATACCAAAATAATCCAGAAACAGTTTATACATTAACAGATATGGTAACTGGAATTAGAAAGTTTTTCCCAACTGAGAAAAAGGGTGCCTGGCTATTAGGGAATTCCAGTCTTGGGGTCACCAGGGTTACCACATGTGGATGGGGACAGAAAGCAGAACTCCAAGGCTGGTCCTAAAGGCTTTGCAGGTTCATATGATAAACAGAGGATTTTAAAAAATCATATTGTCCTTAGAGAATGCTTAAGGCTGATGTAAATGTTACCTTCATAGCTTTGGTACAGCATCTTGTGGGTAGATGGAATGATGGGGTTACTTTCTTTATTAGGACCATCAGCACACTGGGCAGAGTGACAATGTTGGGGCAAGTTCCCATGTCATCCTGTCCATGGCCGTGCTTGACATTTGTTAGCAACCTTAGAGTTGACTGCATGAAAACAGCTCTATTCACAAAATCAGACTTTGCCTCTGTCCTTAAGGTGTGCTAAGCTGTTTTCTTGAGTAGGGTGCTGAGACGTGAGTGCTACTTCGTTAAATAATGAGCACCAACACTTGGATTCAGAAGGACAGATTCATACATAAATAGCAACAGCCAGGCTGCATTGCTTAACCTTAATCCAGAAGTGGAGAAAGCAGTAGCCGGAGAAAAGAGATAAATTGTGCACAGTGACTTCTTGTGCAATGGTCTCTGAGTCAATCCCTTTTGGGGTCTATGTCACCCTTGCTGGTTCTGCTAATCTCCCAGTTTGTCAGCCGGCTGGCAAAGCTCTCAGTTGGAGGCTTGGACTTCGTAATCCCAGAGGTTCTTTTTAGTTCTGTGATCCTGCTTTCTGAAAAAAAGTAAAACCATTTTCTAAAAGGCAGTTTTATCCTATAAAGAATAATAAAAGTCTAGTGTTCCATTTTAAGGAGATTTCATAAAGCAAGGTGCTATTACCTGAGCTTGAATAAACATTATACAGTGGTACCTCGGGTTAAGTACTTAATTCGTTCCAGAGGTCCGTACTTAACCTGAAACTGTTCTTAACCTGAAGCACCACTTTAGCTAATGGGGCCTCCTGCTGCCGCCGCGCTGCCGGAGCCCGATTTCTGTTCTTATCCTGAAGCAAAGTTCTTAATCTGAAGCACTATTTCTGGCTTAGTGGCATGTGTAACCTGAAGCGTATGTAACCTGAGGTACCACTGTACTATTAGAATGAAGGGCACTTACAACTTCATATGACTGTCTGAAAGGATGCCATTTTATTTATTTGCTTGTTGCTCCGTAAGCTATATGTGCTTTATTTTCAAAAGGTCAGTTGTTTCTGTGTGATGAAGAGCTGCTGTTTGGAATGTGTAGGACGTTCTATGTGAGTCATCTGGTGGCACAGGGCAGTACAAGGATATCTGGAGAGCTTTTGTATGTATGTATGTATTAAACGGTTTTTTATTAGGAGTAGCAGGGGCAGTGAAGAATCAACCAGCAAAGCAACTCCAGGCCCAAATATTTTGGACCTAAAAAACTGGTTATTATGGAAAACAAAACAAAAAAAGTTCTTAAAACACACTTCTGTTTCTAAACTTAATATTGGATACATCCAAACCAAAGCCTTTGATTTTGCTTTGAACTTTGCTTTTTCCATCTAGGTCAAATGGAACCCCTTAATAATAATTTTCAGATTTTGTTCTCCTGAAACCCTTTAGATAAAAAAAAAGGATTCAAATCTGTGGTTTAACCCATACCTTTCATGAGTTGTAAAATATCTGCTCCCATTGCTTTTGTGAATTGTGAAAGTCAAGCTGGAAACATGACCTAAAATGGTAATGATAGTGGGTAAGGGACCAATAGTACCGTATTTTTCGTCCCATAGGACGCTTCGTCCCATAGGACGCACCTAATTTTTTTGGGGGGAAATAAAGGAATTCCCCCCCCTTTATCCCCCCCCCCAAAAACCAGGTCGGGGAACAGCGGGATGGCAGCGCTGCGCCTCCCCGCTGTCCCCCGAGCTTGTGGGGCTGGCCGATGTCTGCCCGGCGCGGGGCGCTCTGCTTCAGGCCACCCCGCGCGCCGGGCGGCAGGCTGCTATCCGCAGCGTGGGGAGCCCCGCGGGAACTCCCGCAGGGCTCCCCAGGCTGCGGGTGTCTGCCCGGCGCGCGGGGCGCTCTGCTTCAGGGCATCCTGCGCGCCGGGCGGCAGGCTGCTATCCGCAGCGTGGGGAGCCCCGCGGGAACTCCTGCAGGGCTACCTAGGCTGCGGATGTCTGCCCGGCGGCGAGGCGCTCTGCTTCAGGGCGCCCCGCGCGCCGGGTGGCAGGCTGCTATCCGCAGCCTAGGGAGCCCCGCGGGAACTCCCGCGGGCTCCCCAGGCTTGCAGATAGCTTCCTGAAGCCTGGAGAGCGGGAGGGGTAGGTGTGCACCGACCCCTCTCGCTCTCCAAGCTTCAGTGAAAGCCTGTATTCGCCCCATAGGACGCACACAGATTTCCCCTTCATTTTTGGAGGGGAAAAATGCGTCCTATAGGGCGAAAAATACGGTAAGTTTCAGGTGAAACACACCTGGTCACAGCTGGCTCATAAAGGCAGAAATCAAATTAAAACCTGGGTTCCGACTCTTTCAAAGGTTCATTAAGGCCAGTCATATGGATAGCATTAGTAAGACCCAAAGGTATAGTAGCATGTGAAAAAAATGCTTTCAGTATGACAAAATGTTGCAGCTAAATCTTCCCATACCCAGCACAGAAACACATCAGTTGTTTTACTGCCACCATCCATCTCCTCCCTAGCCATCCCTATTCTTCACTGCTAGTCTCTGACCTTTCCCTGTCCCCTATCACTTGCTGCTTCTTGCTGACTACAGGTTATGTTTGTCCCATGCAGAACTCAAAAGGAGTTGAGTCTGACACATGGGCATCATACAACTGGTGCATGACAGTAGCACAATTGCCATCTCCACACCAGTACATGTAAAATCCCCATGTTTGCTTTGGCAAAAACTACTGTTTTCCAGTGCCAATGGAATAATGGGAAGTGGGGCTTACTTAATGGAATAGCTTGCTGGGACACTGTCGTCTGGGTGGATTAGCGATGCCTATCTGGTCCCTCAGGGGAAACAGTGTCTGTTTATAAAGGGCCTTATTAGAGCAAAACAAAGACGTCTACCTGCTTATATTGCTGTATTTCCAGGTTATTATAGTCTTAATGTTTTTCCTTTTGGCACGCATTAGGTCGAAATTTTCATAGTAAGCAGTAGCAGCCTCTGGCGTTGTTGAGAGGGGAAACAAGCTTGCTGATTTCCTTCTCCACAACCAACTTGGTTTTTGTTTTGTTTTTTGTTTTTACCTTTCTTTTTCCTTTCTTCTCCTGTGATGAGGCTGCATTTTAATGTTTCAATATTTTAATGTTGTATTTAAATCTTCTTTTTAAGTGGTATTCATTCAACTTGTTTTTATTATTGCTTGTTAGCCGCCCTGAGCCTGGCCTTGGCTGGGTATAAATAAAAATTATTATTATTATTATTATTTAGTAGAATGTTCAGGAGCTCCTCTGAAAATCACGGTTTGTTTCAGGCATTTATGACTGGGGGACCCATAATCCTGAAAGGAGTGGGAGGGAGGGAAACACCTACATTTTGTAGCAGCTAAATCAGCTGAGCTTTTAATGTTTAATGGGTTACTGTATTTTAGTGTTTTGTTGGAAGCCGCCCAGAGTGGCTGGGGAAACCCAGCCAGATGGGCGGGGTATAAATAATAAATTATTATAGCTTATTTGCAGTTTGTCTTTGGAGAATTTGAGCTTCCAGGATGAGAAGCTATCTGCTTGACTTTTTGCAGCATGGACCAGATGTTGATTGATTGTGAAGGGTCTTTTTGTGGCTTACAACACAAGCAGTTTAAGTGCAATCCACTTAATGCATGTGGGAGCTATTGAAGAGGGCCCCTGACAAGCATGTGCAGGAATGTGCTAACCTGTGGCCCTCCAGATGTTGCTAGATTACAGCTAACACCATCCCTGACCATGCTTGTTGGGGCTGATGGGAGTTAAGTCTAGTAACATCTGGAAGGCCACAGGCTAGTCACCCTGATGTACAACAGGAATCTGGGTGCCAGCTTTGCTTTCTTTATGTGACCTTGGGAAACCTGAAGTTCAGCTGCTCAACTGTAAGATGAGAAGCGTGGCCCCGTAAGCCAATTGTGGTTGCGAATTTGGGCCTCTCTATGGAGGTTTTGTTTCCATTAGTGTATCATAAGAATAAAAGTACCACCCTCCTGGGTCAATCCAAAGCTCCATATAGTTCATCATCCTATTTCCCATAGTGGCCAACCGGATATTTCTGGGAAGCCCACAAGCAGAGCAGGAAGGCAATAGTCTCCCCCATGGTTGACTCTTAGTGTTTTGGTACCCAGTGGTATACCTCCTCTGAACATGTCTGTGAGCCATATTCCCATGCAGTGCTGGTGGTGCTTGCTAAGTGATTCCCATTCCATGTATTGAAATGGAGGTGTTGGTAGCTTTGCTGTCTCATTACTTCTTTCTGTTAATGCCTGTGTTCCATCATTCCTCCTTTCATAGCCCAATTAAGGAATCATATTGCTCTGAACTGAAAGATAAATGGCTCTTTCATTCAGGTGACTTTTGTCAAAGAGGGACACTGTCAAATGTTGAAATAAAAAATATAAATTGCAGGAGAAGGGTTGGATGGCTGGAGCTTAATCCAGGACAGTCTTTCATTACTTGCTCACTAATAAAAGAGCATACTACGAAGGGAGCTCACATCATTTGAAAAGTGGATTCATGATTATGAGGAGGGTACAAGGGCTTAGTCTCTTAAGGTTTGCTGCTTGATCTGACAATGTCAACCTCTGATAACTTTAAGGCTGTATGGGAAATAGATTTAGGAAAGCAAATTGACCCAGCATGCTATATTTTCTTTAGGTTGGCTGATAAAAACATTCAGAATATTGTCCTCTGTTATGTACAAATATTTAAAGATTATTCACAGGTTAGGCTGTTAGAGACCTACTAGCACCTCTGGTGACAATGCTTAGTAGAAATATTTTAGGAGAATGTCACTGAGGAGATGAGCCAAGTGTCAAGTCACCAAAGATCCACAACTATGCCTTCTATCACTTTTGGGGGATGTCTCAATTTAGACATTGTTGCCAAAGAATTGTTCCAACATATGGTGGTAGTGGCTAGACTTATACTGTCCTAACATTGGAAAAATGCTAATGGGCTAAACTTGAGAAGCTGGTATAAGAAGTTATGGTATTTAGTGACAATGTAGACACTAACACACTACTTTCAAGTATTAAGGGAGCAAACACAAATTGAATCCTTTCACACAGCTTTGGAAGATTTTGTTTAGTTTGTGAACCAGATAAACACAGAGATGCAATTATCATCACAACAATATGTCGTAATTTGGAACAGTTTGTAAAACCTAATCCAGAATGAATCCGATTCCAGCCTGTTGTTGGGAATGTACACTGAAAGAAGACGAACACTGATACTCCATCCTGTTTTGGCATTGATGTTTGTATAATCTGCTTGTCTAAGGGAAAGCAGAAATGGTTATTGGATCTTTTTTGTTACTTGTGGAGTTTGTATATACTATATAAATCACAATAAATTTAAAAATAAAATGGGAGACGTGATGTTAAAACTCTTTAACTATGTAGGTTAGGTGGGGGGAACTAGCCCAAATTATAGTCCTTTCTACTTCTCTGTCTTGCTGGTCGGTGGAGGTGACAGATGTGCACCTCTGCATCTTACAGATGCTGCATGGTAGAACTTTAAGTGGCTGCATGACTCCTCGTTACTAGAATCCATCATGTGTTAGCACTTGTGGCTTTCTCCAAGAATTGGGCTACTCTACCAGCTAAATACAATAAAAGTGAGGTAAAGGGACCCCTGACCGTTAGGTCCAGTCGCGGACGACTCTGGGGTTGCGGTGCTCATCTCGCTTTATTGGCTGAGGGAGCCACCGTTTGTCCGCTTCTGCAGACAGTTTTTCTGGGTCATGTGGCCAGCATGACTAAGCCGCTTCTGGCGAATCAGAGCAGCGCATGGAAATGCTGTTTACCTTCCCGCCGAAGCGGTACCTATTTATCTACTTGCACTTGACATGCTTTCAAACTGCTAGGTGGGCAGGAGCAGGGACTGCGCAACGGGAGCTCACCCCATCACGGGGATTCGAACCGCCAACCTTCTGATTGGCAAGCCCTAGGCTCTGTGGTTTAGACCACAGCGCCACCCACGTCCCACACACAATAGAGCCCCTTAATTAAATACTATCATTCCTCAACTCACATTTGCTTGGCAAACAGTCACACTAATAAGACAGTCTAAGGAAACAACAATGCAACCCCGGTTTCTGTCATTTTGGATGTAATAATTGCTTTGAAAGGATTACACTAGATTAGAGGCAAAACCAAATGTGGAGAGGTTATAGAGCCTTCTCTTACATGACAGAATGTTGTTGAGAACATGCCTTTCCAGCGTCTGGCTGGCAGGAAGAAGTAAAAAGATGATTCCCATGGCCAGTACGTAACGTGACGAGCTTGAGAGAACCGCGAAGTGCTTTAAGGTAATCTGGCCAGTGAAGCGTTGCTTTACCGAAGGGTGGTCTCTGAATCAATCACAGCCTTTGGCAAGATGTTGGCCTCCAAATTGAAACCAGACATGTTTTCAGTTCATTCTCTGGGTTACTACTGTTCAATGGTGATTTACAAGAGAGTGTGAGCAATGGCAGACTCTCACGCAACTTTCAGATATGCCCTAAACAAATGCACATTTTTAAAACTGCCCCGCTGTAAAATAATGCCTTCAAAAGGAAATAGTCTGGAAAGAGAATTTGTCCAGAGAGGAATGCTCTGTTTTCAACACACACCTCTGTAAACCACCCAGCAGTGATACTGTGCATTGCATGGTGCGAAAGTAGCAGAGACCAATTCATAAACACAGGGACAAAATGTACTCCTGAATGGATTTGGTAAATTGGGAATTGGGAAAACTCCTTCCATTGTTCAGTGACCCATCCCAGGGGGGTCATTTCCATTGGGGTACATAGCTTTTTCCAATTTTGATGGGTTTTAATCTTATTCCAAAACAATGATGTATTTAGGCAACTCTTCCATTGGGTCCATTCTTATTAACAGCAGTTATGTTTCATATCGGGCCAAATAATCCTGGCACCTCTGAAGATGTTGTTTTCTTCATTCATCACTGTAATTCCCCCTCTGCTTCCCATGTCCTTGAGGAGAGACAGGAAACCAATGTCTCTCAAATCTAAACCAGCTAAAGTGGACATTTTACGGTGGCAACGCATGTTGTGAATGATGTGCTATGAAGTGCATTTGAGTACCATCTTTTATTCAGCTTTTCCTACAAGAAAAATCTACTGGCGTTTTATATCACTCCCAGAATTCAACATGACCAAAGATCCAAGAACCCAATAGAGAAAAGATGTTGGCTGATCTCCACCTGGCACCCAGATTGGGACCCTGGTGGATGCAATTAAGGCCTTAGCCCTTTGGAGTATTTCTGCATGAAAGGGCCATTCAGTTTTAATGTGAAAATATTTGTATCCCTTGAACTCATATATACATATATGTTACTTTTGCAGCTGCATGTGTCAACCACTTCCACTGCAATTTATTGCCATGTCGTTTTGAATCTTGAAGATGCCTCAGATGCCTGTGGTCAGGCAAAAAGACAGGATATAAATGTTATAAATAAATAAATAAACAATGGTTAAGAGAGAGAGAGAGATAAATGTAAACTAGGTGATTGGTAGTTCAACCCTATGCATGTTTGCTCAGAAATCAGGCAAGTTTTGTTCAGAAGGGCTTTATTGCTTCTTAAGTAAGTTTGGGAATGTAGCCTGAGTTGAAAGGACTGGTGAAGAGATGTACAAAATAAACTTCAACAAAAATGTTAGTAAAGGTGATAGAGGAAGGGATAGGACAACGCTTGAGATAAAGAACAGTGAAATACGCTTTCTCAACAACCATTAGTATCATTATGGCAAGGTTAGCACTTGATAAGGCTGGTAATACTTTTGAGGTTATATATTCCATGCTGGAAGAACGCTACTCACTTGGGGGCTGGCACAAGGCTAGGCATTGACAGTACAAACTACACACCGTATTTGCTGGTCTGGGTTATATGAAATTTACTGGTGGAGAGAATCTTATACAGTGGTACCTCACGTTAAGTACTTAATTCGTTCCGGAGGTCCGTTCTTAACCTAAAAGCACCTGTTCTTAACCTGAAGCACCACTTTAGCTAGTGGGGCCTCCTGCTGCCGCTGTGCCGCTGGAGCCTGATTTCTGTTCTTATCCTGAAGCAAAGATCTTAACCTGAAGCACTATTTCTGGCTTAGTGGAGTGTGTGACCTGAAGCATATGTAACCTGAAACGTATGTAACCCGAGGTACCACTGTAAAGGTCTTTCATTCACCTGTGTCAGGTCCTACACAGATAACAGTGCCACCCTGTTGTCAGGGCCAACACTGGTTACAGATGATGCTGAAGTTGGTTAGTAGTTCCCAGTTCCTTAGTTGTATGAAAGTTCCAAACACAGCTCAATCAGAAAACTTCAGAAAAGTATTTATTTGTTGCCACCTGAGAACCAGTGTTAGACTATGACCTGGGAGATCAGGCTTTGAATCCCCACTCAGCCATGAAACTCATTGGGGAACCTTAGACCAGTCACCATCTCTTAGCCTAACCTACCTCATAGGATTGTTGTGAGAATGAAATGGGAAGGAGGAGAGCAATGTACACCACCTTCAGCAACTTGGAAGAAAATAAAGTGGTATATAAATGTAATAAATGAACAAATGCTGAATTTATGAGCAAACACAACAGGAGAAACATATTGTGGATTCCAAAGGAGACAACCTCCTAGTCATGGCATTTCAGTTGCCAGCAGGTATAGGAGGTACACATTTATTGGGTTCCATACCAACAGGGGCTCCAGACTCTTGTCTTTCTTTCTTTTTTTTTTTAAAAGAAAGTCAATTAGACATTTCTGAAGGAAGTTAAGAAGACCACAAACCATGGAGGTAGCTCTAATGCTTTGACACTCGTCAAGCAGCGCCATTGCTCAGGATGCTTAACCAGGGGAAGGAGTGTTGTCTATTCCTACTTGGAGTGGGGCAGCAAGAAAAGCTGAATGGAGGAAGCTACTGGGGTATGTTTGTTAAAGCACTTTCCTCCTGACCACATTATTTCAACCCCCAACTTTGCTGCCTTTACAGAATACAGCACAGCTGACTGGCATGGTATGTTTTATGTTGTGATAACTGCAGTCCCCTATCCCTCTGCATACCATCTTCCTTGCTGTGGATCAGAGCTTGCAGTTTTTATACCAATACTGACATGACTGAAAGAAAGGAGAAACAAAATAGATAGGAAAATGTTGGATCACCTTTCTTACCAGTTTTCTCTGGAAGCCACATGACCACATCTGATAGCAATAAATCATACATCTTTCCATTTGTTCCTGCACTGAATATTTTTTCTTGCTTTTTAAATTTAGTGACCACCTTTAAATTATACCAACGTGCTAAGCATGTGTACAGCGAAGCTGCCAGAGTCCTGGAGTTTAAGAAGATTTGTACAGAGGCACCTGAAGATGCAGTCCAGTTATTGGGGGATTTAATGAACCAGAGCCATGCCAGCTGCAAGGACTTATATGAGTGCAGCTGTCCTGAACTGAATCAGCTGGTGGACATCTGTCTGTAAGTTGCAAAAGCCATGGAAAGTGAACTTTCTTTTGAGCATGTGGGCTGGATTGCAGTGAATGTGCACCATAACATTAAGCTGTTTTTTAAAACTGTTACCGGTGCTCTAGGACAAGGGTGGGGAACCCATGACTTGCCAAACATTGCTGAGCTACATGACCCATCATCTTTGACTATGCTGCTGACTATGACTGATGGGAGTTGGAGTTCAACGTCTGGAGGGCTGCTGGTTTACCAGCTCTGCCCTAGGGCTTTGGTGCAGCAATAAAACTGCAAGCACATTTGCAAAGCTAAGCAGGATCCAGTATGGTTTCAAATTGGATGGGGAGCCACATGTCAGAGTTCACAGAAAGCAGCAAATAAGGGACACTTGCCTCTACTTTTTTAGATATTTGGGGTCTAAAGCACAACTTAAATCTGGACCAGAATGTCAGGGTTTCAGAGCGGAGTCTTTTCCAGCCCTGCCTGGATATACTGGCGACCTTTTGCATGCATAGCATGTGTTCTACCACTGAGCAGTGGCTGTTCCCCAAATACAAGAGAAACATACTTGTATTTACAGCTCCTGACTTTCCCAACCTAGGAAAAAAGTTTGTTTACTTGTTTATTTTTGCTCCTTCCCTTTATTGTCTCAAGCAAGATCAAAACTTTTTCACATTAGGTGCTACACAAATTCATAGTAGGACAAAGCTCCTTCACTGTGGATCATCCAGTAGCAACCCACCAGAGAGGTTTTTAAATAGCATTTGCTGAAACCAAAACTAGCTCTCGCAAACAATCAGCTGCTCTTTCCATGATAGAAGAGAAGTGGTTGGTACATTTTGTTAATATAAGAGAATACAATGAGTTTTATGGCATCTGCTGCCCAGCTTCATCCAACACTTTACTACATTTTTCATGTGTAACTGTGTACAGCTAGTTGGTAATAGTTTGATCTAATATGCCTAGGCTGTCTTGGGCCAGTCTGAAACTCAGCACTCTAGAAAGAATCTAAACTATTTCATTATGGCCATATTGTATGGTTGTCATGCCACAAGTGTTTGGCAGAAAGTGCTGGTGGTTTGGTGCACTAAGTAGCTAAGTGAAGGTTATTATCCTTCTTAGGCTATGCTATAAGAGTGTGAGGCCCTGGGGGGTTCCTGACTTGAAGTGCTGGCAAAGTTTGTGGAAGAGACATTATTTCTGTATCCTCAAAGAGTGCAGGGACACTTGATACAGTAAGGTAGAGCCTAGAGTATCTCCGTTTCAGATACAGTGATTGCTTTCAAACCAGCTCACCATACAGATTATTCTACAGTTCCCTGCTCTAGGCTGATTTTGTGGTAGTGATGCTAATGGAATGCTACAAGGATTGCAGCCTAGGCATTAAAGCCGCAACCTAGCACATTTATAGAACCATATTGTTAGAGTGGACCAAACATCAGTGAGACTCAGATATTCACTCAAGAGCCAGTGTGGTGTAGTGGTTAAGAGCGGTAGTCTCGTAATCTGGGGAACCGGGTTCGCGTCTCCGCTCCTCCACATGCAGCTGCTGGGTGACCTTGGGCCAGTGACACTTCTTTGAAGTCTCTCAGCCCCACTCACCTCACAGAGTGTTTGTTGTGGGGGAGGAAGGGAAAGGAGAATGTTAGCCGCTTTGAGACTCCTTAAAGGACTTCCGGGTCAGCACCATCGGCAATGGCGGAGTTCCTCTGACCGAGAGGAACCCGCTCCGTGAAAATCAGGTCTTGCCGCCGCGGCGAAGGCGGAGACCCTTCAGAAATCCCAGGCGGAGGAAGCCTGGGAACGTGGGATTCGGCTGACACCAGGAGCGCCTCCCCTACTCGCAGGGAAACCCTTTTTCGGGGATCCGAAGCGACGTGGGGTGAGTGGCGCGGTGTTTTGAATCAACCGCTACTTTTACGGAGTGAAGCCACACAGCCGTTGCCGGAGAGCGCTGACTTTTTCCTGTGGACAATTGGACTCTAAACAAGTACCCGTGAGTAGAACGGAAAATTGGATTAAGAAACATTTTAATTTGGCACTGAAGCGGGAAGGTTCTAAACAGGAAGTCCGCCTTCCGCTTTTGTAAATAGACTGAAGCAAAAACTTTGCAAGCTAAAGTCTGGAAAGTCGTATATAAAGGTCTAAATTTCCTTCAGTTATAACCACCAAAACCCCTCTTGGAAGCAGGAGAAAAGGGGGGGAATTTTTGATTGTTCAAGCCTGCAGGAGAGAGAGTAAAGAAAGATAAATTTCCACCGTCTCAAACCTGGGAACGGGGTGTCAGAGACAGAAATTTATGGGGAAGTTCATTGACTGTGAATGGAACGTCTTTTGACAGATAGTTAAAAAAGAGAAACAAATTGATTCCAATGTTGCCTTTTGCATTCAAAAGAAACAAAATATTTGAAAAATGAAAGTAATTTTCTTTTGTTGGACCTGCCTTCAAAAGATGGATACAAATAGAAATTGTCTCCTCTAGAGGGAGCTTGTTAAATTGTTGCTAGAGTCGATCTGGGGATTTCACAGCTGTGGAGATTAGGATCGTGGGACCAGACTCTGACCTTGAATAAAAATGTGTTTAGAGGAAGTTTTGGTGCTTGCTTTTTGCAAGACAAGCGCTTTGTTGGAGCAGATGCATGAAAAGATGGATTTGATGACTGTTGCAGTCAGAAACTTTGGACAAACGGCGAATACCCATATAGAAACCAGGAACCAACCCAGGAACCTGTTTTGACAGGGCAAGTGCAAGTGCAGAAGATAATGGAGGAGGCTGCTGTTGAACCTCAAGTAACACAAATGGAGAGACCCGAGGCCTTGCAGGAGCATAAGCCGCTGTTCTTGAAGTTTGAATCTGGAGTGGACCAGGGGGGGTCTGGAGTTGTGAGGGCTCTTAATTTTGGAGGGACTTTGAAACATGCTCTTAAATACTTTCTGGACTACAGTGTTGACTGTGGGGAATGGGACTGTGGGGAATGGGCTGATCTGCTGAGGGGAGATGGAGATATTTTTGGATTGGAGTCCTCCCGAGACCTACTCCCCAATGAGAAAGGAAAGAAATTAAGAAAAAGATCAACAAAAGACAAGGTAAAGTGCAGGTATAAACAAGAAGAAGATCTGCAGAAGGGACATGGAAAAGACTTAAGAGCCTCGGACATAAGATCACCAGGTTGATGGACTAGATGGAATGGACAAGAAGGACTGACAAAACCCGAGACCAGGAAGAAGAGACGTTTGAAGAAGATTGGAAGAAAGTTTTTAAATTTTATTTTGAGAATTAGTGTAAAATTAACGAGTATTAGGAAAAATGTTGGAATGAAACTATTTGGCTTTAGTAGAAATGATATAAGGAGTTATGTACAAATAAGTATTAAGTTTTAAGGTTTTTTATGGTAAGATAAGGTTAAAATAAATTAAGGTAAATTGAATGACAGAATATAGTGAAAGATGGAAAGGATTTGCTGAGTTAATTAATAGGTTAGACCGTTAAGATAAATTATACAACAAAAATTGAGAAAGATGGAAAGAATTTGCTGAAACAATTAATTAAACTAGAATACAAAAAGGGAGGTGTGAGGAGGTCGATGAAATAAGTAAATGAAAGATAAAGATATGGAACATTGGATGTGTGTTTTAATGTTATTGGTTTGTTTTTTTTGCTGTATTGTATTGTTTTTTATGTTTTTCTTTTTATGTATTGTAATGTATGTTTGGTTAATTTTTTTGTTGTTTTCTTTTCTTCTCTTTTTTCTGTAATTTTTAAACTTCTAATAAATATCATTTAAAAAAAGAAAAAAGAAAGGCGGGATATCAAATCCAAATTCTTCTTCTTCTTCTTCTTTATCATAGCTGTGTACTCGACTGCAGTCTGTGTGTTTTTAAAGTGCAGATGGTTCCCAGAAGTGAGTTTCACTGAAAGTCTTCAGTTGGCAATCTGTGGCTTGTTTCTTTGCATTTAATAATATAAAACCTGACATTGAGCTGAGCAGATATATTTCTATAGTCATACTTATAGCAGTGGCCTGCAGTGTCCTTAAGGATTGTCTCTTAAGGGAAATATTTGCCGAAGTGTTTGTCAGTCAACTGTGTCCTCAAGTGAGATTCAGAGAGCACCTTTTTCTGCGTATTTATTATATGTGTCTCTCCAGCAACACCCATTCTCTGTCTCCTTTGCCATGTTTATAAGCAGGCTGTTATGCAAGAGAATATAGCTATGTGATTTACTGGGTCAGTAATAAAACATACCAAAGGGAAAAGCTCCATGGTCTAAAGCAGATGCTGTATTACTATATAAAATAAAATTGGACCAAATGGCTATGAAGTGATCTCTCAATTTGGCCCGTGGCCACTTTTAGCGCATGTGAGATATTTCAAAAGTGGTGATTTGCCAAGTCTTGGAATATCAATAGCCTAGATTATTGAGATAAAAAGTTTTCCAACATTTGGCAATTGTGGCCTGTCTCACTGTCAAAAGATGCAAAATCATTTCCTTCTTATTCAGGTCTTGATCCAAATCTACAAACAAATTCAAAAGAGCCAGACAAAGGATGAATTGTTTGTCCAGTTATCAGTGAGATCTCAGAAAATAATTTTGTCTAGAACTGTTTTACCTTGGGGCAGCCCAACCACTTATGCAGGTAGGTCCCAATAATCTGGTGAAATCTCTACCTTCCTTTAAATCCCAGATTTAAGACCTACTCCTTCCTCATCCTTTTAGAATCTCCTTACCCCCTAAACCAGGCTTCCTCAAAGTCGGCCCTCCAGATGTTTTGAGACTACAATTCCCATCATCCCTGACCACTGGTCCTGCTAGCTAGGGATCATGGGAGTTGTAGGCCAAAAACATCTGGAGGGCCAAGTTTGAGGAAGCCTGATCTAAACTGAGGGCACCATAGGGTGCTACATGGCTGCCACTGTCTCTCATATCAGTTAGTGCTGAGAGTAACCACAGGGATGTTTTAAGCTTGAGAAACCTCAAGTTATAGAAAGCAATTATGTATGTATCTAAGCTGTCTTTGTTATAGTCATAGGACAGGGGTGGCCAATCTGTGGTCCTCTAGATGTTTTTGGAATCCCAACTTCAGTCACCTGCAGTCAGCAGTCAGAGATGATGGAAGTTGTAGTTCAACATCTGGAGGACCACAGGTTAGCTACCACTGCTCTACAGAGAGAATCAGTTCAGGCCTTGTGCCAAAGCATGGTTAAGGAAACCTAACTATGGTTTGGCATATTGTTTGAACTGACAAATGTTTTACAACCAGTCAGGAAACTTCAACCAGAAATGGATATTTGAGGTGAATTTGTAAATCATGGCTTGTGTCGCCTATGGTTTATGTTATGTCTGGATTGCAGCTGTTAAAGCTGCTTGTGGAAGCTGAGGAACTATAGCAATAGGTTTGCTGAGCAGATAAAAAATGAGAGCCGGAAGATGGTCGAAATCAATGTTTCCATGTACATTTGGTAGCTCAAACTGTGGTATGGTAAGTGTGAATAATAGTTTGGTGTGGTGTCTGAATTGAAATGGGATTCTTGCTCTGTGACAAACCTGGAAGCTGAATAAAAATGAAGAATGGCCACAACCATATAAATCCCCTGCTTTATAAGATACACATTAAGCAACACAGAAACTGATAGAGACGAGTAAGTGCCAATATGAACTGTGTGGTTATTAAGATTTCACTGAAGCAAGAGTGCTATCAATTTTGGCAGCAATAATTAAACTGGTCTAGGAGATTTATGACAGGAAATGAATTGCATGCAACTAAGAACACGTTGGTTCATTTGGCTCTTATCTCATTCAGAAGATATTTTATTTAAGTAATTATTGTATTTCATCCTGGATTGTTCCACTGATGACCGATATTTTCCCCCTGGCCTTTTATTGCCTGTCATTGATTTAAAAAGCTGACTAACAAAAACATTTGCTTGATATGGTTATGGTAATGGGTAGCAACTGCATACATTAAATGGCTTTTATACACAATCATAGCCAGCTGCTATGCATAGGTTTAAAAATCCTTTCTAAAACCATGTGCCACAGCTTTGCTTGTGTCTATCAGATTTGCATCTCTTACAAGGTTTTGAACTGTGAAGCAAAATCGGCATATACAGATGTTTTTGGGTTTGCCAGCATATTTGGGTTTTCCTAAAGAGTTCCTGCCATATTTTTTTTTTAGAAAGGTTCATAATGGTGAGGGTTTGGAGTGCCAAAATGCTTAGCCACTAATTGGTCAGCGCTACATTTTTAAAAAATCCACAGAATAGATTTGAGTTTCATGTTAGATGGTTGAAACCTTTTGTCATTTTGCCCATTACTTGGAAAAAAGTTGGAGGAGTTATTAATAAAGGAAGACTTCTTGGAAATACTACCTTAAAAGAAATTTTTCTTCTGAGCTCAACAGCACTGCTCTAAGTCAAGAGGAATTACTTCAAATTACTTCAAATTGCTAGATGGAGGAGACAAAACAGCTCAGTCTCTGGCACTGAGAAGGGGAACTCTCCTGTGAACTTTTACTCTGGTTGGCCAGCCACCTTTGTGGCCTGGTTCAGCCTGGGACTAATGCATGAGTTTCACTTTAACCCAACTCTGAAGTCCCATCATCATTTTCCCTGGTCAAGAATGAAGATGGGAATGGGTTAACAACACCAAGCCTTTGCTCCAAATCACCTTGCTAATCACCAGCTGCAAACTGCAATAACACACCTCCCCAAGTTCTGGGGTTCTTTATATAATAATGCAACTATTATTCGAACAAGCGCCATTCCCCTTTTGGAATATCAATTTACCATGCTTCACAAAGGCAAGCAGAAACCTTGACTGGGCCAATCTCAGCATTGTTTTAGATAGCAAATACATAGTATGCATTTTTAACAACAACAACAACCCCTAATGCTGAGTGATTAAAGTGTTTGGATATTCTCTGAATGACACAACATTCCCTTTTCCTGCCTGTTGCTATAAATGGAAGGAGCAGGTGAATCTTGAAAAGCGTGAGGTGCCTCATCCTGATGAGCAGAACTGTTCGGCATCTGCGCTTTACCAGATTTGGAAATTTATATTATGAATACTAACTGGGCATAAACTAAAGGATCTTTGCTGACGAATGCTGGTAAACAAAATGACATCTTTCTTCTGCTTCCCCCTCAGTGCTTACTTATATAAATGCTCTAAAACACTACAAAGGATGGATGTATTTGAAAATGATAAATAAATTAATCCAAAAACTGGGCAGAAAAATAATGCCTGAAAAAAGTGATTGCGAATAACTTTGCCTTCTATGCAGACAGGAACTTTTAAGCATCTGGTTGGCAACAAAGCTTTAACGGGGGTAATAGGTTTAATTTAATAAAGGCCTGTTGGCTGCCCTCACTGTCTTTGATACACCTTTCCTCAGCAACCAGAGGCCTTCCGGTGCAATATAAGTCATCTGTTCTCCAAGACATAGGCAAAGAAGAATGAGCAAATGTGGTTCATTCGTGACCTCTCTTAATATTCACGCTGGAGAGGTTAAAGAACCCCCTGCCTGTGCATTAGCTTGCCTGGCTGAAGCAGGCATAACAAGCGATTAGGTTGTGGTGGGGACCAGATGGGAAGCCTTTCAGGACTGAATTAAGCACCCCACCACCCTGTTCACAGTTGCCTCTTCCTATTCTAAGCTTCTAAAAATGAGATGAATTCCAAGGCACTTAAGCACACTGTGTTCAAGTGGTCATGTTGCATGCGACACACACTCTCAGTTTGACTTACGGCTTCGAAAATCTGTTTACTTGCTTTTTGTTCTTCTAGGCAATTTGGAGCCATTGGGTCGCGCCTGACGGGAGCAGGATGGGGTGGCTGCACTGTGTCAATGGTTCCTGTGGAGAAGCTGGAGAGTTTCCTAGCACATGTGAAAGAGGCTTACTATAAAAACAATAACCAGAGGTTAGCGCTGGGAGGAAACAGCCTATTTGCTACCAACCCTGGTGGTGGAGCGACAATTTTTCTGGAGTCCTAAAGGATGTCAATTTTTTTAAAGGAATAATCTGGGGCACTGTGAAGTTGGCAGAACTTCCTACGCTACAGTAAACAAATCATTTGTTTTTATTATAATGAGTAATGTCCATTAGAATGCATTTTGAAAAATAATTGTAATAAAATTAAGAGTTCTATTAATTGTTGTAATGAATTTTTCCTGCAGAACTTATGCTTCTAAAAGAGATCATCCAAAACACTGATTTCTGTCTGGACTTTACAAAACTTTATTTGCCAAAACCTATTAATGTAAGAGAAAGAAATGAATCAGATTCAAAAATTTTAAATGCTGCTCTGTCTTTCTTTATTTACTTGAAGATAGAGGCGTATTTAATATCAAGTATGTCACTAAGCTTAATACAAGGAATGAATCGGGTAGCTTTTGTTACATGTATCTTACTAAGGGAGGTCTTCAGCTGCTGAACTCACAGTGGATGTAGATGCGGAGGTGGATGCAGAATGGCATGGCTTTGGGGTTTCCTGTTCAAACAAAACACCAGAATGAACTGTTGAATTAAGTGGAGAAAATAACCTGGCATGTGAAGTGGGGGTTGGGGGGGTTGGGATCTGGCTCAGTGCAATGGACCTTGTACACTTTTTGTGGGATTTATCAGCAGAGCTGAAGCCTCCTCTGGCTCCATCATGCTTCCTTCTCCCACACACTCAGGGCAGAGATTCTCTCATCACTGGGATAAGACATAATCAGCAGCTGCAATGCACAGTTCTCAAGGCGGGCCACCTCTTGATGTCTAGGACTGGCTATCCTAACCAAGAGCAGGTTCTCCTAGCACATAAGAGACCGTCCCCAGAGTTAGCAAGGGCTGGAGAAAGTGGAATGAGGGCCAGGCAGTTAGTGAAATTCTGCCATTTCTAACTTTGCCTTTCCATCTTAAGGGGTACCCTCAAAAAATATTTCCTGCAACAGACACCCACCCCTGGACACAAGTGAAATTCTTCTGGCCTTACAGTTAAATGCCCAGAGAAACCCACAGAAGGGGCTGGTGCCCACCTTCTACAGCCTTCGTGAGTCAGAGGTTGTATGCTCAGTTTCAGTGTGCAAAAGCAGCAGGAGAAGAGAGCTGAGCCTGATCATTTTGGGGTGGGGATCAGTCCCTTGTGGTACTTGTAGGCTAACAACAGCTACCAGCCCAGTGACTGGGACAACTAGAAGCTGACTAGAGGAACCCAGAAAACCAAACCAATGCTGCAAATGGACTTCACATATTGATGCTGCGGGAAATACTAAATTGAGGTTGCTGCATCTCTGGGCAGTTAAAACCTGAATAGATTACTTCAGACATGACTGATCATTTTAAAGTTGGTGGGAAGGAAGAACTCTCATGTCCTTCAGAAATTCAGTGGAGTTGCTAGAGGATGGACCTGAATCCAAAAGTGGGTCAAAGATGCTGAGTGGGCTTTGGAGATGGTGCTTTCACCTTTTGCCTGCCCAGATGAAGAACAGGGAGACTTGAGTGTATGACTGGTATTGAATGGAACAGGTAGGAAAAGCACAATCTTCTGGCCAACTTAAGTAGGTTTTCCACTCTTTATCCAGGCCACAAGATTTACTTAAAAACTGAAAATGGTGATCTCAAAAGTGACATACCCTTTGGCTTATAAAGCTCTCTGTTTGCAGCCTTGATTCAGTACGCTTCTTAGTGATGGTTGCCAACATCCTAAGAAAAGAATAGAGGACATAGTATGATTCAGTAGAATTTAGCTCTGTGTTCCAGGGGCCCCTCTTGTCACTGCTGCACTTTTGTAGAAAACCACAATGTCCCTCCTACTTTAGTCTGGCCAAAGTGACATTCCATTTCTTCTGTCTGAATTTCTAGCATATAGGGCAAGCAAACACAATGTACTGCTTTCTTCAAAGTTCATGTGCTACAGGGTGAACTATGTCCCACATATATGCCTGTCTTTATGACTAGAACATAACACTTCTTGAATCTTATAAATCAGGAGAAGTGAATAATCTAACACTTCAACTGTTTTCAACATACCAATAAAAACGAGTCTGCCACCATCTGGAATTTAGGATTCACCTCTGCCAGCTCATGTGTTAAATTCCATTTCTCATACACTCAACTTTTGGCCCACATTGTTGTTATTTTTATTATTATTTTGGAACATTTTAGAAATTGAATAGGCTATGGAAGCTGGTGCAGAGTTCATATCTCCATTAGCAAACATTTGCACCTTGTAAGGGACATTTCTTTGCTTACTTATTGTTCTTATACCCCAGCCTTCTTCCCGCTGAAGCCCAGGATAGCTAACAATATTAAAACAAAATAAAATCTCACAAAACAATTACAGTTGTCAACCATCCATTAACAGGCCTCAAAGACATTGGGTTGCATACAACATTAGCCCTACTGAGAGTAGACCCATGGAAAATAATGGAAATAGCAATGGAAAATAATGGAAATAACTAACAAATATATTAATTTAAATGGGTTTACTGTGAGTAGAACTTAGTTGGATGCAACCCAATGGACAAGAAATTATTCCTCTTAATGTGTGTGCAGCTAGCTAACAAAGGCCTGGCAGTTTTAAGCTGATGCCTAATTGTTAACTATGTGAGGGACAACCGACTCTCCGATAGGAGGGGATTCCGTTAGTGAGGGGGGCACTACAGAGAAAGACTGCCACATGCCATGCCCCCAGGCCTTGCCCACTGACACCACCACCAGGGTCTCCCCTGAAGACCTTAGAACTTGGGCTGGAAGGTATTGTTGGAGGTGCTCCTCTAAGTATTTGGCCTCAAATCATATAGGACCTTGTAGACCAGAACTAACGTCTTGAATTGGGCCTGGTGGCTAACAAGGAGCCAGTATAGAGTTCTAAGTATTGGTCTTGGTGCTCCATGTAACAGACTGGCAGTGACATTCTGTACTAGCTGCAGACTCCAGAGCATCTTCAAGGTAGTCTCTCACACAGCACATTGCAGTGTGTTGGTTGGCCCCAGTCTGTCTCAGTAGAAAACAGAAAAGTGCGTATTGGACAAGCGTATTGGCAAGGCAGTGTCAAAAACGGCATTATAATTTGAATCCCTAATGCCAAGTTGTCCCGGTCCAAGAATGGTCAGGGCTGGGTATAAGCACTCCTTAAAGATTCCTGCTTTGCAGGGGGTTGAACTAGACGATCCTCGCAGTCCCTTTCCAACTCTACAATTCTAGGATGCTTATCACAAAGGCCACCTGGGTCTCCAACAACAGCCTGGAATCGAAGGAGTGCTCCCATGCTACAACCCTGATCCTGCAGGGGGAGTGCTGCTCTATCCAGAATAGGCTGACTCCCTAATGGCTGTGCCTGGGAACTACAGTGGTGCCCCGCAAGACGAATGCCTCACAAGACGGAAAACCCGCTAGACGAAAGGGTTTTCCGTTTTTCAATGCGCTTCGCAGGACGAATTTCCCTATGGGCTTGCTTCGCAAGACGAAAATGTCTTGCGAGTCTTGAGATTTTTTTTCGCTCCCCCCCCCCTTTTTCTAAGCCGCTAAGCATTTAATAGCCTTTTAGCAGCTAAGCCGCTAAGCTTTTAATAGCCGCTAAACCGCTAATAGCGCTAAGCCGCTAATAGGGTTGCTTCGCAAGACGAAAAAACCGCTAGACGAAGAGACTCGCGGAACGGATTAATTTTGTCTTGCGAGGCACCACTGTACCTGTCCATAGCACTTCCAGCTTGCTAGCATTCAGCTTCAGACCTATTTTGCCTCCAGTCTTAACAACGTCTGTTGTTCACCGCTTAGAGAAATTCTTTTATGAGTGAGCGGTATACAAATTTACTAAATACACATTCATCATCTGGGAGGGGGTGGGTGGGCAAACTGATTTTGCACTTATCTAGTTTGGCCCTCAGTTCCCTATGAAGAAGGATAAAGAGTTTGACAACAGAACTCATGCATTTCTAGCTGATGACATTAAGGGGCAACCCTGTCAGATGGGGTACAAATAATAAAATCAATCATCATTATCCCTCAACTGCCTTCACTTTTAAGTAGTGTAGCATGTCCCAAAAGTAAGATATAATTAACAGCACACCTATACATGTCTAACTCAGATGCCAGTCCCATTTAATTCAATGGAACTTACCTCCAGGTTAGAGATCCACTAGTCAGAGCCAAATCATTTGGCCCTGGCCATTATGTTACTTACATTCCTAAAGATAAGAGAGCCTTAACCTTTTGCTACATACAAAAATACAGTTAAAAGCAAACCTCTTGTATGTTCTGTTAACTTTTTTTCTCTGGCGTTGTAAATGTGCTAGTTCATCAGCACACTTATGTTCAAAACTGAAAAGCAAAGCCATATGCATGACACACTTGCAATGTTATCCATAAGAACACACACACACTTTCACTCACCCCACTGCTTAAAATAAATAAAAAGCAAATATGGAGTTGTACATGAAATGCAGCAGCTTATCTCTGCTTTTCCAGTAAGTTTGCTTGGAAACCCAGCATTCCTCAAATCATTTGCTGCTGAGTAGCCCTGAAAGAGTGCCATTGAACAAGCGTTTTCTGGAGGGTGATCAGCATTGTGGATTGCAGCTATAGACATCTGCTATTCGTTATATGAAAATGAACAACTTGCACTGCCAAGAGTGACCAAAGTACCTGGGTGTCTGCAAGCTTATTGTGCAAGTTCATTGCTTCTCCTGAATCTGTAGTTTAGCATTAAAACATAGGAACATTAGCGGCAGATAATTCATAGAGCGCATAGTGGGAGTGACTAAGGCAGCGCAATACGCCTTTGCCTTTTTGCTGCTTGGCAAGAAATCTAATTCATGCCATCTTCACGTGAGGTCCCCCAAGTACCCTCCAATTGTACACAGAGCTTTTTTCAAAGTAAAGACAGTTGCTTAATGAATGCAATACTTAAGAAAATCATTGTGCCGTTTTTCTGCAATTTTTTGACTTTCTGCAATAGCATCTCTGTATGTCGGAGAAGCTGGTGTGCTGTTATTGCAGTCAAGGGAAAAGATGTTTATTTTTCAGGCTTGTCTTTCTTTGTAACATTTATTTATAAGGCCAAGCTACAAAATCTACAACAAACAAACATACATATGTGAATTAAGCACGAGTTAAGCAGACAGTCAAAGAAGAGAAACCAAGAAGAGAAACAGAAATTGTGACAGCC